AATAAAACCTAACACCACCCACTCCGCCTACCACGCAAGAGGAAGATTTGATTGTTTTTATGCATTGAATAGGCTCCTTGTAAGCTACATTATCCCCGGATGACATAGGATATATTAAATTTTCAAAAAACTAGGAATCCTTACCAAAACTTGAATAATGTAACCCAGAGTGTACAAAAATTACCTAAAATATTGTTTGCATCGCGTGCGCTGCTAAAACTATTGATAATTGTATAAAATAATGTACTACGAATTTGCAGAACACATCATTATTTATAAAAAGTGTTTCGACAGTTATGCCACAATAAGTATTCTTTTACTTTAAAATTTTGATTGAAATACCGCCGCTAGAAAAGGCTCTTTATTTGTATCTTGGTATTAATCCTTATAAAAATAAATTACTTTATATTTAAGACTGTTTCAATATCTTTATATAACTTTTTGAATGATTAAATTCGGACATTCCATTCGAAAGAGATCACAAGTTTAAAAATGTTAGTATATTGTAATTTAACTATCCAGAGCTTAGTGACTGACTTAGTAGTTCTTATCATTTTTGTAAATAATATAAATTAATTATATATTATTAATTATAATATATATTAATTATTATATTATTAAAATATTATTTATTAACATAAATATAAATATCAAAGAAAAAAATACTGCATAATTAAATAATTATAATCGCATAAGTTGATAAAAGATGCTATGCTATAGCTTTACCCCAGCTGAGCCGAGTGCGACAGGTTTTTTTTTATAAAAATGTTTTTTAATTTTTACTAGTTTGTTTCCTTCGTTTTATTATTTCATTTTTAGTTTCTAGATACTAGCCCAGCTTCGTACGCCATGCTATTTCCAATTCATTTACAGAAAATTATTTTTTTTAACATTTAGCATGAATATTATTGAATCAGCAAAATGCATTCAGAATACGATACAAAGTATTTTACTCAATTCGTTAGCGGGTTTTACCTAATATATCTGCCTACATAGCTACCTTCCTACGTACCCTACCATTACCTACCTATCAAGCTATCTACCTACCGCACGCATAATCAAACATGTAAAAAACAAGCTTCGTTTTCTTCATAAAAATTAATTAAAACATAAAATTTAATTATATACATAATTAATTAAAATGAAAATTATCAACAGCTACGAGCTTTTAAATGAAATTTAATAAATTATACCTAAATAATTATATAAAAAAATATTCAGTTTAAAAACTTGTTGAAAACAAATTTAACGTAAGCTTAAAAAATAAATGACTTCAAATTAAATAAAAGTATCAAGTTGCGTCAGTTACATAAAGTTTCGCTGCTTCGCGCTTGTCGCTGTGTGCGTGAGCCGTGCACGTGTAGTAGTACGACTCTGTACCTAAAATCGAAGCGCGTGAATTCGTAAACGCGTCCTTAATCAAAATACACGTTTCACGTAAACTTTTGCGCTTATAATCGACCAAAAATTGCCAGTGGAATAGACTTCTTTAGCTGCCTTTGAGTACCTCAAAGCCTTTGAGTAGAAAACTGTCTCAGTAATGAATCTCTAATGTAAGTTGTAAGTATTTAATAAAATATAGTATAAATAAATAAATACTAGTTATAGCATTATCAAAAGACTTTCTTCTATAACAAAAAATGTCGGAAATTTAAAAGAAAACTACATATTCGCGATTAAATGAATAAAAAGGTTTCTTTCGCCGGATATTTAAAATAAAATTACAAATACGCGATAAAAAGCAATGAAATGGTGTCCTTTAAATACGTAGTAATTTTTATCCGATGTAAAGATATAAAGCACGCACAATAAATATTTGTATCGGTTACGGAACGAAGATCATGGGATACCGAGCGATTACAATATAATATCGTCATGGCAGACCAAGTATTAAGACTTTATAGAAGGCAATGAATATGATGGTAATAAGGAGTATAGTCAATATGGAATATAATGGTCCATTTCAACCTTCTTGTGTTATACACAGCGGATTACGAACCCTCATAAATGAACGTTAAGAAACGTTATCTCCATCGACCTCGTCGACGAAGGGGACATAGGTACGTCGGGGACCCACCGGGGGTCCCGCTAGACAACACTGTACCCACACATTGTGTTAACACATAACCAAATAGTAGTACATCCTCGCTTACGAGCACGATGAAACCAACATGCGTACACAAGGTACACGCACGATTCAGGGCAGTCTCGCCGTCCCCAGCCGGAGTAAAAAATACTGTCAACGGCCATAGGGATCACGGTACATACCGAACCTCGATAGCTCGTTGGTGATAGTTTTTGCATTTAAGATAACGCACGCATGAGCACATGCAATGCTTTACCCAACGCCAGATCGTCGTGGGATCTGGCTATCCCACTAGTTCTATATTCTATAAAGCAATAATAAGTTAAGAGTTAATTGAAAAAAGAGAACAAGAAAGGCCGAAAAAGTGGTTATGTCTAAAACAACAATAATTAGTCTAATTAACCTTGTGCATTGGAATCTATTGACAAACGTAGTAAGCATAAATAAGCTAACTGAGAAGTTCTTTCGGTGAAGGTACTCTGTAAGTTTCTGCATTTTCTTTGCCCGCGGGATCTTCCGGGGTAGTACCACGATAAGAACTCACAAAAAAACCGATATGAATTATTTAATGCTATCGTATTTTGATTAAATTATCCGTTTCTTCGAAGTATTGGTATGTCCACATGGGTGACTCTGTGATCAAGCTCGTGAAAACTTTCCACGGGTGCTGTGCCTCATGAAGCATTATTATATAGTCTACGCATTGAAGGTGCAAACTTCAAGAGAGAAAAAAGGGGAACCAGGGCCTATTATAGGGTTGACAACGCAACTGTAACCCTAACGTCTGGTTTGTGAATAGCTGTGGCTTTTCAAATGTCATTTGAGTGGTCAAACCTAGCTTCTACGATGAACAGCGTTTCAGAAACCGGGCGTAAGAGTGCTATAGACGACAAAGGACGATAATCATTTAATATCGAGTGAATCGCGTGGACATCTTTTCTAATAGAATATAAGCATGTCAGCAGTCTGCTCAATTTTAGAGATTTAAATGTTTTATTTATAGTCTATAATTACGAAGCAGTTGTTATAAGCGCGAGTCTTTGCGATTACACGCGCGATACGAATCCCGATAAATGTATCAAGACGCGAGACGGTATGCGGTACGCGCGAGACGAAAGATAATGGAACGCTTTTCCTACGTTTTCACAACACGACTAGGCGTTTTTCACGAGATTGGCGCTCTATTTCTTATTAAACAATGAGACCGCATTTGCATTAGGCAATGGAACAATACATTGTTTGCAAAAATTCAAGCGAAGAAACCTAAAACACTAACAATTAACACTCAATGAAAGTATGATATCTGCAGTTAGTTTGCAGTTAGTTTTTTCCCTCATAATTCACATCTATAGTAAAATAAAATTGATGAAATATAAAAATTTCTGTGAAAAGTTTTTCAACAAGACTCATGATTTTTCTATCTTGTTCTAACTCTGTCTCATTTTTTTATAGTCTTTACACCACAACATTAACATAAAAGGCATATTCTTTTCATTATGACCTAATGGTTAAACAATATCACACAATGAAGAATGCTTGGTTTTCACATCAATATTTTTCTTCTGAATTTCTTCATTTTTTAACCATGTGATTGTAACAAGGCTACAATGACCAAGTGATCTTGAAATGGTCAAGGTCATGGGGAAAAATCCCAGTGGCATGTACCATTCATTCTTTTTTTCCAATTTTCTCAGTTTCATCAGTCAGATATGAGATTTAATTATATAGTGAAATCTAATATATTCTAATAGATCAAATATAACATCTAATATAGCATTTATACAATTAACAAAAAAATATGTAAACTTTCACTTATAAGTACCTAACTTCAAAAGCAGTAGAAAATTTAATATGAGTGCAATGATCATTTTTTTTACTTTGAGATGAAATATGTCTTTATCTCAGAATTTGTTTCATAATGTTTTGCTCATATTACGAAGACATGCAAATGTATTATGTCTTGTCTGATAATAAGGACAAATGACAGAACACAAAATAGAGTAATAAAGCCTTTTCAAGATAATGGTAAAAATTTAAAAATCAAACTAGATGTATAAATTAAAATTAAGTAATTAAGAAATTTAACTAATTATGATTCAAGTAAATTTTAAAAATAGTGGCCTATTTTTTCTTTTAATGCAATCTATATCACTTATAGGCGTAATTGCTAATAAGGTTTTTGATAAAAAAAAGTTGTTTCTTGAAGCATGCAGACTATGATAAACTGATCAATTAAATTCTAGTTCATGTCTTTATCACAGGACAACACCAAAACAACTTGGTTGCTTATTATTCAAATCTGCAGGCATGTGAAAATATGAAACCTCATATATAGTTCATAAAATATGCTATACTCTTTAAAGCTTTAATCAATAACAGGTATTTTAAAATTGAAATTATGAGACTTAATGTAAGTAATTGTAAACAGATCTTTAATAAGATACACAAAAATTAGTCTTAACACAAATATATTATTGGAGATACCATGAAGAGAATTAAATGCATGGCATCAACATAATGAAATAGACTACTTGTACTTTCAGAGAGTATGCTTCCCTTCCTTTTTAATTAGGATTAGGATAGTTAACCATAACCAGGCAAAAACACAAATTTGACATTAGCATTATTACTATAATATTCACAGATCTTACATTAGTAGAAGTATTAGAAATTAATTATACAATATCTCTAATCTATATATACTTTTAACTAATTATAATATTTTCAACAATATCAACATCTTTTGGACTGTCCTCAACAATATCTGCATAAAATAGAAGGAATTGTTATGAGTTTTAGTTAACAAAATAGTTAAAACATAGTGTATTCCAAATTATAACTTCACTTGTAGATCAATCATACTATCAATGTTTATTTATCCATTGTTTTAAGGTAATAAAATGCTTTTACTTACTGCAAAAATTGTATTTTGTAGTCCAAACGGTATAGGAGTTAGCCTGGCGAAGAAGACAATTTTAAACGCCTGAGGCCCAGAGATGACTTTGAGCAAGGCTCGAGCAGTCTCGTTCTTAAGAAGCCGGTCCAAAGGAAGATAACCACGCAGCAGCTTCAGGGTAAAGTGGGCTACCGCCACTCCAAAGTTCGCACTGACCACCACTGTCACCAAACCCTTCACTATTCCAAATAAATATCCACTTGTTATAATTAACACTAGATACCCAATGGTCACCGGGAAACTCACTATTAAAAATAATCCCATAAAAAGCAGGAATATTATCTTTGGATCTTGCAAATTGACCCAATATAAAATTGTTTTCAGATATTCTTTGAAGAAATACAGCACTAACACTAAACACGTAAGTAACAAAATTGAAATTATAACGTTAATTAAATAACTATACGTTGTCCTACTATTAATTTTTGCCCATAAACTTTTCTTTCGTCCTGCCGCCGTTGGATCTGGCTGGCATGCTTCAACGTCTGCTAATTCCATGATAATTTTATTTAAAAAAAAGCAAATACAATAACGACCTATTTGACGCTGCAAAGCTGAATTGCACGAGAAGTAACGTACGCCATGGCCTACTTTTCGCAACTGTTTATTATTTCGGCATTCGTTCAGCATCAAGTTGATCTAGAAATTGACTATCTGTCAGTGTTGGCAGCGTTCGTTCTGAATCTGACAATTTACCCTCTTTTTTCTGATAAAGAAATTTTATTTTTGATTTATTTGTATTAAAATAAACAAATGTGCTTAATGTTACTTTCTAATTGTTAAAAAGGATTTTGTTACACCATCGCCACGTTATTGTTACCGTATACGGGTTCTAAATTCTAAACAATGTAAACACTAGATAAATACATAACACAGATCACTAATTTTCTTGGAACATAAGTATTAATAACAACTGCGCTTTTATATTATCCTACTATTTATTAATTATTGTATTTAAATAAAAACAAATTTTATATAAAAATCCAAGCTAAAATTGAACTTTATACAAACAATTATATATTTGAATTTTTTATTTAGTTTTCGAAAAACGCAATCCCCATTACTAATAAATGAACGGCCAACAGAAGGAGGATTAATATTTCAACAATATGTTAAATAAACAGCGAAATAATTTGATATCGATAACGGTTTTCGGAAGTCTATCGTTATGGAAAACTCTTAATTATTAAGAGTTTTCCATAACGATAGACAACGAGTTACGCTGCATGCGTTACCTATAATGTCATTGTGATAAACCAGTTCATCATTATATGATAGCAAGGTGTTTTTTCATTTGAAGAAATAGTTTTATTATTATTCGTTTTAGTATTAGTCTTTAGGTAGCTCTGACATAATTAAAAAAGCTTTGTGAGCAACATTTAGTTGGACTCAAAGCAATTAACAAAATACAAAGTTTTGTGGTTGTCATACTTATTTTCACCTCAATTTTTTCTTAAAAAGTAACGATCACGTAAACCACACGGCACATTCAATTCTCTTCGTCTTCTTCTTTAATTAATGGCATTCGATTCTCTTACTTAATTTTCAGTGCAGATACTCCTTGGAGTATATGTGCTCTGTGGTCAGCCCACTGTCAGTGTCAGTATCATTATGGTTTTGTGGTTGTCAACTTCCTTTTATTTTCCACATCCACGACATTTGCGCTAAGAATTAAGAAACATTCTTTTGATTTGTCGTGAATGCGATGTTTATTAGTTATAAAATATTTATCAGCGTGAAATTAAAGTGAATTAAGATCTCAAGTTCATTTTTTAGTTTTTAAAATTACCTTTAATATTGTGTTTAAGTGAAACTTATTCAAAAAAAACCTAACCATGCCACCGAAGAAGGCAGCTGCTACCGGCAGCAAAAAAACGGAACAGAAGAAGAAAGAGAAAGTTATCGAGGTAAATGAAAATATCTCGTTAATATGTGAGAAATAATATTGTATAAATTTATTTATTTTCTTATGTACTTATTTCTTTTTATGTTCACTATGCTTACCTTACTTCTATTTCATAATTACAAGAAATATCGGATACTTGCATTGCAACGATCTAACTTTGCCATAGTCGAAATTTATACTAGCGGACCCGACATACCTTGTCCTGTAAACACGACTTAAATCCGATAAATTATAAATAAAAAAAGTTGTACTATCCCGAATTGGAATCTAAACCATTCTCAAATCGACGTGAAGACACAAAAAATTTTCATTAAAATTGGTCCAGCCGTTGAGGAGGAGTCCAGTGACATACACAAGTACAGAAGAATAATATATATAAAGATTATATATCTTATGCTTTATTTATTATGTCTTATATAGGAAAATCTTACCTTAACTGTGAAATTTTATATTATGCTAATTAGTATGTTTCCTAACGCCACATCCCAAAATACTACATTTAGACATTGTTGCAAATTGATATTAATTTTGGACACAAAAATAACATTATAAACTTACCAGTGAAAAACATTTTGTTTTCATTTTTTACCTTTTTACTGACACCATTTTTCCCTTTTAGTCTACAAATAAAATAGGTTAGGTTCAACTTATGTCAAAGATCCAAATTGATTGACCCCAATTCTACTTGGTACAAGTCTGTCCTACTCTTAGTGTGTTTTGATGGAGTTTTAAGATAAACAAAGCGACCAACAAACCTCGCCTCCACAGCTTCGGCTAGTTGGTCACGTTGTTATGCAAGGGCTTAGAGGCTGCTCTTCCCGCAGTGCCGGAGATGTTGCAGTCTCAAAGTAGATACAGAAATCTCTCTGAATCAGTACCCCTATTTTTTATTATTAAGAGGGTTCCAACCTATGGTAAGGTTAATTGCCTTCATGTCCAAAAGGGAAAATTGAAAAAAAATCGAAAAGGGGTGGCTCAGCAACTTTTCTTTTTGTGGGGGGTATACCTGAAAATTTTTCACTGTTAATTTTAACATAACTTTTTTTTATAAGGATAAGACCTTTGGGCTAAAGAACAAAAAGGGAGCCAAGCAGCAAAAGTTTATCCAGCAAGTAGAAAAACAAGTGAAAAGTGGAGGAATTCATCCAGCTAAGCCAATGGATGACAAGAAAAAAGAAAAAGAGCAGAAGATGAAAGAGCAAAAAGAGTTGGCAATGTTGTTTAAACCGGTCCAAACTCAAAAAGTTGAAAAAGGTTACATCACTAATTTATTTACACATAATATTATTTTTGAAGGCATATTAATTTTATCATATTTATCCAGATAAGATAACATATGAAGACTGAATTGAGATTTAATAGTGATTATTACAAGCACATGTTGGCTTTTCTATTTAGGTTTTTTCCATTAAGTTAAGTTAGTCCCTAAATAAGAGGCGGGTGGCAATGAGGAAGATGTGCCTGTTATTCTATATGATGACTGATGGTTACCACAGATTGAGGATAGATTATCAATCAATCAAATCAATCTTTTTTTTTTTGTAAAATAATTCTCAATTTATTATTTATTCTGTATCAATTTATTATTTTTGAGAAAAAAATGTTTTTTTTAGTTTCATATGCACATGCAAAATTTAGAACCTGAAACGAGAAATTAAAATTTTCAGGTACCGATCCAAAGTCAGTTGTATGTTCATTCTTCAAGCTAGGTCAATGTTTTAAGGGAGACAAGTGCAAGTTTTCACATGACTTGACTATAGAGAGAAAGGTAAATATCTAATGTAATTAAAGCTTACAATTATTTTGGGGATATTTCTTTGTTTTCTCGTCTGGTTGGGTTTATAGATAAAAAATAAACGTATAGATATATATTGCATATATAAAATAAATATTATGAATAAAAATAAACATATAGATATAAATATTGTATATAATACATATATAAATAGGACCCAACCAGACGGAAGCCTCGGAAGCTCGGCAGGGGAGACCAAATGGCCGAGGGTTAGGGTGAAAGGGAGAGAAACCGGCGGACGATGCGGGCGGTATCGAGGAGCACCGCTTTCTGCATTAGAGCTTGGAGCGTTCCGTCCCGGAGTCTCAGTCGCCTCAGATGTCGTCCGGAGAGGCTGACAGGGATCAACCCATTCGCAGATACGACTATCGGGATAATTTCGGTAGGCAGACCACCCCACATGTCGGTCACCTCGTGAGCCAGGTCCAGATACTTCGTCATATTATTTGTTTCGGCTTTCACGAGGTTCTCGTCATATGGAATGGTAATGTCGACCAAAAATACCCGCGACTGTGCCCGGTCCATCAACACATCAGGTTTGTTTGCGACAATCGTCCTGTCCGTGATGATGGACCGGTCCCAATAGAGCCTGGCGCGGTCATTATCGAGCACGGCCTCCGGAGAGTACTTATAGTACGGCAGTTATTATTATTTGACACCAGAGGGTGTCAATATATACTCTTATGTTACTGGGGAAAAGTCAGCAAAAATGTACTAAGGGTGGCCTCGTTTTATATTTTTGTGGACACCCTAAAACAAACTAGTGCCAATGTACTCTAATGAACTGTTGAATGAACCATATCTTTAAAATGGAAAATTGGATTTAGATTATACTAAATAAATTTCTTTTTAGGCTGAAAAGCGTTCCCTTTACGTAGATATGCGTGATGATGATGACAATATGGATAATTGGGATGAAGACAAGCTTAAAGAGGTGGTTGAAAAGAAACATGGTGAAGGCAACAAGCAGCGGCCTTCAACTGATATTGTGAGTAATATTTTTCGTGACCTATTTCTTATTAAATACCTATTTTAAATAATATTAATTTGAGTTGAATGTTGATTAGTTAATTCATTTGATCTTATACAAAATATGTGTATAAGCAAACTTATTTGCCTGAGGTCTCTAATATTTAACCTCATATAAATGAACAGTTTTTAAAGGTTTAAATTTAACTGAAATATAAATTTTTGTAGTGCTACTCTGCACACAAGATGAAACATTAAAGAAATGGACCGAAAGTTTTCCGTCGGGAATCGAACCCTCTTCTTCCGTATTAGCGCTCCGATGTCTTAACCACAAACTAAATCGATGATTATGATGAAAATCTCAATGTATTTTATCTACATTTCCGCAGTGGCGAAAAAGTTTTCGATTATTTTTTCTAAAATTTTTTTAATTAATATTTGTAATGACATGTATCTAATAAGATATGTATATAATAATAATAATAATAATTCGGTTGAGGTTTTTGAAATAACTAGCTTATAACGGTTTCTTTTATTAACATGAAGATCATGCAAGGCTCATTATATTTTATTATTTTATAATTGATGGTAGGTCAGGTTAACTTTGATGTTAGTATGTAAAACATTTGAGTCTGTCCTGTGACCATGAGTGAAAGTGTTAGTTTCATTTAATGATTACTAGAATATGATTTAAAATGAACCCTTTTTATGATCACCACAGATATGCAAACATTTCTTAGAAGCTGTGGAAAAGTCCAAATATGGTTGGTTTTGGGAATGTCCATCTGGTACAAAATGCATATACAGACATGCGCTCCCACCAGGCTTCGTTCTTAAACGCGATAAAAAGAAGATGGAGGAGAAGAAGAATGAAATATCACTAGTTGACCTGATTGAAAGAGAGAGGGCAGCTCTTGGTCCAAATCAGACTAAAATAACCTTGGAAACCTTCCTCGCCTGGAAGAAAAAGAAAATTAAGGACAAGCAGGTTTGTTCTCAGTTTGACTAAAATTGGATTAGGGGTTCTATGGTAAGCCATTTCTGTCCAGCATGAGAATATAAGCTTCTGTGTAAATTCCTTTTCAGTTCTAGATATTGGCAGTATATGTTACGTTAAAAACCTAATAACTATTATTTTGTTAACAAATGATGGACATTTTCAGGATGCTATGACGAAAGCAGAGGAACAGCGCCGTTGTGATTTTAAGGCCGGTCGAGCTGTTGGTTTATCTGGCAGAGAGATGTTCTCCTTTGACCCTGCGCTGGCCGCAGACGCAGATGAGGTATTTTACATTTTTAAAGCTGCATTAACAGTTTCAATGAGTTCACATTTTCAGTTAACATTTTCATTTTTTTTTATGTGAAAAGTTGCCAAAGAAGCAGACTGTTCACCTGATGTTAAGTGAATACATGCCGCCCATGGATATCTGCTACACCCGAGGGTTGCAGATACGTTGATAACCTTATGAAAATTGGGCTCCAGCCACCTCACTTACCAGACGAAACGCGAAAGTATTATACTTCCACTCTACGCCGGTTTTCTGTGAGGTTGTGGTACTTACCCAGACGAGCCTGCCCATTCGTGCAACAGCCGAGGCTGCAGTGTGGCCCTACCACGATTGAACATACTACCACAGTTGAACATAGTACCACAGTTGAACACAGTATCACAGTTTTTTTTAAATCAAATCGTCAGCCATGTAATGCAATTGTTGTAATCTGAATCAAAGAAAATATGGACTCAGGCAAATATTTGTTTAAATTTTATACTCCCCATCCCTTATTTATGATCACATTGTTTTTAGGATGGCGATGAAGCAGTTGATTTAGGTACATATGATGAGGAAGAGAAGGATACCACTGAATATCGCGAGGTCCAATTTGATCTCATTGGAATGGAAGCTTCAGAGGTATGATGAAACACAACAAATGTAAAACAGAATTGGAACTTCCAGTTTTTTGCATATAGAAGTTGTGCTAAATTATTTTATGCTAAATTTATGAAGGATAACTAATAATGATGTTTTATGTTATTATCATTTATTATTAATGTGTAGTTTAAAGTAAAATTTTGGCATTGGTGTTCATTATTATTTATTAAAAATGTCAAATAATGGATATAGAAACCTGAACATAAAGAACCAATTGTTTACAGGTGGATGATTCTGGAACAAAAGCTACAGAAGATAGACTTCACCAGCTTAGTAAAGGATTGGAGAATGGAGAAGATGATATTAACTCTAAGGGTGATTCTATTAAAGAAGAATCTGCAGAAGATTCTACAATAGCAGTGCCAATTAACGAAAACCTTTTCCTAGATGAAGATTTAGATGAAGAGTTGCAAAATTTAGATCTTGAAGACTAGCCCTACATGCTTAAAGCGTTTTTGTACATAATAAATTTGAATGGAGCTCTGGATAATAAATTTATTGAAGTTTGGCTACATTTTTTTGTAGGTTTTGTTTAACATAACATAGGTTATATTTTAAGTTGTTGAAACAATTTGTCAATAAAAATAATTTTGCTTCTTTCAATCTTAACAGCCATAACCAACCATTACAGCTTATTTTAGTCCATTTCCAAATCAAATGTCTTATTTACCAGGAATATAAAAAGTTTTATTTTATACAATAAAGTAAAATAAATATAAAGGCCTGGTTCAGATCTTGAAATATTAAAATATAACCAATATTTTTTTATATTTCATATTCATTAATTTGTCATGAGTTTTTGGAACATAATAAGAAATTTATTATTATATAAGTTAAATTATATTTGTAACTTTATAAGCATACTACTTTTTTAAATGACTATTTGACGTCGAAACGTGTACCATAGACCATACTAGTTTGTGAAAATTGCAGCACCATGGCACCCTTGATTAGATCCCTATATTTTGTAATCTATGGTTGCGGTTGTCAATGTCAAGATCATATGTATAATTTTTAATTACAACGAAATAAAGTGGATTATGAAATAAGTACATATTTTGATTATTTTTATTTCTAACATTTTAAGAAATGGCTTCTTTTATTCTACGTAGAAATATAGTAAGTCGACATTTGAAAAGACCATTCTATCACAACAAGCGTAATGCTGGATACGTAGTTTTGTAAGTATACTTTTAATTTTTGGAATTCGTATAAACTAATATATTTACAAATTTTCATATAATACAAAACACCAGAAACGAATATTTAGACATATTTATAGTGGAGTTAATTTTTAAAATGGATGTACAAGTTTCTAGGGATCAACTTATTTACATGCATTGTGAAAAAGATACAAAGTATTTACCGAGTTATCTTTATCAACTTATTTTATACTTATTAGCGAATGTTTTGTACTGCATTAACACGTTATTTTTTTTTTAGTTTGGTTCATTATTGATTGATTTCAATGAAGTTAACCTTATCTACACTAAACCTGGACCCATAGTAGGATTTCCGTCTAAATAATGACTGTCTCTAACTTTTCATACTTTTTTTTATTTTTTGAATGTGAGAAGACTGTTTAACTGATATTAAGTGATAACAGCCATTCATGGGGTTGCAGATATGTTGACACCTTTTAATAAAGTAGGCTCCAGCTCCTCACTTACCAGATCAATTAACACTTCCACTTCGGACTGGTATTCTGTGAGTTTGTGGTACTCGGACGGACCTGCCTACTCATGCAATCATGGACTGTTGTGTGGCCTTACCACAGTTAAAGTGGTCATTAGTTGGTAGAAAGGTTACTGCAAATTCTAATGCATGTTAAAATATAATCTGAGAACCCAAGCACCCCGGTTCAGTAGTTTTGGTTCACAAGGATATCATGCTTGTGAACCAAAACTACTGAACCAATTTAAATGAAATTTGGTACACAGATAGTCTAGAGCCTAAGAAAGGACATAGGCTATTTTTTAAATGGAATTTTTTTTTGAAGAAATATTTAAGGGCTCAACGCGAGCGAAGCTGCGGGCGAAAAGCTAGTTTGTCATAATTATGAGTCCTTTTTACAAGTTTAGTAGTATCTTAGAAACTAATACAACCATTTTGTGGCCAAAAACCTTATGAAGTTAAACTGGGCTTGTTTGTGTATTACATAGATTTTATAAACTCAACAAAACAGGTTTGTGTATTCCTCAAAGGGTGTATTAGGCTGCTGATATATTAATCACACATTTTGTTTATAAAATTTAATATAGCTTTGCCTAAATATTATTAAGGGACACAAGATTTAAGCAAAAGTACAATCATACAGTCACAAGATTAAAGCAAAAGTATAGTACTACTTCATACTGGCCTTCCATTAAGCTGGACTTCCTTGGTTTGCTCCGACCATGAGTGTAACAGCAGAAACTGTTGCACGCCCCTGCTATATCTCTTTGCTTTTATTTTCAGAATTCCAGAAATTGGTGAAGATGCAGATAAAAACATACTACTTTCAGACAATGGCTTGCCAGAGTTCAATGATATAAGTATAGAGAAATGTATTGCTGCTATAAGCAAGCAGAGTATGGAATACGAAAGTGGTGTGAAACAGATAGAACAGTCAACGGCGGATTGCAGGAATGCTTTTGTAGAAATATTTCAGCCTTTAGAGAAGCTTGATAGCCAATTAGAGTTGACATGGGGAATGGCTAAAACACTATACCTTGGCAACAGTTCTCTCATGCCGACAAAGTCCTATATACAAATACACGAGAGGGCCCACAAAGCTCGCTCAGCTAAATTTAACAGTGTACCCATCTACCATGCGGCGGTAAACGAGAAAAACCGTCTGAAGAATCTTACAGATGAAGAACAGCGTCTGCTCGATAAATACATATTGGAGGGTAGGCTAAACGGTTTAGATGTCAAAGGTACAAAACGCGACAGGCTGCACAGCGTTTTAAGCGAGTTGCAGAAGGAGAGACAACTATTCCGCGACAAGGTTAACGTGGCCACCAAGGTGTTCAAAAGCACAATTAATGACGAGCAAATCATAAAAGAGTTTCCGGAAAGTCTCGCGAAAATCATGTCGGTGAATAACGACGCGAGTAAAGGCCCTTGGAGGGTGACACTGCAGCCATATATTTACGAGCCCTTCATGCAGTACTGTCCAGACAGAACTCTCAGATGGAACGCGTGGCAGGGGTACAACCAGCGCTGCTCCACCTACGTTAATAAGGATTTCGAAACGAGCACGGTCGTCGAGAAGATCCGCAGCCTGCGACAGGAGCAAGCGGCGATCCTCGGCTTCGACACCTTCGTCGACATGAGTATGGAAACGAAAATGGCCGGTTCTGCGGAGAACGTGACCAACACCCTCGACAGCCTCCTGGAGAGCGCCCGCCCGATGCAGGACACCGAGCTGGAACAGCTGCAGAGTTTCGCGAACGAGCGCGGCTTCAACAAGAAGCTCGAGCACTGGGACGTGCCCTACTGGCAGAGGAAGCAGAAGTTCACCCTGTACGAGTTTGACGAGGACAGAATACGCGAGTACTTCCCGCTGCCGAAGGTGGTCAACAGCCTGTTCAACCTGTGCGGCACGCTGTTCAACGTCGAGATAGTCGAGCGCCCCAACGTGCACACGTGGCACAGGGACGTCAAGTTCTACGACGTGTTCGACGGTTCGCGCGGCGGCAACGGCCCCGCCGCAAGCTTCTACTTCGACCCGTACGCGCGCCAGGACGAGAAGATACGCGTACACGACGACGCCGGCTGGCACATATCGATACGCAACAAGTGCACCGCCACCGCCTCGACGCCGCTCTCCGCCCTAATATTCAACTTCCAAGCGCCCGCCGAGGGGAGGCAGTCGCTGCTGACCTTCAACGAGGTGGGCGTGCTGTTCCAGCGGTTCGGCCACTCGCTGCGCCACCTGCTGACGAGGGCGAACTACTCGGAGGTGGCGGGCCTGTCGAACGTCGAGTGGGACGCGGCCGAGGTCTGCGGCCACGTGATGACGCACTGGCTCCACGACCCGCACACGTTGAGCGCGCTCAGCGGCCACCACGCCACCGGCGAGCCGCTGCCCGACTCGGTGGCCCAGAACCTCGGGAAGGTCAGACGCCACATGTCCGGCTACAACCTCTGCAGGGAGCTGTACCTGTCGCGTTTGGACCTCGAGCTGCACTCCACGAAGGCCTTCTGGCGGGACGTGGTCCGCGAGCTGTGGCCGAAGTACCACGCGATACCATACGACAAGCACGACGCCCACCCGTTGTCCTTCGTCTACATCTTCTCCGGGGAGTGGGGTGCGGCGTACTACTGCCACTTGTGGTCGAGGATGGTGGCGGCGGACATCTACGGCGCGTTCGACGAGGCGAGGGCGGGCGGTGACCTACTGGCGGTGGGCCGCAGGTACAGGGAGACGTTTCTGGCGGAGGGTGGCGCCTGCCACCCAGGGGAGCTGTTCCGGAGGTTCCGCGGCAGGGACCCCTCGCCGCACGCCCTTCTCAACAGCCTCGGGCTGCCGAGGAAGCTGGCTGAAGACTGAAGTGATCACCCAACTATAGTGAAATCCCTACTAATATAGTGTCTGTAACAACTTCATTTCCTTTCATTTTACGGTCTATGGATTTTTCACTGGCGTTGCCTGGAAATTGATGATTTCTCATAATCCATGTGTAAATTGGTGGTTATTGAAATATACTACACATCAATCTTTGCTAAATATACGAACTGATTTATCGTCGATAGACTAAAACTACTGTATATTATCATGGAAAATATCAAATGGAATTTTTAAAAATCCACTGTAAGATAAACGCGCAGTCACTGAGATAATGTAATCTAAGAGGTATTTTAATTTAAATATAAAAGAATTTGCTTTTGTTAGTTGTTTGTGACACAATCGGTAAATTTATCTTAACGTATTTATACTTTAGTCGTATACCAGGGTTAGTATAGACAGTAATCTAATTTTACTGGTCCAATAAAACAGCATTTCGGTAGCGTGAAATTGACAATAATTTATTTATAATACCCGTTTGATTATAGACAAAATATCTAAATTGTAACGGGGATTGAATGTCACAACGGTACCAGCACTTAATTAAATTACAATGAGTAATCAATAGTGTTAGTAGTAATTTAAAAACCGATGAAGGATTTTTTTTTACTCAAAAATAGGACTAAAGCTACAATTGCTACTGTTGTGTACATTTAGTTTTTGGTGCTTGTTTATTTTATTTTGGTGTGCAATAAAGAATAAATATTCTTTATCATTCATTCATTCATACTGAGTGCTCTAGTTCCAGATTTCCCCACGTCATATCTGATAGGGAACTTAACATATTCTTCAAACATTATTCCGAATATTTCCCAGACAGACTCCTTATCGATAACGTCGCTAATGAGCAATAAGAAATCTATTTTTGTCTGTTGTTCTGTTGGTCAAGGAACTATCACGGCTGCACTTGTTTGAGCCATCACTATTCGGAGTCGGGGTTTTGCTCCCAAGCGCGTTCCATGTTGTGAACGTCATTTTTGATATTTTCGTCGTCGGGCAGTAGATTGGAGGCGGCCTTCATTTCGTCGATGGCTTTGCTCAGATATCCCAGGCGGGCTAGGGCCGCGGCGCGGCGGGCTATGCACTTGGCGCGGCTGCGGCGGTTGCCCTCGCACGGGGGCTTCAACAGGTCCAGAGCGGTGGAGCAATCGTTCACCTGCAAGTTCAAATGTGTTGGTGATTATAGAGGTAACATCATCCTACTGATAATGAGTTCCCCCTGCCCTTATCCAACCTAGATGGAGTCGGCAAATGCGAGTTGTGTTGTTAACGGTATTGGCCGGGTTTCTTTATGACTGAACCGCAATATAAATAGAGAATCGATCGATGGATATATGGAGAATAAATAGCAGACGGGACTACCAAACGTACACAAAAATTGAGCCTGGTAACTTATGACACTAGGGCGTTAGACAACTCTGTCGGTATCGTGACCGATGAATGTTAAGTATTCGAAACTTCCTCATGACTTAACTCAAACAGAGATGTTGGACATAGTAGCTTTCAGTTTTTATGTAACTTTGCTTATGTTGTAATAAGTTACGTCCTGGTAGTGTCTTTTTATGTGAGAAGGTGGCAAACGAGCTGGCGGCTCGCTTGATGTTAAGTGATAACCGTTGCCCATTGACATTTGCAACACCCGTAGGGTTGCAGGTGCGTTGTCACCTTTTAATAAATTGACCCCCGACTACCTCACTCACCACACGAAACGCAAAAGTATAACACTTCCACTTCACGCCGGTCTTATGTGAGGTCGTGGTACCTACCCGTCCATTCATGCAACAGAAAAGACCATTGCGCGAGGTAATAGGTAAAGTGAAACTATTTGTTTCCCATCAAATTCGGAAACAGCGAAAATATATCTTATCACTGCCATAGGGGTCAGTGATATAGAAGTCTAGTGATTTATTACTGCAAAATCTAGTAATCTTAGTGGTCGTGGTAATCCAGTCTCTACGAGTAATCGAGTATACCAAAATCTTGGACCACGCTGTGACTGTTCTGAAATATAGAGAAATAATAGTTTTGCTTCACTTACGCATTTGTTGAAATTTCCCAAAGCGAAATGGGTTGCAGCCCTATTGGAGAATAAGCTTGGCAATTTATCGGACAACGTGATTCCATGTGTGTAAGCGCTTATCGCTCCAAGGAAGTTTCCGTTTCGGAAGAATTCATCACCCTTCTCCTTGCACCACTGAGGGTCTTGCTCTTCAGGACGTAGGTCTTCGGAAACAAATCCTTGGAAAAAATAAACTTGATATAACGTGTTGGGATCCCGGTAATGTTTTCTCGCAGTTGCACAAGGACAAATTGTACTACGTTTCTAGAAGTGCTATGAATGGAAACTGTACATACTTCAGTTTTGTCATGAGCCGTGATCGCTCAGTGTCCGGGTGTTCGCTTTTACTAATATACTAATGAAATTGTTAATTTTGTGAAGAAAATTGCTAATTAAGTTCAGACTTACAACGCGCTCAGCGATAAACGTATAAACATCGCGATGAAACCCACATATATTTTCGAAATTATTGCAAAAACGAAATATTTCGAACGTATGTGAACTGCGACAATCCGCAGTGGAAAGTGGGAATTTACTTTGTCATTAAACACTTAACAACACACTAAACAAACAAAAAGTTACAGAATTCGAAATCAACTTTTCTGATACTCCTTCCATCCTATCCTATATTCTCACTTTCAATATCTATATAAAGTTTAAATTAATAAATAATTAAACTTTATTTAAAATACCAATAGCTCTCCTCGCTTGTGTGATATTCTTCAACCAGGCTTCTTCTTCATCCACAGTAGATTCTCTACTTGGCGTAGGGAATGATCTTGGTGTGTGCTTGATCTCCAACTCCCTCGTTTCCCTTAACTTTGGCAATACCCTTGTCGCAGCTTCTTTTTTCTTCTTTTCCACGTATTCCGATTTTACCTCTTTCTTATTTTCAGTATGACACTGTAACGGCTGTTTAGATATCTTCGGCTTTTGGGATACATTTTTCTTAGTTTCATTGTCAATGTCATTTTCCTCATCGCCACTTGACGATAGTTCGATTATCTTGACACCACCGCTATTATCATTTATAGGTTTTGCTTTTTTATATTGCGAACAGAAATTTTTATCTCCATTAACTTCGACGGAAGGGACAGCGTCAAATTTCCTATCAAACTTTTCGCGCCATTGCTCCAATTGGTTCATGGCTTTATCGCGTTCGTGGTTCCTCCTCGAGTCCATCAAAGAATGTTGCTTCGAATCAATTTCCATTGCCTGCTGTACTGCGTATCTGTCCAGCTGGTTTTTCTTCAATGATTTCTGTTCCGAACGCACTTTCGCCTCTTCTTGGCACCTCTCGTGTATTTTCTGTCTCGCTTCCATCTTCTCCTCTTTGCTTAAACTTTTCTCCAGACTCACCCAATCAAGTTCCTTCTTTTTAACCAAATCAAGCACGATTAAGTCATCTTGCACTGTGCACGTACCTTTACTACTATCAACATCGTAGAGCAAGAATACTTCGAATAAAAATGGATTGTAGTGTATTTTAATGTACGAATCGGTTGTGAACACATCAGGTTTATTTCGGTTCGTTGAATTCAAAGGGATTCTAATATTCAGGCTGCTGGGTGTTTGTGTCCACATGAAATCCTTTACAAGAATAGGCATTTCGGAGATATTGCAAGAAATAGATGTGCGAGTTACCTAAATCAACATTTACTTAAATACGCGTTACCAAGGCGACAAACATAGTATTTAGTCAATTTTGCACTGTACCTTTTTTTACGAAATCTCTTCAAATTTTGATGAAAATAAATAAATAATGTCCAAATATTTTCAGTTTTGAAAAAAATTTGAACTTTAGTGATTTTTTTAGTACTACTCATTTTTACTTACAATTAATTAGGGGAAAGTTGGGAACCTTCGTACGGTTTTTAAATTTTATTTCTACTATTCCATTAAATAGTGCTGGTATATTTGTCTGAGATTAAAAAAAAAGATCTGTGGATGATATCTTATGTTTATTGCACAATTATGAATTAAACTTGATCTGAAGTACATCTTTCAAGTCCTTACTTTAGAATAACAATAATAAATATAACAAAAATAAATGACTTCTCTTCTGATTATCAAAAATTATACTTAAATTATCTTCAAGTTAATAAATTATTAAAATACATTTCTTGCATTATATTTTTATAGGTTTATAATTTCGCACCATTAAAGAAAAATATTAAATACATATTATAATAAAATAAATATACATTAACAATCGGCATGGGGCACCTTCAAATGCGTACGAATGTACCCCGTGGGGTTCTGTACGAAAGTGTCCCATTAACCAAATAATAATAATGAAATAGTTTTTAAAAAATACCTTAAAGATGTTGACTAGTAACCGGTAGAAAAACTGTGTAGAATTGCTTGTCATATCTAGTGTAATGATGCACGTAACCGTTAAACAAAAAATTACTTACCGAGCGCGAAATTACGTTGCTGTCTGTCACTTTGCTCTCCATGGTGGGAATGGCGTGAAACTACATTGACGTATTGATAGCTAGGCCCTAGGCCTTAGGGTTACAAAAGGAATGCCAGCTAGCTTGTCGTTTGTGTTTTTAACTACTGTACGTATGCCTACCTTCCCCTACTTGATAATTAAATCACAGTATTTTGTTATACTTTACTCGTTTCCATATTTCTTATTTTTCCCATCTCAGTTCTATCATTCTATCTACATCTTGTCCATATTTAATCTAAAGAAACTTGTATCAATTCCAATTCATTTTGCGTTGAATGAAATTCGAAGCTGACAACACCATCAGTTAATTATGTAAGACCTTTTGCAAATACAAACAATAAAACAGCGGCAATGGGATATATAACTTGATAAGAGACTGATCTTATCTGTTGTAAACAACAAAAATTACTGTAGCCTAAAGTAGTTAGCTGTGTCAAATGTTGGTAGTCTAACATATTTAGGTTATAAACTTTGTGTAGCTTAAAATACTCTCCAGTTAACATATTTAGCACAATGAGTTCCAGAGTACAAACAGGTAATTTTTGTATTAATAACAACTATTTAATTTATAGATGTCGATGTAGAATCATATGTTGTACTATAAAAATAATAACTAATAAGATTTTTGCCAAGATATGTGTAGAAACTTTTCTAACCACAAGAACGAAATATGTTTATGAGGAATATTATGAGGTGTCTGGTGTGTCATTGTCATTATGACAGCTAACATTGGAAAAGATACACGTGACCATGTCATTTGTCTACTTGGTACTGTCGTATTAATATGCTAATATGTACTCTGTGGTACTGTTGAAATTGAAACTACAGTCACACAAGTCTTCCAACCATTTCCTTAGTATTACTTTACTCTATGCTTCCAACTCTGGATTTCAACTTGGGTAACGCACTGAGTCGCTAGCATGTAGTGTAGTGTGACAAAAACGACGACTTAAATCGATGTTTTCTCGGTTATCAGAAAAAATTAGAATTAATTAAGAAACGTAATGATGATTAATTTAAAAGCAATATAATTTTGAGTCTCTTCATAAAGAAAAAAACAAAAATTACAGTATTACGCATTAAATAAGAAAAGAATTAGTAAGCTAGAAACAATAATGAGGAAATAAAGGTAAAACCTTTTATTTGACTTAAAAAATGTGTGTACTTAAAATAAATCACGCAGCAGGAGTGAACAATACGAAACAAAAAAGTTTTGTTTCGTATTGTTCTATAAACTAGTAACATTTTTGAAGTGTCTCAAATACGAATTGGAACGACAATGACCTCGAAAGACCGCGATCTGTCAACTGTCTTTCTTGTGAAAAGTTGCAAGAGAAATTTACTTTTAAAGTTTAAAAACTTTTTCCGTTATACTTATTTTGGCCCGTTTGGGGAAAATGATGACAGTGAATTTTTTTGATATATGTGACCTAAAAGTGACACCAATATCGCTGTAATAACTATGGCAACCTTTAACATCTTCATGACATTTTTTTACTATAACTCCAAGTTATTTCATTAAACCGTTATCGATTGTATAATGTTTTTATTTTCCACAAATAAATAGTACTGGTACACTAGATAAAATTTGTAGTTACTTTTATTACTATATCCCTCTCGTTTCCTCAGTCGACTCGAGATGACTACCTGAATAAGCGTTACATAGCCTAGTCGGCCAGTCTCATTCAATACCAACAAAATAAAATGCTCAGGCCGCCTAAAGAAGTTTTCACTATAAAAATGCGTGAATAATTTTTCTAATAGAAACTATGACCTCCGTAATTACATACATCGTGATAGCATAGGCCGTTCGCCGACTCTATGGGGTATTCGATCTCATCCTGCGTCTTGCAGATGTTGGGTAGTGGAAAACTGTCCAGGTCTTTCAAAAAAATCCTCTGGAGCATATGCTATTCGTGCACAATTGGCCTTAAGTCCGGCGATTGAGCAGGCTACGGCAAAACTTTAACGGTGGTAGAGCCACGTGCTGCGTGGCTCTACCACCGTTAAAGTTTGGCCTCGGCTGTTGCACGAATGGGCAGGCTCGTCCGGGTAAGTACCACGACCTCACAGAAGAGCGGCGTAAAGTGGAAGTATGACAAATACTTTCGCGTTTCGTCTGGTGAGTGTGGTAGCCGGAGCCCAATTTTCCAAAGGTTGTCAACGCATCTGTAACCCTCGGGTGTGGCAGATGTCCATGGGCGGCGCTATTCACTTAACATCAGGTGAACCGTCTGCTCGTTTGACAACTTTTAGCATAAAAAAAAAAAAAACTTGTATTTTCAGCTCCAAGAATCATTCTTGATTCCTCCTGGCTGTATGGAAACGAGCATTGTCGTGTATCGGAGTAAAATTTGTGCCAATGCTCTGTGAAAAGGGGAGAATACGAGGCCGCAGAATGTTTCGACGTGAGAATAAGCGTCTAAGTTGCCCTTTATGGAAATGAGCTCATTTTTTCTGTCTTCATGATTACTTTTGACGTACTGTATAGAAAAACAGCCTGAATATCTCAGTCGCTCACTATTTCCAACACGTCGACTCTTACTCATCTTTGACTCTCACTCGTCACAAAATAGGATTTTGTTCCAAGCTTCTTGAGGCTACTGTACGTGCTCCCTGCAGCGTCCCTGGATGTCGGTGACGTCGTTTCTTAATACGGATGGGTAATGGGCACCTTATCTGGCGCTTTGCATGAAGGCTATATTCCTCCAATCTGTTTCACTAAAGATCGATATTACCTGTGTTGAAAAGAAAACATGTACCTACTACCTTTTTTTAAAAGAGAACAAGAGGAAAGGTGGAAATTTTTCTCTCATTATTCACCGTGAGTGTATTCAGGGCAAGTTTTTATTGAGCTTGTGAGTTTATAACCTAATGCAACATCGTTGCGTTCATCAGGTGGCATGGTAGTAGATAAAATAGAATATAATAGATAAAAATTTAAATGGTCACTGATAGACCGAGGCATATATTCATCTGGTATTAAGAATCGATAAAACATAACATAATCTCACGTTTGTGAAAGGACGGTCGTGGTTGTATCTGTTATATTGTATGAAAGGCCGCCTTGTTATAAATTAGAGTGAGATATTGTATCTTTGAACTTTCATTGCAGTCAACGGTGACATCGACCCGAGGCTGCTCGGCTTGACGCTTACACACGAGCACTTGCACATGAAATTCACGCACTTCTACAAGCAACCGCCGAAACACATCGCCGATAAGTTCCAAACCGGATTTTCTCTACAAACTGTCGGCTATTTGAGACAGTACCCGTACAGCTCCCGATGCAATTTACTTCTCAACGACACCGACTCGGAAATGGCCATTAAGGATGACGTGAAGGCGTTCAAAGAGTACGGCGGTGGTATGTGGTGACATATTTGTCAATCGATATCATATCGCATTAAAAAAGATTTAAAAGTTTAATTCTTGCATGTTCATTATAACTTTTAGTTTTAAGCGTTTATACATTTAAATATTTGCCTTTCTACTTTAAGGTTAAATTTCCAGGAACTCACTTGCCCCTCGGATTCTGTATCTATCAGTTGTGGTTTTAACTCATGATCAGATGAACTGCATGTTCTCTTACTGCTAGAAGGCGTAGCAGAACTGAAGACACTTTACGGCCAAAAGGAATTAACAATGAGTTTTTTATTATACAGCATAATATCTGTCAGATGGCTGATTTTTTTCCTACTTAGTTGACACTTATCATTACACATATTTTGGTGAATTTACACAATATCTTTATAAATTATAGCCTATGTGTTATTCTGATGTATGAGCTATGTTTTTGTTAAGATTTATTAAGATTTATTCAGTAGTTTTTGCGTGGAAGAGTAACAAACATCCATCCATCCATACATACAAACTTTCGCGTTTATAATATAAGTAAAGAGTAAGGATTTCGCGTTTATAATATTAGTAAGGATAGTAAGGATTAATCACCTTTTCTTTCAGGTGCTATCGTGGAAAATTCCACTGTGGGATTGGAGAGGAACATTGGTTTCCTCAAGGAGGTTTCTGCGAGCACCGGCGTGCATGTCGTGGCTGGGACGGGGTTCTACATCGCCGACACGCAAAACGGCCAATCGGTCAACAGCACGAGAGAAGATCTTTACAATCATATGTTGAAGGAATTGTCGGTCGGATGCCTTGACTATCCTTCAGTGAAAGCGGGTTTCATGGGCGAGATAGCCAGTGTATGGCCTTTGAAAGGTGATTGATTATCTTCCCATAAGAATTTGTTTGTTTACGAGTCGACTACCGTACATTCAGTCCCAGTTAAGTGCTGACTTAGGGTAGGTTGATAATAATTTTCACTGGATCCGTCATGGCTCCTAAACTGCTTGCCCATTTTGAAGGGTAATGAAAGGAATAAAGATATTCATTCCAAAAGAATCCATAGTAATGTTTTTCTTATCATTTACATTTAAAGGCTACAGCAGTTTAAGTGATGAAAGTCAGAGATGCTCAAAATACTTCATAGGTGAGGTAGGTTTAGCAAGAGTGTGGGGCAAATTGTGTAGTCAGAAATTCAAGCTAAACCATGGTTTACATGTTCACTAGGGGCGAAATAAAATTACTATTTTATAATTGACTTCTTATTTATAACTTGTTATTTATAATTGACTTGTTATTATATGTATAACCTGTTACTTTCATAAAAATTAAATAATAAACAGGCTTCAAAATACAAAGCTAATGTTTTAAAAACATAGTGAGCCATTCTTTTCCGGTCATCTTATCTGAAGTCAAAGATTCTGTTAATTTCAAGATTCTGTTCAATTTGCTGAGATATTTCGATCGCCTAACATACCACTATGCTCAGCAAGCCCCGCCAACTTCTCCTGTTCTATTCAGCTTCTATTAACTATAAAACTTACGGACATGTCTGATCATTTTCCTCCGAAATACTAACCCTTTGGCAACTTAAATAACATTTGAAAAGCCACTTGCCAGCTGATTAGTAAACTTCTACGATGACCAGTGTTTCAGAAACCGGGCGTAACTGTACTGACCTACAGCAACAGGTAAACCAGCACCTAAGGTGCTTAGCGGTTCAATAGCCATTCACTTGTGCATAAAACACATGGGTGACGCCTGTTACCTCTGAATATTCCATGATCAAAGCCATTCCGGCGCCGGTTCTTCGACAGTTCTTCGAACGTTTACAACGTGGTGTTTACAAGTCTCCGGCTGTCCACTGACTCATGTTCAGATTTCGAGCGTACGGCGATCGCCGCGGCGGGCGAGGTCCAGGCACAGCTGGAGTGCGGGGTCAGCTTCCACCCTCACCGCGACCCCGAAGCCCCCTTCGAGATAATGCGCGTGTACACGGAGGCCGGCGGGCGCGCTGACAAAGCCGTCATGTCGCATATTGACCGTGAGTTTTAAAAAAGTATCAGCCTATAAAGTCCCACTGCTGGGCAAAGGCCTTCTCTGTACAGAGGGTATCAGGGCATAGTCCACCACGCGGCCCCACTGCGGATTGGTGTGCTTCACATATTTTTGATTTTTTTTTATTATTATTTCGAAAATATGCAGGCTTCAACGTGATAATGAGTTGTACTTATATCTATATTTACCAGCAGCTCGCCGCTTTACATGGTAGGTTTAGCAGACTTAATACGCCCACGTTTATAGACGCGGCATGATAATATCCGACATGTTCAACAATCATCATGAAATTTCAGTCAATTTCGACATACCATTGTGAATTATAGGCCTTAATCGTCCTCATGATTCACTCCGTCTATTGGTGAAAACTGCATAAAAATTCGATCAGAGATGTTTAAGTTGAACATGTTACACCTACATACGGGGTGGGCGAATACGTATTAATCTATTTATTTATACTTATTCTCTAGTCGTAATAGAATAAATATGTATTTTAAAGATATATTCAAAACATTTTATAGTAGTTATAGATACGATAGCTATGTGGAAACCTTGAAGCTTGACACACTATAAACTGCGTCACAAACTTCAGTGTCATCTTATGTAGCCAAGAAGGAAGATTCACATCTAACCTAACCTATACCAGTCACACATTTATATACACTTTTATAATTCCAATCGCTCATACAAATCACACACGTACGCACACACGAATAAAATACACACACACAGACAGGCATGTCCAAAAATTAATATGCAAATGCTGTTGTATTTATTCATAATCTTTTATTGTTAAATTTGTTCTTGTTTATTATTTATTTATTGTTAAATTATTAAATATTGTTATTATTACTGTCATCGTCGTCATCTATCGACCTCACCAGGCTCCACTGAAAACCAGCAATCGCGAATTTTTTTCGCAATGTAATGCCGAGTCGGTGACCTTTTTGGTGCATCGACTGATAATTTTTCATTGTTTTGTTATTTTAAGTTTTTTTTTGTACCAAATAAACATTTCTTTCTTTCTTCAGTCATCGACTGATAATTTTTCATTGTTTTGTTACTTTAAGTTTTTTTTGTACCAAATAAACATTCCTTTCTTTCTTTCTTTCTTCAGTCAAAATTACAAAGTAAATGTTTCCCAGGTACTTTATTCAAAACCGAGGAGCTGTTGGAGTTTGCCAAACTGGGCGGCTACTGTCAGTTCGATCTCTTCGGAACGGAGGTGTCTTACTATCAGCTGAATGAATCCGTGTCGATGCCCTCAGACGCGCAGCGCTTGGACAAAATAGAGGAGCTCATAAAACAAGGGAAGGAGGACCGGATACTGATGTCTCATGACATCCATACGAAACACAGGCTGGTGAGTAGACAGAATGGCGGAGACCAGCTGTCAAAAATATACCTGTTTTGTTTTCAGTTTTTTGAAGTTACTCTTTAGGCGCGTTATGACAAAATGATGCGAGTGAAATTTTAAGATAATACCGCTTTTTTATAGATGGCAGCATATTCTCAATCAAAATCGCCCGTTACAGTTCTCAATAAAGAATTGCGCTTTCATAATTTCGCTCTACTTTTGAACGTTTGTATGCATAAGTATGTATCTATATAAACTCGAGTTCACTGTTTTGCAAAAGTCAGTTTTGAAACGATGTTTTGATTTTATTATTCAACTTGTTTCTCTTTTCGTACGCCAAAGAAGTAGAACTTCTTACGAGCATAAGTTACGTACATAAGTACACACATACTTTTTTATATTAGAAGATGGCATGAGAGTGGTTCAGCTGAAGTTAAGTCATAACCGCCGCCCATGGACATTTGCAATACACGTAGAGTTGCAGATGCGTTGCCACCTTTAAATAAAATGGGCCCCGGTTATCTCGCTCAACTGACGAAACGCACGCTTGTAACATTCCACTACACGCCGATCTTCTGTGAGGTTGTATAGCATTTACCCGGACGGACCTGCCCATTTCTTTTTTTTTCTTTTTTAATGCGAGGAAGTAGCAAACGAGCTGTTCACCTGATCTTAAGTGTTAACCGCCCATGGACATTTGCAACACCTGTAGGGTTGTAAATGCATTGCTACCTTCAATAAAGTGGCCCCGGCAACCTCACTCACCAGACGTAATGCAGAAGTTTAACACTTCTACTTTACGTCGGTCTTCTGTGTGGTCGTGGTACTTTCCCTGATGGATCTGCCCATTCGTGCCACAGCTAACACTGTTGTGTGGCCCTACCACAGTTCTTGAAGTAAGTAAGAAGTAAAACACTTCCACTGGAAGAAGAAGAAGTGAGTAAGGTGAGTGGCCCACTTTATTTTAAGGTTTTTACGGTGGTAGGGCCACGCAGCAGCCTCGGCTGTTGCACGAATGGGCAGGCTCGCCCGGGCAAGTACCACGACCTCACAGAAGACCGGCGTAAAGTTGAAGTATAATACTTTCGCGTTTCGTCTGGTTAGTGAGGTGGCCGGAACCCAATTTTCAAAAGGTTGTCAACGCATTTGGAACCCTCGGGTGTAGCAGATGTCCATGGGCGGCGGTATTCACTTAACATCAGGTGAACCGTCTGCTCGTTTGGCAAGTTTTTACATAAAAAAAGGTGACAACGCATCTGCAAGCCTACGGGTGTTGCAAATGTCTATGCGCGGCAGTTATCACTTAACATCAGGTGAACCGCCAGATCGCATGCCACCTTCTCACATAAAAAAAGCAAAAACTGTTGGGGAAGATAATATAACAAAGTTAATTTTTAGAATTTATTCAAAAACCATAAACAAATAGTTCAATTTTTATTTATATATTGTATACTTATCGATCTTACCTAGAGCCTTGAGGATTTTACGTTATTTATTTTAGTATTACTATTATTATACGTTACTATATTTGTACGTTTTTTAATTCTAGATAAATTTCGGCGGCCACGGCTATTCTCACATAATTAACAACGTGCTGCCAAGAATGAAGACACGAGGAATATCGCAAGCAACCATCGACAAAATTACAATTGAAAATCCCAAAAACTGGTTAACTGTCAAATTCTAGGAAAATATTTAGAATTACCACTTAAGGAATCGAATATTCGTGCAAAATGTCCCCTGCAATTTTTTTTGAGGTTTAACGTTTTCTGGTGTCTGTTATATTACGTCTGTGATGATGTTCACAAATACCTATATTCATAAATGTATTTTCATAATTTCTCTTCATTAATACAAATATGTATAAATAAAATAAAATATAATAATAAAAATATGTTTAAATTAAAGTGTATATAAACTAAATCAAATCACGCTAAATCAGTTACGATTCATTGTTTTTAATTGCGTTTTGTATTTATTATTCTAATTCATACTGCCCGTCAATCTCACCTCCCAATGAATAATATATAATAATACTGACCGATAAAAGTGAGACAAAACTTTTTTGTAGAGTTGTCACATATGAAATTTTTAGACAAGTACTATTCAGTTTTGCATGGTAACATTGCCACAATTTAAAAAAAAATCTTATAATAATGACAAAGAGGCTTGGTGTTCCTACACTCCAGAAGGGCACGACAGACATACATTTTAAGAAGTCGATAAACGGTTTGTACACACCTTACTGCGACTAAAGAAATTAGTTCATTTGACCAAAATGAACTCGACGGTTTCGCTGGCCTCGTCTATGACCGCGGCGACGTTCTCCGTCAGGGGCGCGTTTACAGTGAGAAAAACCTTTTTTGTACAGTTGCCATATATGGAAATTTCCAGACAAGTACTATTCGGTTCTGCGTGCATGGAAACATTGTAACAATGCAATTAAAAAGCTTATTATAATTTAGATACTTATTTAAATAACAAAGAGGCTTGATGCTCCGCCACTTCAGCACGGCACGAGAGACATTTTAAAACGTCGATAAACGGTTTGATCAAATCTTACTGCGTGAAGAGAAATTTGATTTTTTGCAAAGTTCATTTGACCAAAATGAACTCGACGGTTTCGCTGGCCTCGTCTATGACCGCGGCGACGTTCTCCGTCAGGGTCACGTTCACCACCTGGCAGGTGCAGTAGTCGCCGCACCTCCTGCAGCTGGCCCCCTTGCTCGGCTCCGGCTCCTTCACCGGGGGGCTGCAGCAGAACTCCGTGTCCAGGCCCATCTTCTCCCCATCCTCCAGTGTCTGCGGCAGGTGCTGGTTGAGGGTCTCCGGCAGCAGCAGGCTCGCGATCCCGCCCGCCACCAGCAGCGCCCCCATGATTATTAACGGCAACACCATTATATCGGAACCCTAAAACGCAAAGCGGCCCATAAAATTATAAGCGAAGCGGCCCATTATAATCTTTATTTTGTAACCAAAAAGCACAAAACAGCAAAGCGGCCCATACAATAATAATATTTGTGATCAAAAGCACATCTGCACATTGCAATCATAAAATGAAATAGGTACTACAGAAACAAAAACAAAATAAAAAGTGACAGATACGTTAGGACTGCTATATATGCCAGTCTGGCGAAACTAGGAACAAAAAAATGTTTCTATGGACTTTACGCGGCAAATAATGGCGGACATTGCTATCACTCTTCCTCAATGCGATTTCTCTTTCTTGCAATACAAGAAGTGCCATGTTGTTTGTCAAAACTTAATTTTGCACCGCGTATTTTGAATGTAAATGCTTATTTCATTGTAAATTTAAATAATAAACTTTCTCACGAAAACTAGTGACAGGTGATCAGAGTTGTACTTTTAATTCAAAATGCCAAAAAGACGGTTTATTACGTTTGAAATTGCTGAAAATCGAGCAAGTCAATCGAACCTTGAAAAAAGGATGTTTATGGCGAGATTTCCCTTAGATGAAGCCCATGTAAGCACTTAAATATGATACTTTGCAGCCATATGTAAGTAGAGCAGGCTAAGAACAAATAAAATTAACAAATTTATCTTATTTAAATTGTGTGCTAGTGATGTTCTGCAACTGTAATATCGATAACTACGTTTATGTTTATCATTGAAAAAAAAGTAAGAAATAAAATGTTGCGTGAAAGAGTAGGGACACAAAGTTTTACATATTTGAATGGTGTGCCTACATAAATGATCAAGGATCGGAATAGGTGAATTTTGCAGGATTTTGAAACATAATCTCTGTAATATTGATACGTCATATAATTAATTTCGTGCGCTGAGTATGCAAAAAAACTAAAATAACTTTTGGATTTTGATTCTATTTTTATGTTTCAATTATTTCCAGACTCGTATACAGCAGGACAACAGCTGTTGACTGAAGAATCAAGAGACAATAAATAAATTTCATTTCAGTAATAAAATTTTATTTGAATTATCAGAAACCGTTTTTTATCTTATTTCGGGTGCGCATTTAAGTTCAATTTTGTATTAGTACCAAATATCCCCTCATCAACATTGGACATAAATACGGACTCGATACTTACCTAAAATTAATAAAAAAAATATTAAGTGGAAACCTCGCTTTCTACCTAGTATGTTTTATCGATATCGATAAGAAGCTAAGCTAGCTTGGTTAAGCACTATTTGTCTCGTTACGTTGGTACTCCTGTTGTTTGACATCTTTGTGGTATTTTTGTGATATGGTTGGTATTGGAGTGCCGCGTAAACTGATATTTTTGGCTAGTATGGAAGTCCCGTCTCTTAAACGTAGTGATTACATTCTCTTTGATATATGCCACTGCTGTGCAATGTCCTCCTGTATAAAGAGTATTAGGGCATAGTCCACCAATCTTCAAAACATATATTTTGTTATTATGGTTTTGTTATTATGCCGGTTTCCTCACAATGTTTTCCTTCACCGATGTGCACGTGATAATTCAGCACTTAAAATTAGCAATTTTTTTGGTATCGGCGGGGAGATTTGAGCTCGTTTGGAAAAAAAAACTTTAAATAAGTTACTTAATGGCGGTTATCGCAGTTGTGGCCAACAATATTACTCAACAGTATTCAAAATAGTGGGCCTGACCTGCAAAGAGGTAATTGCTCACATCATTGGTCTTAATTGAACCGCTTGCTCGTTTGTTCTTTAAAAAATCTTTTTCGCACGTGTGTACCATTCATGAATCATAAGAAGTTGCTGAGTAGCTTTATTAATAGTAGTATTAGTATTCAACTTACCAGATAGTTAACGAGCGGTATGAAAATCGGTCCGAGCATCCCCAGAACGGAGCTGAGGCTCATGCCAAGGCCTCTAACCACCGTGGGGTAAAGCTCCGACGCCATCAGCGGTAGCACCACGAACGAGGACGATATGCCCATCTTCCCCACGCAGTATAGAGCAAGGGTCACGTAGGTCTCTGGAACATGCCTTAATAAGAATCCCGATGACCTCAAATACATCGGCAGTTGTTAGTTGAAACAGTAGTTGGTAGTTGCTGAGCCTTTAAAGTCGTCAGTTATGGATTCAATTACCGGACGAGATAAGTATTGGCACAATTGGTGTCAAAGTGCAGCTTATGTATGTGATATATGTGATACACCAAATTGATCACCACCGCTATAAAATGTTATACAATATGATAGTAATTTATAATTAGGGATTTAAATAACCAAAAATTTTCAATTGAAGAAATTCGTTATTATAACGAAATAATTCTCCACGAAAACCATTCTCCTTGGTGAGCATGACCGTGAAGATATTACTTTGATTATTTAATGATCATAGTTTAAGTCCAATAAAAGCCAATGTGTCTAGGATTGAATTAGAGGATGCAATTTGCAATCGAGCTAAGGTTAAGGGATAATTATTTGAACTCGTAATCAACGTAATCAACCTTATGGTTTATAGAATGAGATGCTCTAATTTTTGTATACGGTACAGTTCAATATATACATTGAAGAACATTTGTGGTAATCTCTATATCTCAACTTTAATTTCCTAATAAATAAAAATGACCGTCTTCATGGCCGTAGCCCACTTAAGGCCTTAAAGTTTAATTTAGATATTATTGATTACTTATTAGTAAAGTAACTGCCTATATATGTCCCACTCCTGGGCAAAGGCCTCCTACATACAGAGGGTATCAGGGCATAGTCCACCACGCGGCACCACTGCGGATGGGCGGACTTCACATAACTTCGAATAGTTTATTTTTGTTATTATTTCGTAAATATGCAGGTTTTTAAGGAAAACATCGTGGTTTTCCTTCACCGCTGAGCACGTGATAAGTCAGCGCTTAAAATTTACAATTTCATTGGTCCCGGCACCGGGGATCGAACTCGGGGTGCTCGGGTATATTGAATTAAAGGCTAGCGCCCGGACAATGACATGATGGATATTCTTTATCCAAATTTTACTACGGAAATATTAACGTTCCATATTAGGGCGTACCTGTTGAAGGTTAGCGTTGGAATTGGTTAGAAATAACTGTTTCCAGCTAGGACATCTACTAACCGTGCTGCACCAAGAACGTGGTGAGGCAGGCCACGCCGCCAACGACCATGCTCATGCACAGGGTCCACCTCCTGCCGAGGCGTTCCATCGCCGGCCAGAGGAACAGGTATGTGGGCAGCTCCACGATGCCAGCGAGGAAGAAGTTGAGGAACTCGTCCCCGCCGAGCACCGGCGCGTAGTACGAAAGGCCGACGTACACGCTGGTGTTGGTGAACCATATGAACGTGATGATGACGGTCTTCTTCCTCAGGTTGGGCGTCCGGAACAGGTCGAGAACGCCGTACTTCCGCGCCTTCTCCCTCTCCAAGTCCTGTTTCAGCTTGTCCGACTCGTATTTTCGGCGTAACTGCACCATGTAGTTGGCTGGCAGCGATTTTCCGTTTATCCTGTGCGAGGTTGTTTCGGGTTTTTTTTTAGATAACCCTTTTATTATTTTTGTAAATAGTTTAAGTAAAAACGTTTATGTATAGAAATGCGTCGTCAAGAGACGTAGAGACTTAGATATTCTACATATTAAAAATTAAAAGAACGATGATATTTATTTATTATCGTATTAAAATGTTATTCTATCTTCTTGTCCTTAATGTAACGACTATTTTTGTGTATCTTGAAAAGACACCATAAATTTTAGTGCAACTCGATGAAAGTATAAACGTTTAAGATGAATCACTTAAAGGATACATACCTGGCCATATTCTTCAATATAACTTCAGCCTTTTCAAATTGACCTCTAGCCAGCAGCCACCTGGGGCTTTCGGGCATTGGCCAGATGTAAAAGAAGAAGCAGACGAAAGGCAACGTGGTGGCCAGCGCCAGGTGTCGCCAGTCGCGCACCAAGTAGACCACACCGGCCAGCATTATTAGACCCATGGAGTAGGCGATGTTGGACAGGATCGTGCATAAGGTGCGGCAACGGGGGCCGACTAGTTCGATGGCTGAAATGCGTTTTGGCTTTTTTATGTGACAAAAAAAAGAAAAGGAAAGACAAAAAAAAGAAATAGTGCGTGGAGTCCCTCCGCGCGGAAGAAGTGAAACTTCGAGTGCCACGCATTCACTCTCGCTCTGTCTCTTTCTATTCCCCTCCCCAGGAGCGTTGAACGTTTAACGCAACAGTGCTTTCACACCCCCTTGTTGGAAGTCGCATTAGAAGTTTCACTTCAAAAAGAACAAAATGGTTATGTATCTTATTCTACTATCGAAAAACCAAACCGACTTCAAATGTCTCGCTCTGTATTCATTTCATAATTGATTTGCAGGAGTTCCCTACGTATCTCCGGAGCCAATGAAATTAATACGGGACCACGTGGGAAGCACCAGCTTTCAAATAAAAAAAAAAGAATCATCAAAATCGATTTGCTCAGTCGAAAGTTCTGAGGTAACAAACATAAAAACAAAATACAATCGAATTGAGAAACCGTTTTTGAAATCGATTGAAAAGTACGCGCAAGCCACGATTTACCTGATGAGGTTACTGATGCCTCTGCATGCTCGAAGAGTAAAATGTAGGCCCCGTTTTTTGAAATGCGAAGTTACTTATGCAGAATTTTTCTATGCTAGAGTGAAACAAAAAAAATTTAATTTTAACTAACAATTGTATCGGTAATGGCATTAAGAACTGGACTTCAAAATTAGAATTTTTCTAAATGCTTCAATATAGAAATTTTCACTTTGATGAAAGTGCATAGCTTAGTTTCTTACCAAGAACGTAAGGTGTAGCCATTATAGCGGGCACTGTGAACCCGACGCCGATCCTATAAATGATCCAGACCGGGTAGTTCTGGGCGAAGGCCGTGGCGACCCCGAAGATGCTTTCGATCAGGAGGTATATGAAGAAACTGGGCTTTCGTCCCAGCGTGTCTTGCAGGTAACCGAAGATGTAGTTCCCGATGATACCGCCGACGGCCAGAAGCACCAATCCGAGGGTCGGATAGAAGTCTTTTTGGCAAACTAAGTTCCACTGTTACAGACGTTAATAATTTAAACAATTTAGGCAGCGTAGATGAGGAAAGAATAGAGCCTGGAGAATATACAAAGATGACTCCGTCCTCAAGTATTCTATTTTTTTAGTCAGAAGGGAACAGGCGGGCGACAGGCATGCGGTTTAATTGATGTTAAGTGGTAACCACCGTCGCTGCATGCGTTGCCCTTTTAATAAAGTGTGCTCCGGCTACCTCACTCACCAGACGAAACAGTATAACGTGTAAAAGTATAACACTTCCACTTCACGACGGTCATCTGTGTAGTAATACTTCCCCGGATTAACCAATCCATTTCTGCAACAGCAAAAACTGCTCCTACCACAGTCAAAAATTTAAAATCTTTTTTGTTATATGAAGACAAACTTTAATTAAGATTTTTCTTTACAACCTCACTAGTATATTTAGTATTTCCATATACCACCAGATTACTAATCCATAATCGACTAGTCTACAATTAAATTTTCTCAGTAAGTTACTACAAAATACTCTTTTAAGTTACTCTTTTACCGGGTATCTAATGGATCGGATTATGTAGTAAAATATTCACTTATATCCTCGTACACACACTACAGATTTTCTTGTTGGTTCTTCATTAGACAGGTTTCAATAGTTAGACTGTAAACTCTGACCAGAATTAACTGTCTTTAACTATGTCAATTACCTCGGTGACGACGGTATTCTTGTAGACGGTTTTGTCGTAGACCCAGCCGCTTTTACACGGCACGATTTCGCCTGGTGGTTCTGCATCTTCGAGGTACGGGTAAATCCCGGCTAAGTAACTGTAGTTACGATCGTACATGCTACAGGATGAGTACTGCAATGCGTCGTTCTTGAGCTCAAGGGGAATACTAAAACAGAAATAAAATGCAAAACAAATCCCTAAAAATAACCAAAATCGTTCTTGAATTCAGTTTATGACTATAGCTCCGAAAATGCTTTTATGGTATTAAAAGAGAACAAATTGTAAACATAAATTGTATTTTAATGCAATTAAAAGAACGTTGATGTCAGCCGTGAGGTTTAACGGTCGTCTAGCTTGGTTAGTAAAGCGTCTGGGCGTGAATCCTGAAGACGAAGATACGAATCCCACTGCGCCGAAGGCTTTTGTTCACCTGTCTACAAAAATCCACGTTTTAAAACTAAATGTACATTAATAATAGGCGATTAATTCGTCAGTTAAAAGAATTACTCGTTCTTTGATGAGATCGTAATTCCCCGAAGGTGCCGACATTGGACACGGTTCGTAGCAACAACATTATACAATAAAAAGGGTTTTCTAACAAAAAAAGAACCGACTATAAAAAACTTTATAAGCACTAAACGGTTTATATCCTTACTAATATTATAAAGTATTGTATGTATGGATGGATGTTTGTTACTCTTTCACGCAAATACTACTGAATGGATTTTAATGAAACTTTACAATAATATAGCTTATACATCAGAATAAAACATAGGCTATAATTTATATTCATATTTTTATGTATATGCCTTTCTGTCTGAATGTTACGCCCTCAGAATTATTATTCCCTATTCTGCGCAGACGTAGTCGCGGGCAGCAGCTAGTTAATACTAAATCTAATATAATGAAATCTTGAAAATGTAACCTATAAAACCCTTAACAAAATTTAACAATATTTGGAGTCGCTGCCATTCGATTGCCATTAGAACTTTGCAAATCTATATACGACGGAGTTACATATAAAAAAACATAGAAACACCCGAACTGACAGCCTCCTCCTTCACTGTTAAAACACTGGCATTGCCGCCTCACCTCAGGTTCTTGACCACCTCCAAGTCCTCGATCTGCTCCAACTCGGGCACCCTGCACCAGTGCCTCACGTCCGCCGCCATGAACAGCTGCGCGTAGGCGTGGAAGCCGCACGGTATCACAGCCGGCAGCAGCACCAGGTATATCACCAGCTTCTGATATCGGCCGAACACGCCGACGTCCTCCAAAATCGCGTCGAAATCCATGATCGATCTGCTGATCCTGTTCAAAGATTGATCTATGCCACAGATTGATAATTAAAAAGTGAAAATCGGTTTGATTTTGGAAATTAGTATTTGTATAGTAATTTATTGTTTGTTTATTACACTTTTACTAGTGCTGTTGTTATCGTTTATTATTACTTTATTTTATGTATTGATTGTTTAGGTTGTAATTGCTTTTTTATTTAACTTTTTTTATTTATGTTTATTTATGATTTTCCTATTAGAGGAATCTTAACTGGTATTTGTACAAGTTATTTATAATAATTGTAAGTGTGGTGTATGCTGTATGTTTCCCAAATAAATCTTAATCTTCGAATGATTTTTTTGTTATTATTTCGAAAATATGCCGCTTTCCCTACGATGTTTTCCTTCACCGCCGAGCGCTCAAAATTAACAATTTCATTGCGCTGGTATTTGAACTGAGGTTGCTCGAGTGTACTGAATATACCAAGCGAGCGCCCGGACACTGAGCAATCACGGTTCCAAAAACAACTAAGATTTATGCAGAGCTAATTTTCATTCCTATTCCTAGTACTTAGTAGTAGTATATGAAAATATTACACTATTCGATAGTCTTTGAGCTACCATCGACAATAGCGGCATATGATATTAAAAGTACCATTAATGTCACGTCGAAGCTTGATGTCTTCCATCGTGAGCTTTCATAAAATACACTGTGTCCCATGAACACTCTGTTGAAAGATGTCGTCAGCGGTATTTATGGTAGGTATGTTGAAAAGTAGCATCTAAAAAGTTTTGCTCTGCTATCTCTGATAGACAATTGGCAGACAAGGTTAACAATTATTTTTTTATTCATACTTCCATTGTATCATATCTTGCAAATGTACTCAAAAAATTGCATAATCAAATTCACACTATCACACAGAATGAGCCCCGTCATACACTAGAGGCGCCAAAATTAGAGCATTAGAATATAGTCCAGTTACAATTAGTACTTCTGGTGGCAATAGGGCTTTAATTAAAATAAAATACCCTTAATACTGTTCCAAACATTTAATGGAAATAACTCTCACTGCACGGGTTTTGTTTCTCGCTGTAAAGAGTGTGAAACGCGCCAAATTTGCCCTAGCTAAGCCTACTTTTTAGCAATAAAATACATATCGAATCGCTATTAAATTAACTGTTTGTTGAATCAACGCCAGGCATTGAAGTTGGTTTACAATTCGAATAAATAAACTTTTATAAATAAACTCATATTACGCAATTTATAATAGATACTTTGGGTAAAAAAAAAAACAATATACAAGAGCAAAAAAGGTTACCGCCAAAAATATTACATATTTCATAATGGATTGTAGATGCATCTCATCTTGATCAGGTTCATAGATTTTTAGAAATTTTTCTCCATATTTTAAGGTTCATAGATCCTTAATCTTTCTTATCCTTTAAACGAGCAATTCTTGTATATATATATAATCGGAATCTCGGAAACGGCTCCAGCGATTTTCATGAAATTTAGTATGTTATGCACATAAGATTCGGGGGCGAAAAATCAATCTAGCTAGGTTTCATTTTTAGAAAATGTCCTTTTATCCCTGTTTTCAGGGAATGAAAAATATAATTCGAATATGACGGTAAATTTCGCCGCAAGAGAAAATGTCATAATAGCTCGGTCGGTAATCGGGCGGCCCCAAAACAGACGGCCGTGGTTCGCGTCACAATCATTTACACATTAATTTTTTTACTTTTTTTTCGATTCCCGATCATTGCTTTCTTTATTTAAAATTTTTTGTCGATTTGTTATTTTGTTATTTTTTTCCCTTTTTTTTTAAAGTTCTATCTTTTGTGAAAAACATCAGTTCATATTTTCTTATTATTACGTCGGTAAAATCGAAAAATATTATGCATATTTCATTAGTCAGTAATTTGTATCTAAATGTAATTTCCAAATAACAGGATTTACCAAAAAAAAAAAAACAAACCGAGCAAAGCTCGGGCCTCCGGGTACTAATATAAAAATGTGCATCATTGTTACCAAATCGGAATATAATTGAAATGAAAGTGTAACAAATAGAATTGAGAACGTATAACATAATAAAAAAAAATAAAAATTTCATTTATTTCCATAATCTTTGTAACATCTTCTTGCCGAGTTTTCCCAGTAAGTTGTCATGGACACTTGTAGTGGGAATAATGTAGATGATAATGCGATAGAGAATAGAAGACGGTGAACGTTAGATGCTACATAATTATTGGTAATGATTTGAGGAGGAATGCGATAGAATGTAGCCAGTCTGTACTCACGTTATTGGCTCCCTGTCGAACGTGATGAATGCTCGGACGTAGAGCGACAGGTGGACGGGTTGGGGCTACCTCGGTCCGTCTGACTACTTGACTCTAATCATTATTAGTCCCACCCTACGGCGGATACTAAGTACGCCGGCCGGCTCTACAGCGGGAACGCGAATGCGGATGATCCGATATGAAGATACGAAATATTAAAGAGAATTTTTGTCAATCAAATACGTACAATCGGAAAATTTTTGGACTTGTGCTCAATTTAAAAAAAGGTGATGACAAAATCGTCTTGGATGCAAATGTCCTGATAAATAAACTGGTTGGTATATCAGGTACAATTTTCTAACTATAATTATTTAATTTTAAAGGAATATTTAATCATAGTGCTTTATTTAACATCAACATTTATGTAAACATCAACTTAATTAAACCATTTTCCTGTAAGTTATATAAAATTGTCGACAAGACACCGTAATAATGGATTAGAGAATTTCGTCCAGACCTGCTGTCATTAAGTATATATCGAACAAATAAAATACGAAATATTAACATTTCAATAAATATTATCAAAAACTTTTTTTTAATGTAAGAAAGTGGCAAACGAGCTAGCGGTCCACTTGATGTTAAGTTATAAGCGCCGCCCATGGACATTTGCAACACCCGTAGGGTTGCAAAGGCGTTGCCACATTTAAATAAAGTGGGCCTAAATAAAGTGGGCTACCTTACTCACCAGCCGAAACGAAGAAGCGTAATACTTCTTCACGCCGGTCTTCTGTGAGATCGTGGTACTCACCCGGACGGACCTGCCCATTCGTGCAATGAACAATTTTGCTTGGCCCTTCCACGTGAAAAGAGAGCTTATTCTTACATGAAAGGACAGCAACGCTTTTGGAGCTTTGGTGTTACGCATGTCGCATCCTAGCCGGCGATGTGGTGGTGCTAAATTGTGAAGTCCTTAAAATAGTCCATCTTAACACGAGACAAGGAATCGACCAGTGCCGAGCCACGCGACCGGCGCCGCGTGTAAACGCTAGCGAAACACGCAACGGGACGGGAATCGCCCAGCGTACGTTATGGGATGCGCGTGCGCAATTATCCCATTCGTGCGCAGTCATTCAATTCGATTAGGCGCGTAATTGGGCGGCGAAAGGCCGCCTTTAGAGTCCTGGCGGGGCAAGGCCGCCGGGGCGCCCACGCCGGCATCCTGTCGACGTCCAGCGCTCCGGTCACCGTGCATTTTAATTTAGGACGTCGACATGTCGACATACGAAGCAGTGCGTTTAAATAATTCTCTTTTTAGAATCGAACGTTTCTTGAACGGTTTCGTTTCGCAATAATCGTTTCCAATAAGAACAGTTCTTAAAATGGTTGTTTTTGAACGTAACGTTTTCTTGAAGGAAAAATCTTAAATGAACTAGGAAATTCAAAGAATGCTTTTTAAAGAAACGTTTTCTTAATAGTGGGATATTGTTTTTTAATGTTTTTCATAGGTTCCCGAAACACCGAGTTTGGGAATACCTTTTCTTGATGGAAGATTTTCGTAGATGAAGCTATCCTTATTGAACGAAGATACGCTTCTTAAGTTAAGCTTTTTAGCACAAAAAATATGTAGCTAGACTAGCTAATCCATACCTAATGAAATTATGTAGGTAAGCCGGCTAGTGCCGATATATGTACGGTAACACATTGAATGCTACATTTATTAAGCAAACCAATTCTCACTTTTCCTTTAGACTTCTCTCTATATCATTTACATTAGTATAATAGAACTAGAGACTTCAGAAAATGAAGATATATATACAGTGTGTCGTTACAACCGCGACAATAAATGAACACACGTCTAACTCTACATGCCAATAATCATAAAAAATATAAAACACAAAAAAAAATCCATAATTAAAAAAAAATATTTTTCAAACAAACTAGTTAAATAAAAAAGAAACAAAATTTGTACAACTGACTGATTCATACATTCAGAGACGATTTCATTCGTTGCCACAACGTTGCATTACAAGTCTCTCCTTCTAACAGTACGTTTTATCTCTTTCAAATTCATTCAATCCATTTATATGCTTTGTGACCTTTACAAATGAACTTTACGTTATAGTTTTCTAAGTAAGGGTATTCTAAAAATGTTTGTTTTGTAAAATTTTATAACTCTGTAAATATTGTTGTTTAAAAAATGTAATTGCATAATACAATTTTAAAAAGTTATTCTCTATAAGTATGTGTGTTCATTTATTGTCGCGATTGTAACGACACGCTGTATATATATGACATGTTTACATAGCAATCGGCATTATGCTGACAGTTTCTGTAATAAGAAAGTAGTGAACTTCTTTTCTACATATTTATAATTTGATTAAATAATATTTGATCTCTTTGGAAATATTTGATTCTTATCAAGTAGTAAAAAATAATTCGTTACTTTTCTTAACAATTAAAAGGTCCTTGAATAGCGTGTTACTAACTTTAGTCAAACTTCAAATTAGATTACATTCTAGTTCGAACTTCTGCTAAAGTCATCTTGTGATATGTAAGAAGTCGAAAATAAAACAATAAGATTTTGCTTTATCATTATTTTGGTTATGTAATAAAAAAAATAACAGTTCAATACACTAGAAATATGGTGCTGAATTAATGTATTTAGTAGTCCTTCACCACACAATGCATTGATAACAATTCATACTAAAACATATAAGGATAAAAGAAGTAAAAAATAGCAAAAATATTTTGTATCAATCCACTTATTAGTTAAAATATTTATTATAATATAAATTAAGTCAGACTAGCACAAAATAAAAAGACTCACGTTGAAAAGGAGTGAAAATTACATTTGGACTAACTTTGGTTATTACAAATTTTCTCTTATTCCTATACACAGAATTAACATCATTCATTTTTTCAACTGTACTCAAATTCCGAATAAGGTTGTAAATGCATAAAAAATGTATTTTACCTTGGGTATTCTGTAATAATACATGACAAAAAATTTTATTATGATGAGCGCTAGTTAACATCTCTTCGAAATATTAAAAATAAGGTAACCACGAGTTTTTGAACATAAACTCCAGAGTTTGGTAAATGAAATAGATACGTAGACACTGATTATAAATAAAAATAAACGCTTAATATGTTATCAAATGTGAAAGCTAAGTTTTGAAGAAGCAATGAGCGAACTCGTATACAAGCTATTATAAAAGATATCGAAATACGCGCAGCATGTTTGTCGTCGTCTAAAAAGGTTTTAAGTGCTCAAGGGAATAAGGTTTAGTTCTTGTGACACATTTTTCTCACTTTGAAAAATTGCATTTGCAAAAAGCTTCGCGAAGCCTATAAATTACAAAGGGCATGTTTGTCGTCATATCAGAGGGGGTCAAACGGTCAAGGGAATGAGCGCCGTCCGGTTTACACCTTGTGGTACATTTTCCTGTACCATTCGAAACATTTCATTCATATACTTTTAAGTTTCGCGGAGGCTATAAATTACGGATGGCATGTGTGTCGTCATATCAAAAGCGTTCAAACGGCCAAGGGAATAAGCGCCGTACGGACTACACCTTGTGGCACATTTTCCTCTACCATTCGAAAGATTTCATTCATATACTTTTAAGTTTCGCGGAGGCTATAAATTACGGATGGCATGTTTGTCGTCATATCTAAAGCGGTCAAACGGCCAAGGGAATGAGCGTCGTCCGGGCTACACCTTGTGGTACATTTTCCTGTGACATTCGAAAGATTTCATTCATATACTTTTAAGTTTCGCGAAGCCTATAAATTACAAAGGGCATGTTTGTCGTCATATCTAAAGCGGTCAAACGGCCAAGGGAATGAGCGCCGTCCGGGCTACACCTTGTGGTACATTTTCCTGTGACATTCGAAAGATTTCATTCATATACTTTTAAGTTTCGCGAAGCCTATAAATTACAAAGGGCATGTTTGTCGTCATATCTAAAGCGGTCAAACGGCCAAGGGAATGAGCGCCGTCCGGGCTACACCTTGTGGTACATTTTCCTGTGACATTCGAAAGATTTCATTCATATACTTTTAAGTTTCGCGAAGCCTATAAATTACAAAGGGCATGTTCGTCGTCATATCAAAAGCGGTCTAACGGCCAAGGGAATGAGCGCCGTACGGGCTAGACCTTGTGGCACATTTTCCTGTACCACTCGGGGTCGTCGCGGGCCGCCGCCTCGGGCCTGCCGCCCGAGTGCCGGTAGTGGAACTCGGACACGCCCCTGCCCCGCACGCCGTCCACGCGGTACGCGCAGAACCGCTCCACCATCCGCGCCTCCCACTCGCTCGACACGTAGTGCACCGACTCGTACTCGACGAGCACCTGCCGGTGGTCATTTACGGTGATGGCGGCGATGACGAGGCTCCGAGTGGTAGGCGAGGTGGTGGCATTGAGTGGTACTGATTGAGGTGGCGAAATCGAAGCGGTCAAAGTCCGTGTTAGCCGATGGTTCGGGTGGCATTGATCGTGGTGGCGAAATCGAGGCGATTACGGTCAAACTCCGCGCCAAAATGTTTCGTTCAATTTGGCCGTTCAAATGAAAGTCGGAGTTTGATCAAGGAACTCCAGAGTTTGGTATTTTTAAAGTTGAATGTAATGTAGCAGTAGAGGAAGTAGCATGCATCAAATATTAGTATAATTTGCAGAATCCTAGAGAGACTAGGAGGAGACTAGATTTTTTACGGCAACGATGGAAGGTGATGGTTCTGGACAGAGTTGGGGTGATGATGGTGATAGTGTTGACCATCGCAGTTACCACTATCACCAGATTATTCTTACACTACATCACACGTTTCGAGACATGATTTAATATCATAATCATTAATGGTTTGTAGTGGTGATGCAAGAAGATGATTTTGAAAAGTAATGATAGTTGGTGACAATCGAAAATAATAATGGTGAAATACGTGGTACCAACAGCGATAATTGTATGTATAATTGATTTTGCTAGATTTTATATGGTGAATAATTGATTACCATCCCACTTCATAACGAGCGGCAATGAAGTATACACATGATTCATCACCATGAACACGACTTTAACTATAGCTTTTCAGACAATACAGTCAGTGTCTATTTGAGCTGTATCTAATCATTTCTGTGACCTACCTGAGTTGTGTAGATTCTGTCCTCGGCCTTGGAACCGGAAAGCGTAGTCTCTCGGCGCGTCACCACCCTCGCCGTGCTGGTAGAGTTTCAGGTCCACCCACTTCACGGGCAGCACCTCCCCATTTGGCAACCCCACTACGCCCATCTCCATTCTGCAAAACAAGCGTACGTTAAGCTCATTGCTAACGGATTATAGGTGGAACGTTTCTGTTATTCTATTCTTTTTTATTATGCGAACACTTTCCAAGCGAGCAGGCGATTCTCTTGATGTTAAGCGATTACCGCCACCCACGAACGACTACAATACATTTGCACTGTGGTAGGAACATGCAACAGTGTTCACTGTTGCACGAACGGCAGGTCCGGGTGAGCACGAGGTGAGAGTGAGGTAGCCGGGGCCCACTTTATTTAAAGGACGCATTTGCAACCCTATGGGTGTTGCAAATGTCCATGGGCGGCGGGTATCACTTAACATCAGGTGAACCGCCAGCTCGTTTGCCACATTCTCACATTAAAAAAAATAAAAAATTAAGGGTTACAAACACGTTGACACACGTGAAAATATTGTCGTTCACCTCACTCAAGAGACGAAACGCGAATGCACAATGATAATTCCAATTAAAATCGGGGTGAATCGAGGGCGTGGTACGTTATGGTAAAACTTAAAAAATAAAAGTCATAAAAACAATCTAGTTAAATGTTTACGTATTATTACGTGCTTCAATCAAACGATAAAGTTGTTTTATATAGTAATTATTTTAGAATTTAAGCATTAGCTGTTTAAGTAGGTGGTTGTCTGTAATCATCATATATCATTGGTTGTATATATCATAATGTAATTAATTAATGTAGTACAATAAAGGATAAAAAGAATAGTTGCCTACTATCGCCTGTCAGATCAGCATTGCAATTAACTGGTTGCACGTTAATATAAGATACAATATATAACTTAAATATCACATGCGCAAGAAAGAAGTCATAAGACAATGAAGGGCATAAGAGGCTGATGACATTAGGCTTCGTTTTTCCTTTTCCTTTTTACTAACCACGGCATACAACAGTCTTAGAATGGGCAGTTCCGTCCGGGAAAGTACCACGACCTAACAGAAGACCGGCGTGAAGTGGAAGTATACTTCTATTTCATCTGGTGAGTTAGGTAACCGCAGCCTATTTTATCAAAAGGTGGCAACACATCTGCAACCCCACGGGTGTTGCAAATGTAAGTGTTCGGCGGTTATCATTAAACATCAGGTGAACCGACAGCTTGCCGTTTTCGTAAAAAAAAACCGGAGGAAGTTTTAGAAGTGAAAAGGTTGTTACGTGGTGGCCGTGAGCGGTTGGCAGATCACACCAACGCTGATGCTGGTGCCGTCTTCGAGGAATATGTGGTGGAAAGCATAGCGGTGCATCAAGCTCCAGTCGCGTTTGTGCCCTGCAAGGTTTATTTAGCTTCGGTTAAAAATTTAAAAAAAATGGATGGACAGTGGATAACTGTTATACGTCTTGGCTGTGCGCATGACACACATATTCTGATATTAAAGACTTGAGTCGAGTCTTTACTTTTTTTTTATAAATGCTAACTAAACTAGACTTTGTTTGGAGATTTCTTGTTTTACTCGAATATTGTATATTACATATACATTCCTTATGAATTCTTTTATAATGTTGTAATACAAATGATCAGACATAAGTACACTATGTAGTTTTCACTAAGAATTATTCGTTTCTAATCTTTTTTTTTTTTATGTGAAAAGTTGCCAAACGAGGAGACGGTTCACCTGATGGTAAGTGAATACCGCCGCCCATGGACATCTGCACACCCGAAGGTTACAGATGCGTTGACAACCTTTTGAAAATTGGGCTCCGGCTACCTCACTCACCAGACGAAACGCGAAAGTATTTGTCATACTTCCACTTTCACCACGCTGGTCTTCTGTGAGGTCGTGGTACTTACCCGGACGGGCTTGCCCATTCGTGCAACAGCCGAGGCTGTTGCGAGGCCCTACCACCGTGTAGATCGTAATGATCGATCGAATCGTGTTGAGACACAGACCTTTTAGAATTTTTAATTTATTAGGGTTGGTTACAATGAGTGAATATGGAATAGACTGATTTCTTCCAGCTATTTCCCGGCTGACCTCGTTTTTGGTATCATTGATTGATGTTTCAATTCCATTTGGTGAGGTAACCGGGGCACACTCAATGTAGGGAGCACATCCGCAACCCGTCATGTATTGTAAATGTCTCCAGACGGCGGTAATTAACATCAGGTGAACTGCCCGTGCCAACGTTCCACATAAAAAAATCAAGTTTATCACCAGTATATTACCAAATGAAGTTGGTACATGAACAAAAAACAAACTATGGCTAAACAGGTATAACACAAGGTCCGAGAGATTATTCAGACTAAATTGCTCAGCTTCTCACTCTATCGCTTAAAAGCGGAAGACTTTTAAATCTTTATCCAAAGATACAATCAAATATTTGAAATAAGTATAACTTGTAATAATGAGAAGTAGTGAGTATTTTAGGAAATGCTTTCAATATCTACGGCTGCGTCGTCGCACACCATTAGTTTTCTTATTATAACTATATAGATCCCAGCAAGAGACGAGCAGATAATAAAAATCCAACTCACCGAAGCTGTGATCCCTGAAGGAAGGTAGCGTGAGCTCGTAGGATTCCTCCTCAATTCGGAACCTGCACTTCATCACGCCGAACTGCTCGTAATGCGACTGGTGCGCTCTGTAGCCGGAGCATGAGCAGAAATGTACAGATATTTTCAATACCGTGCCTTCATGATGAGGTAGACAGAAACACGAATAGACAGTGGACTAGCTAGCACCGTGTTGGGCTTCGGTGATCATGAAATGTGAATTTTGTTAGATAAATGGACAAAAACTTTATCGGGATTCGAACCACCTTCTTCCGGGTAACGCGTCCAGACGCTATACCGACTAAGCTATGCGGTCGAAGATAACTCCGTGGCACAGAAGTAATAGTGGCTTCGCTCCGGTGGTCGTGGGTTCGATTCCCATGCGAGACAACTATGTGTGTGTCACACTGATAATTGTTTCGGATCTGCGTGTTTGTCTACGTGAAATGTATGTGTAAAACGTCCTTACAACACAGGATAATGGTATCCTACAGTACAGTATAATAGACCTTTCTAGGTCGCAGAGGTTGTTGGCACTTTACTTCTACAGACTATATACCATATATTGCACACACACAGACTATATACACACACAAAAACTATATACACCAGAAGCATATATACTTCTATTTTACACCGGTCTGCTGTATGGCCACGGAACTCTCCGGAACCGTGCCCATCGACAACTACGATAAACCGTAAGGTGTTGCCACGGCCGGATTTAGCGGAGGGCAACCGGGGCAGACCCGGGCCCTCCACAAAAAAGGAGCCCCCACAATAAAGACTTCGAAAGTAAATTTCAAATTCAGACTACGAGTAGAAAACAATGGTAAACAAATTTTCCTTTCATATTTTTTTCGCGTTTTACTTAATTTTACCTACAGTACCTTCGTACAAACATGATTACATTAAATATTAACAGAAATCAATAGAAAATAATTTGGGGCCAAGGGGCTTCTTTGTTGCCCCGAGGCGTCTAGACCTCTAAATCTGGCCCTGGGTGTTACAGTTGTCGATAGGCACGGTTAACATATAAAGTTATAAAATAAAAATCCCCGGAAGATAGATAGAAAAGAGAAGTGGTGCGGCCATCTGATAGTAGTCTTCAAATACAACACAGAAGATTTGAAAGTAAAATTTAGGTTAGCTAGCTCGGATAGCAAAGACGGGATAACCTCGCGTTAGCTCATCCTTATTGGTGACATTCTATGCACAGTTTCAGACTTTCATAACGAAAGCTTGACGGTGACGACATCCTATTTCGTCTTATTCTCCGTTATAAATGAATTTACACGAACAAAATTTCATTCAACGAACACATAAAACCGACAAAGGATGTGAACATTGTCGAACTTGAACCGCCAAATATTTGTTTTGACATGTTCTCGTTTGAAAAACTTAGCGTAACCACATCATTTTATACATCTTGGAGTAACAAAGTGTATTTAAGCTCGCTCGCATTTGAACCGTCAAATATTTGTTTATTCGCGTGTAATCATATGAGCGACTTGCGTAACCACAAGTAAATTATATCTTACGAGTTGTTTAGTCCAGTTTCTTCGAGTTTTTTTTAATGTGACCGCCACCCATGGACATTTGCAATCCCTTTAAAATAAAGTGGGCCCAGGCTACCTCACTCACCAGACGAAACGCAGTAGTGTAACACTTCTGCTTTACGTCGGTCTTGGTATTCTGTGAGGTCGTGGTAATTACCCGGACGGACCTGCCCATTCGTGCGACAGTGAAAACAGTTGCGTGGCCCTACCACAGTTAAGTCTTACGTCCGTAGTCCCTCGAAGTATTGCCGGCTCCACTTCTCTCTGGCGATGGATCGAATGACGGCTGCTGGATGCAGGTCGGTGTCGTAGTCGAAGTATTTGCTGGTAGCGGTCCATTCGCCGGAGAACTCCACGTCCACTAGTTTACCGGGTTCGTTCTGATACCTTCGCAATATAACGACATCCCATATATAGAAATAAAGACAGAAACAAGCTTTCTCATGACCTAACCAAAGTATAAACAGACGAAGTAATTAATTTGGTCTGTCTGTATTTTGGTTGTATGGAAATACAGACTGTTGTAAATATATAATAAAAAAATATAATAAGACCACAGAGTTACTTATCGGTTCATCTTTGGACAGGTCTAGTTGGTGAACTGGTGGAGGTTTTTTACGTTAAACTAAGTCTATATTGATTATTACATTATTTATTAAGTTATCAATTTTTAAATCGTAATGAAGCCAATGTAATTTCTTTTTGTCACTCAAATGTCGCTGCCAACTTCTTGGTATCAGCTATTTCAGTTTACATAGAACTGCTTTCATCAGAATGTCATTGGGTTGACGATACAATTGATTTTATCATCAGCATCATTTCAGCCTGTTAGTCCATCTAACCTACCGCACAGAATGCCATAAAGCTCAATCCTGAGCCACGGTTTTATCGGTGGTAGGGCCACGCAGCAGCCTCGGCTGTTGCACGAATGGGCAGGCTAGTCCGGGTAAGTACTTTCGCGTTTCGTCTGGTAAGTGAGGTGGCCGGAGCCAAATTTTCAAAGGGTTATCAACACATCTCGAACTTTCGGGTGTAGCAAATGTCCTTGGGCGGCGGTATTCACTTATCATCAGATGAACCGTCTGCGCGTTTAGCAAATTTCACATAAAACAAAAGATTAAATAAATTTTGACTATGACGGATGATATTCAGTGCTACAAAATCTACTAGCCTTTTAGCAGTAAGGGAAGTATTAGAAGTGCTATAATTGCTATAAGTGCTATAGTACAAAAAAATGATCAAATTAATCTTCAGTGAAAGGCATATACAATATCTTATAATGAATGTTCAAAAGGTATGAATATTACTTTTATAAGGTAAAGTAAGTACAGTGGGACGGAGACCTGCTTGTAATTTGTTTAATGTTTATTTTTGAAAATATCTGTTTTGTATCCCACACACGTATTGTATGTTCGGAGTGTTTTTATCCCGATTTTTGTCAAAAAGTGTGAACTTTGGAAAGTTATACATATGTGTCAGCACTGACACATATGTATAACTTTACAAAGCTGGCCTAAGGCATCCTCTGTACAGAGGATGTTTGGGCATAATCCATCACGATACTACGTCCAGTGCCGATTAGGGCACTTCACTTATCTTCGAAATATTTTATATCGTTATTATTTAGAAAATACGTCACGTGATAAGTCAGCACTTTAAATTGACAACTTCATTAGTGTCGCACCGGGACTTCAACTTCTCGAGAACATTTAATTAAAAGCGAGGACTAAGAGATGAGCTATGGCGGCTCTTTGTCATTCTGAACTAATTTAGTGTCAATTGTGTAGTGATTTCGACTATCTTACCACATCTTCCCCTTATAGGACACGGCCCATCTCTTCATGGGCTCGAGCGGCTCCATTTTAATGCCTTCCGCAGCGAACTCCCCTATTTGAGCGCCAAACAGCACGGTGTCCGGGATCTTCTTGCTGCAAAGGAGCCCTTTGCCTGGCAACTGAAAGGTTAACGCTATTCATAGTGGTATCGCCCTAGTATCTATGAAATTAAATGTACTTATCATAAATAATGACGACCCAATTAGCGTAGTTGATAGTGACCCTGTATCTTGCGCCAGAGGGTGTGGGTTCGATCCCCACTGCTGGACAAATATCGTGTGATGAACATAGTGTTTTACCTGTGTCTGGTTGTTTACATATCTATAACATGTATTTATTTACAAAAAAAGTATGTTTATCAGTATGTATGTTTAGATAAAGTTGTGTAAAAATGTCCCGAAATAGTTATTTATATATTTATAAACTTATTATTTACACGATGTTATGTTCTCAATTTGAAATGTCATAATGAAATTTTTCGCTGGTACCTCAGATCGCAAAAGCGATATCGTTCAAAATCTGAGAATCCTGTTCTGTCATAAACAGATTTTCAACTGGCATTTACGACTTTTGTCTTGTCCATGTTATTATTTCACAGAAATCTTATCGTAATTATAAAAAATGCCCTGGCTGTATTCATGATTCGGTTGTTTATTGATTTCTTTTAGAATATCAATGTACATCGTTCGAAGATGCATAGATGAAGAGGCACCGACAGATATCGGGTTATTCGAATTGATATTTTTGAGTTTGCGTAAACACTAGCGAATTGCTATTCCACATTTCCTGTGATGTTTCTGTTTAGTCTCATTTATTCTTTAATCTTCCGTAAGATATTTATTCAGCTGTTTGGTTAATTGCAGGAGACGTAACTCATCTTACATGCGGGCGTTGTGATGACGTTATGCAACCATAACGTCATCACGGATCAACATCCTTTGATCAGGCGATGCTTCATAAATGAAGTTTTACAGAAGACACGGATTTTATGTGCTACTGGCGGGCGTTTATGAAAGTTTGATTGAGGCGAAGCAGCCACTTTATGCAAAATCTAACTATTTCAATATCTAGATATCAATTTTGGTTGTTTATTCACTTCACAAATGTATACACATTTAATTTATTACAATGCGTTTCAGATATGAATAGGAACGGTAATGATCGCGATATGCCATTTATCATTTTCTATAATATATTTATAAAAGTAAGCCGAGATAGCTTAATTTCCGGGCGCTCGCCTTTAATTCAATATAAAAAGTAACGTAAATAGCCTATAAATGTCCCACTGCTGGCAAAGGCCTCCTCTGTACAGAGGGTATCAGGGCATAGGCGGCCCCACTGCGGATTGGCGGACTTCACATTTCTTAGAAATTTTTTTTGTAATTATTTCGAAAATATGCAGGTTTCCTCACGATGTCTTCCTTCAACACTGAGCACGTGATAATTAAGCGCTAAAATTAAACAATTTCATTGGTGCCAGCAACTTAGGTTGCTCGAGTATATTGAATGAGAAGCGAGCGCACGGATATTGAGCTATCACGGCTGTAGCTTAAGAATGCATTTGTTAAATTCGCTCTTTCAATTTGGCCACAGCAAAGCTTATAAGTGTTGTTTGGAGAGGTTCTAGACTATACAGTAGAGATCTGTCTTATGATAACAATAGCTAGTTTTAATTATGTATTTGTGTTCTTTCGCTTTATTGAAATATTTATAACTATTTTTTGTTAATTTTAGTTTTTCTTTCTCTTTTATGGTGTGCGTCCTTTTTTTGGTAAATAAATTTATTTTCTTTCTTACTTACTCCAATATAGAACAGCCCGTTGCACATACCCATTGGTCGTCTCTCACAACCCGAAATAACGTACAACCCTTTGTTGTTTTCGTCGCTCGCCGCCGATATGAAGAATATAGCGTCGAAGGCCTGCAAACAATCTGTTTGTTTAGTGGACCGTTGACAACGGTTCAAGCGCAAACATCATGTTGGTGTCTATAAATAAAAACGAGATAAAACCGGACTCGCTCACGAAGGATTCTGTACCATGCTGTATAAAAACGACAGAATAATCACATCTGTTGTATGGGAGGCACACTTAAATATTTTTCATCCTGTTAGTATTACTTGTTACAGCGGCAACAGATATACATCATTTGTGCGAAATTTCAACTGTCAAACTATAACGGTTCACGAGACAGCGGAGTCTTAGGGTCTTAATAATTTTTAGGGTCCCTAGTAGAGCCTAAAAATTATTACTTTACAGCAAACTACCCCGACACGCTAAAATATATAAACATGAAACCATAGACCTAACAATATAAACCGCTTCGGAGCAACTATTTATGAGCAAAATTATTGTCCGTTCGAGAAACGAACCCACAATACAGTGAGATGCCAGGTGGCAAGGCTATGATTATTGGACTATGAGTACAGATTTTTTTAGCTAGCATATCGTGTTGTCGAAGTGGATAATCTGAAGATGGATGTAGAGTGAAGAACCTGAGTATAGATCCCCAATGCAGCACTTGACTTACATATTTTGATTCCGCTGCCAAGATATTGGCCTAGGCGCCGGGCTTCGTGGGTTCGATTCCCACACAGAATCAACTATTCGTGTGGCCCACAGATAATTGTTTCGAAAATGAATATTTGTCCACGTGAAATTTATGTTTTTAAAACGACCTTACAACACAGGACAATGTTATCCTACAGTAAGGACAATGTTTTTCCAACACATTATCATTATAACACGTCACATCATAGCAGATATACGACCACTAAAATAAAAATCTGTAACAGCTTTGCTAAACATGAGCGATCCACCAACGAATAAGAAGAAGAAACCTTTATTCACGGTCTAAATTTCAAAATAATACTAGGAAGAAAACACAGAAAATATTGTGTTTTTCTCGTCAGTCCACCATTGATCTTATTTCATTTAAGTTTACAGCCAGTTGTTCTGCTCACTCCCTTCGAAGGATTTTGATGTGATAAGAAAAACTAAAAATAACACGTAAAAACGCAATAAAGGGAACCGAGGGCGAAAATTTTCTGTTTTCCTGGTTCGATGGCGAAACGTTGGAATGTATTTAAGATTTGAAGGGAGAGGATTAATTTTTAGAAGCTTTTGACCCAAAAGTAGTGATTACTCTATGCTCCAATCCGATTTTTTTTTCATTCGGTCAAATTATTTACCATACAGCACACACCCCCGCATCTTCTTTTATGCTCTAAAATATTGTTTACCCAACCTAATTACTTTCATAAGTACTTTGTAACGTCTTTGTAAACAAAGTCGTTAACAACAGAACAATAACAGAAAGTTAAGATAATTTGAATCACTCTTATAGTTTGTTTATAATAACCGCATTATCGGAGTCGCCTTACAGAAATATATTGGTTACATTTTGCGTTACAATCAAACTATTGGCCATTGGGTACTGATGATTAACACCAATATTTACTTGACTCAATTTATTTTAAGATTTTAAATGTCCTCAAATAATCCTGTGACAATAAGAATAACCTTTTGAAAGTTAAAATCTCATCTCGAACACGTAAACAGCACGATTAAGCAAACGTGCCAGCTTATACTTACTCGGTAATCTTGATTTCATTCAAACAAGAATGTTTGTATAATAGTACCCTAGAATTTTACAACCGCTTTGAGATTTGGCAGGTTTGGCTATGGACATAATCACCGTTGCATGCATTTCTTTTGAAATAATGATAAGTACAATAATGTTAAAAATGGAAATAATGAGAAATATAATTATGACATATAATAATGATAAAAATGATGAATAGATCCTCCGTAACACAAGGCGAGTAACAGACGCATTAGCTAGCGTCGGCCCCAGTTACCTAACTTATCAAGCATAAGTATAAATATTTGTATCGTATGCCCCGTACATGTGATGAGTGCACTCCCCGATTTAGCTGACCCGTTTATGCACCAGGAAAGTCTACTGCGTAGCTCTACCGTAGTACAAATGTAAATTACCATATTAAACCCTGTGTTTAGATTTTACTAACAAAAATCTTCCTAAGACTTGAATTATCTCCGTGTGAATGCTTTCAGTCTTAGGGTCTTAGCTTCATCGGTACAATCACGGAAACGACGGAAATGTCTTCTGGAGGAAATATCGGGTTATGTCAGACTAGAACTCACTAAGCCTCCAAGTGGTCACCCATAGTGCGATTGGTGAGTTTCCATATATAGGTACTCAGGTGTGCCTGGTGTAAGCGGCGTGGTTTAAACTTCACCTTGGTCTTAATCTTAGACTTCAAACGGCACTGCATTAAAAAGGAAAATGTACCTTCGAATGGTCGCTCAGCAATTGTGCACGGTCCATGGCGGCTGGATCAGCTATTGCCTTTACTCCTTGTCCAGCCCTGCCGTCCGTACCAACGGCTTTGTTCCTCTTCGAATACTGAAATATAATACAACATTGATGTACGAGCCTTTTCTTATGTTTTATTCTGTCTGTCTAGAATTAGACTGTTTGTGTCAGGAGGTAGAATAATAACTGAAAATAACTGGCAAGAAGTCATATCTATAAAGCTAAGAAGCTTAACATGAATGCTAAAGTAGACTTGATTTATTGATTTCTTGTTTTTTACTAGGATATCATTATACACGGTTAAATGAAAGTGTTTTACGGATTTTATCCCGGGCTGCCGACACTTGTTTTATTATTTAATTATTTTTATTTCGATCTACTCTACCCAAAAGGAGTTATCTTGAGGTCTAGCACTGTTGCTGTGCTTGGATTTAGTTTTATACATTATCGCGCGTTAAATTTGACATCAAGACGTGAAAGATCGAAATTTATATAAATTGGTATTATCAAAAACCAGAAATGTCACAACTTATTATAAACAGTGGTAAGTAGCTCGATAACCCATCGTTTCTTTTAATTCTAATAAAACATCAATTAGAATCCACAATTAATTTACTTTTTTTATGTGAGAAAGTGGCAAACGAGCGGGCGGTTCACCATATGTATAGTGATAACCGTCGCCCGTGGACTTTTGCAAAACCGTTTGCAGATGTGTTGCCATGTGGGCCTCGGCTACCTCACTCAGAGGAAACGCAGAAGTGTAACACCTTTACTTTAAATCGGTCTTCTGTAAGGTCGTGGTACTAATCCGGACGGACCTGCCCATTCGTGGAACAGCGAACACTAAAACTTGTAGAAAAAGTACGAAAAGATTGTCGCCGCCGTGGGAACCCACGTCTTCGGCATTCGCGGCCTGACGCTCTAGCCACTGAGCTAAACGGCTGATTGCCACACCGACGAAAATCTTAATGTCCTTTATCTACATTGTTCTTTAGCATTTGAAGCAATGCTTGGTGCATCTATTGTTATATCCTTTCCAGCATACAAACAGCGAACACTGTTAGACTTATTATGGTTTATTATGTCCCACTACTAGGCAAAGGTTCTCTGCTCAAAGTGTAGAAAGGCATACTCCACCACACAGCCCCTCAGCGTATTGGCAGACTTCACTTATCTTTGAAATTATTTATTATTATTATATTTTCTTTATAGATTTGAGCTAAGTCGGTTCGAGTAGACCAATTTAAAAGCGAGCGGCAGGACCCGAAACACTTTAATATTAAATAACTAATAATAAATTAATTAAATAATGTGTTAATTTACCTACGTCTCAGGGTAAGGCAGTAAAAAAAATTCCAGTTAATTTAATAATAGTAATAGTAATATTTTACAATCATTTCCACTCCGGTCGATTAACTAATCGTATATTAATTACTCAGGCTATTTTCATTTTTGATACAGACACATATGCCTAATTGTTACTTTAATGTTTCTGTTTTATAATTTAAACAGGTGCGCGATAAGACAATAATCAGTGTTTATCACAGATTAATTTACGCTCAGACTGTCGTCAACGTTAATAGAAATTAAATTGTTTCACGCAATGCTCACTTATTACATTTGATATAAACAATGTGTATGTTTTCGAAGTATAAATGAACGTTAATAAATAGTAAATACTAATATTTCAGGACAAATTTTAAACAAACTCCTCTAGTCTCAACTATAAAACGTTTTTAGTATAAAACAAAGACGCGCCCGCTGTTTATAAGATTAGATCTTATAAACTATCCAAAGCATTTTAATGCAGTTTTCACCAATAGATAGAGCGATTCAAGAGGAAGGTTTGTATGTAGTATCCATGCATATTATAGTAGAGAAAAGTAGAGATTCAAAGATTTGTGATGTGATGTAGTAACAAACACATTCTAGTGTGCATACATTGCAAACGCTGGCTAAACCTTATGAGATAGTCAAATGAATGTACGAGTACTACGGTATTATATATTTTAAAAATTCCGCTATGGTATATTTAAACAATACAATATTATTCCTTATCCAATTAAATACGCTAGATTCGTTTTGCATTTCATGTAGATCAAAATTGGAGAGAATGCCAAAAGGCATTAAGTTCGCCCTTTGTAATCCTTTTTATTTAAAGGTTGCAATAAAGTATAAATAAAAAAAAGGAGGGGCAGAGCGACCGGCAGACCGTACGGTTTCAGTTAGCAGCAGTCGGCTCGAGCTTTCGAGAGCAAACCTCTAAAGAAAACATGTCTTCACTGTCTCCTGAACTTGTATCAAAACAACTGTAAATACTGTATACGGTTATTATACGGTATTATACGGTTAATATTAATCACTCCTCATTTTTATATGTATATATTTATTTTTATGCATAATATTTATTTTATATATACAATATGTATCTATATGTTTATTTTTTATTTATAAGCCCAATCAGACGAGAAATAAAATGAATATCCCCCATTAATCACTCCTCACTGCCCCACATAAGTACACATGTAAATAACATTGCACCCGTGCGAAGCCAGAGCGGGTCCCTAGTTAAATAAAACCATTACTTTCATCTAAATATATATGTCACAGTTTACAGTTTTATTTTAATAAAAATGAAAATAACTTAAACAAATATTCACAACAACAAATTCTTTGATATTTTTTTTTCACCTGGTAATTAAAATGGTCGTGGTCTTTCCCCAAATAGGGTCGCCAATTGTTTAAGAGAAGTTGGATAATAATAACAATAATATAATAATAAAATATCTTTATTCACATAGACGCTTGCGCGTTCTTATGAAACGTCAAAATTTTACAAGAAATTAACACGTTCGTAAGTTAATACCGGTTCGGAAAGCAGTTTCTGTTGAGAAGAAACCGGCAAGAAACTCAACAGTTTTAACTCAGCTCTTTTTAAAAAAATCAGTTTACAATATAATAGTACAGGTACAATAGTCTTGTTTTAGCCTACGTGAGTATCAACAGTATTAACCCCACACATTGGCGTCGTCAAGATATTCGGCAATAGAATAATAGGCTTTAGCCATAAGTTTGCTTTTAATTTTTCGTTTAAATTCATCAATGGATCTAAAGTACTGCTTGGCTCTACCGCAGAGGTACTTTAGATACTCGTCACAAATAATGTCACACGTATGTATGGGAATACATTATTTGGGTAAATAACGGTGGTAGGGCCACGCAGCAGCCTCGGCTGTTGCACGAATGGGCAGGCTCGTCCGGGTAAGTACCACGACCTCACAGAAGACCGGCGTAAAGTGAAAGTATAATACTTTCGCGTTTCGTCTGTTGAGTGAGGTGACCGGAGCCCAATTTTCAAAAGGTTGTCAACGCATCTGCAAACCCTCGGGTGTAGCAGATGTCTATGGGCGGCGGTATTCACTTAACATCGGGTGAACCGTCTGCTCGTTTGACAACTTTTCACATAAAATAAATAAATAAAAATAAACAAGGGCAAACTGGAGTGGTCGTACCATTTTTTTTTCTTTTAAAAACATTGCCTTCACTTTAGGATAACATTATCCTGTGTTGTAAGGTCGCTTTACAAACATAAATTTCACGAAGACAAACACCCAGATACGAAACAACTATCTGTGGGTCGCACAAATAGTTGTTCCGTGTGGGAATCGAACCCACGACCCCCTACGCCGAAGCCAATACCTTGGCAAATGCGCCACGGAGCCATCAAACCTTTGGCAACCATAATCAACATCTCAAAGAAATACTAACCACAAAGAGTCAAACTCACGATCCGAGTCCTAAAGCTAGCCATGCAACCGCCTACAACGATGCATTTACTCATGTCTCTATCAAATTTGTTATTTTAAATTATATTACTTTAATTAAAATTTTATTTTTTATTTACGATAAATACCTATATATGCAATCAATGCTGTTTAAAAAAGATAATGTAAAAACAACAGTATGGATTTATGTGTTTACTTACCTTTTGGAAATAATAAAGGCAAGCAAATAATGCATATTTCAAATAATACCACTTTCCAGGCAAACAGTATATACCAAATATAGGTTCCGGTTCTTTAGTTTTGACAGCGTATAATATTAAAAGTATTAATAAAACCGTCACAATAAAGAAGTACATTTTATAGGAAGGAATTAAATGAACTGAAGTAGTAAAAGATAACGTGCGATATCACAGACTACTACGCAAACTCTCTAGTGACGCTACCAAGCGATACAAAAACGGTTTCTGGAAACTGTTATACAGTCCATTCGCAGTTATTTTAGCTCTGACTGTAAATTTGACTAGCGTATGGTTTGTGTTGTGTTGCCATTTAAAGTTCTCCAGAAAATAATGTTTATATAAAAAGTAGAAACACAAGTTGATGTCTTTACAGGAATAACTTACGAAATGTAGTTTAATTATAAATTTGGACAACTCGTAAAATTGGGCCGTCTTAGATGTTAGTAAAACAAGAAAAAGAAATAACAATTATTTTGAATAACTGCGATCTATACGGATATCTAATGTTGTTAAATCACTATCCGATGAAAATGAACCATCAATACTTCTATCAAAGTCAGTATAAGAGACGTTACTTACGCTCGGTTTCTAAAACACTGATGGTTTAACTCTTTGAATTGATCGGAATGATCTTCTTGATGAACAGAATGATCTATTCAAAGAGTTAAAGTTAGTTTAAAAGTGCTAGAAATAATACAACCTGCACCAACGGAGTTACTTTTTAAGAGAAATCTTTCATTTGTCAACATTTTATGACAGTATGAAGCATGTTTATACGTTTTGTTGAGATATAGGGTAGGTCGATCTTCATCACGACATTTTCCTCAAAACATTTAAAAACCTGCATTTCCGGACTAAGTACTCTATCATAAAATTTTTAATTCATATTTTTGAAATGAAAACTGTTTAGGCGCGTTGAGGCACTTTATTTTGTGGGAATCTAATAAGATTAAGCCTTGATTACGCTTTGGCTATGTAATAATGTAACGTTAAAAGTGAAATTCAAATAAAAAAAAGTAGACATAAATCAACAAACCTTAATGAAATTAATATTAGTGGTGTAGAATATTTTAATAACCAGGACTGTTGTTTTAATTTGTTGATTGAAGAAAGCTATTTGTAATTATTAATTTAATTTATTAAAACTAACTCGATTTTTTTTGGCTGTATGAGCCACTGTTGACCTTAGGGGCCTTTGCAGGTCTGTCGGACTTTAGGTGACCGGGCGCTCGGGGCGCCTAGCCTGAACCCCGACGAGCCTCGGCTCGGGCCGTCACGGTATTAGTTTCACCGATTTGGGAGGCCGCCAAGCTCTAAGGGTGCTTTGGCGGACGGCCCATGGAAGGACTAGGCTCTAGGGTCCCCGAGAGGGGACCTCGGCATGGGCTGCCACTCAAAACGCGTTTAGCATTCAAGAGGGCCGGACCTCGGCTCGATCGGTAGCTGTTATCTGGCTGGGACTAACTCGAACGCGACTACCAAAACACAGCATCATCGCACAATGTTTCGGTTCTCTTCCATTTCCACACGTTGAACAGAGAGCAAAGAGTACTTTTATATATCTGACAGAGAGCACTGAGGCGCTTTGCTAAATGGATCTATGCCGCTCACCGTTACGAAATATGTTCCATATTTATTTATTATTGGTAGGTATAATTATATTAGATCTTTCGAAAACACGAACCTAAATATATATATATTCAAATATTTCGTATTTATAAATTATTTGTATGTATTAACAACTAAAACGTAATTTCAATGTCTTATCTTGTGATTGATTGGTCTATCAGTCCTATATATACAGTGTATAGGACCATCATTTTATAGGTATTGGGTTTGAATCCCTAAATTTTTTGTTATACTTATTTTTGATTTTATTTTATGGAAGTATTTTTTTAATTACCATCTTTTTCTATTTTTTTATTTACAAAAATAATTACAACGAAATATTATTATATTATTGCATTTAAAATTTGTAGAAAATGGTACTTCCTCGAACACACCTGCCCATTCGTGCAACAGCAGAAGCTGTTACGTGGCCCTACAACAATAAGTTTTTTTAAGTAAGTACGGGGCGAGACTTCCTCGCTTCTATCGCCGCTCTATATCGACCTCTCTTGCTCACTAACTCCAAGCTTCCACAAAGCGTGGCAACGTCTTGAGTGGCAGCCTCGTACTGTCCAACGCAGTGTAGGACGAACCCCCAATAGATGGAGTAATGACTATAAAATATTGTTTCAAAAACAGGGACGTAAATACAAGACTAATGTAACCTGGTTTTGTGTATAGGGGTACGAAAATGGTATATTTACAAGTGTATTAGAAAGTGAAACACAAACTAAAGCTAAGCGGTTCCATTGTTATTATTTAATTAAAAAATAAATACAAAATCCTTACTAATAATATAAACGCGAAAGTTTGTATGTATGGATGGATGTTTGTTACTCTTTCACGCAAAAACTACCGAACAGATTTAAATGAAACTTTACAATAATATACCTTATACATCAGAATAACACATAAGCTACAATTTATAACGATATTGTGTGAATTTTCCAAAATATAGGCAATGATGTCAACTAAGTAGGAAAAAATTCAGCCATCTGCGAGATACTCTGGTGTATAATAAAAAACTCATTGTTAATTCCCTTTGACCACGCGGGCGAAGCCGCGGTTAACAACTAGTAAGACATAAACATGTCTTATTGAAAAAGTCTTTGTTTACAACAAATAAATTCTTCTATATGTACCTATTATATAATTAAAAAATAAATGAATACACATTTTTAAAAACAATGCTTAAAATTTGAATTTTGACGATTTATTATTTCATTAAAACGGTCCATGGACTTTCGTGAGAATGTCATTAAAATTTCTTATAACACTAACTTAAAAGAATTGTGTACTATACAATAAATAAAATATATGACAACAAATTCTAGACTTCTATTATTAAATTAGCTTTGAAGATTAATTCCGACTGTGATAAATGCAAAGTTTGTACCTATGTAATATAATAATACCCAGTATTATAACATGGCTATTTTAAACTTAATCTATAAAATATATATAAATATAACTTTGACATTAAGTACCCATTGATTAAAGTTCAACAACTCGCTACTTTATTAAACATTTTATTTAATATTTTAATCTATACTACTTAACTAGAGATATTTATTTATTGTACATTTTTGAGATACTCTATTTCATTTTTTTATAAATATATTCAATGTACAGACACGCCAATGCTACTCTTTTATTATAGTATAGACAATAACAATTTATTGACTGGAACAATTGTTGGTACCTATTACATTGGTTTCAAAAATACTGTCAAGTAAAAAAGTAAACAAGAAAAAAATCAAGACAACAATATTAAGGAAAAAAATTATCTCATAATTTTTTATCTCACATGTCACTATTTTTTTTTGAAAATGTGAGTTTTTTCTCGTCTTGAAGGCAAACAGGCATTTGCAGAATTTATTTTTTTTATGTTACAATTGTGTAACAGTTGTGGACATGCGACAGTTTTTAATTCCACAAAAATTCATAAATCGAATGTTTTAGGGAAATATAAGCGATAAAAAATAGACTTCTATAATTAGAAATCTCTCGCATTCCTACCCATCTTTAATGTAATTATGAGAACAGTCTCATTTCGTATATAATTATATAAAGCTTGATCACTCTGAAAATACCAATGTTGAATGACAGAGAGTAAGTTTTGAGATTTTCACCATAAAAAATAAAAAAATTATCGTTGACACCTATAAGTCTGACGTTTGAGTTCATATTGGTATATTTCTGTATTTTATTCACGTGACTTTTTTATTTCACCACATTTACACTAACACTAACATATACCTGGTCATTTGTAGAATAGAACGACATTTTTTTTAAGTATTAAGATATATATGACTTGACAAACTTAAAAATATGTTACGTGGACATATGGTAAACCTTTTCTGGAACACGATTATTCCTTACGATGGAGCATTTTATTCGTTGATCTCTTCTAATTACTCCGGCGCTGGTCTATTAGCGTAGCGACCGCAATATCCTCAGGAAGAGGTTCATCACGTCGAGGTAGAGAACGAGCGCCGCGAACACGTACTCCTCGGGGGAGATGCTGTAGCGGTGGGAGCCGCCGACGATCATCTGGGTGTCGCAGACGATGTATACGGAGATGACGAGCACGCCGATGGTCGTGTAAACTAGCCTCAGCCGGCCGTAAGAGGTCGCCAGCATCGCCGTGCCTGGAACGACGAGAGTCAACACGTGGAACATCCATACGAGGCGAGAACGGATTGCCAGGGCAAATCTGTTCGTATTATTTGCTTTCTTGTTTCATACAGTGATTCATATTAGCCCAACGTTATACGCAAAATTAACAAGCAAATTTTTTTTATTAACAAAAAACAGAACCGACTTCAAACGTCTCGCTCTGTATTCATTTTATAATTGATTTTCAGGAGTTCCTAACGTATTTCCGGAGACCATGACAAATACCAATGAAATTAATATGGGATTACATGGGAAACGCCAGCTTTAAAAAAAAAAGAATTATAAAAATCGGTTCAATTAGTCCAAAACTCCGAGGTAACAAACATAAAAAAAAGGTTGATTTGAAATCCTCCTCCTTTTTTGAAGTCGGTTGAAAACAAATGAATACTTTTGTCTTGTTCACTTAATATATGATTTACCAATGACTATTCAACATTGGCTTCTTATACTATAGTTCGTTTGTGAAGAAAAGGAAAATAATACATTAAAATCGCGATATTTAAAAATCGACTAGTTACGCGAAAATGAATAAAATTATGACACTGTGAAGCTGATGAAGAAATTCTACCGTTTAAACGTACTACACTTAACACAGTTCAATACTGCATAGCTAGGATTTGACTTTTATAAACATGACAGTATCTAGTACATTATTAATGGAAAGGGAAGACATTTATTCCGACGTAAATATCTCAGGCAAATAAAAGAACACAGAAAAGCAAATAAAACCATAACCTTCCTTGACGAAACGGGGGTAAACGCTAAAAAGCATGGCAAAGGCATGTTAAATCAAGTGTGGTTGGATACAATTATATAAAAAAGAGTAATGTTTATCGAGTCTGCCAGTCTACCGGTCCAAGAGTCACTACTAGAAAAGGAAAAGGTTGATCGCTTTGCACATTGGTAGCGAAATGGAATGGTCTACGGTGGCGTACTAGTTTCAGAATCTACATATATCAATAAAAGATTATCATGAGGAGATAAACGGTCACAGGTTCCTTGAGGGGTTCGAAAACATAACGCCTAAGCTAGAACCAGGAGCATTGTTGTCTAGGAAAATGCACTATCATTCCGTCAAAGTCGAGAAAATACCGACAACCACTTGGGACAAACAGAAAATAATAGACTGGCTGCAAAACAAAAGGATATTCATGCATATGAGTTATTTGAAAATAGAATTATCGAAGAAAGCCGCCGAAATCTTCCAATATAATAAATACTTAATGGTCTACACATTTTAAGTACTAACAGATTGTTCTATTTTATTTTGGAATTTCAGACGCGTAGAGCAATTCCAAGGTCACAGGACAACCCGATATGTTCCGCACACCAATGTAAGAGTTTCACTCTAAATTTTTATTTAATCTAGTAAACTGTAAACATATCGAATCAAATCTGTCGCGGCTAGATCTGTCAGATTAGTTGTGGTAGATTTTTTTTGTTGACGTTCAATATGAGCTTAAGTTAAGCCTATATTGAATAAAGATACTTTGACTTTAACTTTGAGATTGGTGAGCCTTACACAGTGTTACCCTTCTTCTCTTGGTTAGACTTTATATGTGGTAGGGCCACGCAGCAGCCTCGGCTGTTGCACGAATGGGCAGGCCCGTCCGGGTAAGTACCACGACCTCACAGAAGACCAGCTAATCTTTCGCGTTTCGTCTGGTGAGTGAGGTGGCCGGAGGCCAATTTTTTCAAAAGGTTGTCAACGCATCTGTAACCCTCTGGTGTGGCAGATGTCCATGGGCGACGGTATTCACTTAACATCAGGTGAACCGTCTGCTCGTTTGACAACTTTTCGCATAAAAAAAAAAAAAAAAAATAGACACTTGTTAGCTCGCGCTTGCGACTTACCCAACGTCAGCAGAGCCAGCACAAGGCAGAGGCCGCATCCGTTCAGGATCGTGAAGTCTAATTTGGTTTGGAAGGCGAACAGCGTCAGCGCCAAAACCATGATGAAAGTGATCCCGGCGGCGATTAAAAGCTGAGAATAAAACCATCGTTAAAGGACTGACGACTCCAAGGTTGGTGCGTCGAAGATGAGTTTGGATTGCAAAATTCAATTAAGAACGTGAAATTTAATATAATGATGAAAGCAATTGGAGAAAAGATTTAACAGTTTTCAAAATGTTTTTTTATATATAACAATAAGCATATACAATACAATATATATATATATATATATATATATATATATATATATATATATACGACTCACTGGCAGATAGCTAATGCAATAAGGAGTACCCTCTGTACAGAGGCCTTTGCCCAGCAGTGTGACACTTATAGGCTGATATTTTACCACTTTAGGCTACTTTTATTCTAGAAATTTTATTTATTCTAAGTTCCACGCGGACGAAGTCGCGGTCACAGCTAGTAAAATGAAAGCAAAAATATGAGAAATATAAGCTTACCTCCTCAAAACGATAGAAGCTGGCAAGAATCCCCACCATAGTGGAGAGCGAGATGGTGAATAAAAGAAGAAATATGTAGTTGTAGGGAACCCGTCGTCTCGGTCCCTCGCAGCAGAAGATGCACGCGAACGTCGTGAGGTAAATCGTCATTGGCGGTATACTGGAATAAATAGAACATTCGCTAAGAGCATTCCTTCTTATGGTAAAGGTGGTGAGCGAGATTTGGCAGTTCACCCATAGATAAGCTAATTACAACGCTGAATTGAAAACAAGACTTACAACACGACCGGAAAACATTCCCTCGCGTAAAAATTAAAGCCCGGCACTTGCATCAATCCGAATATAATCAGACCGGTTAATAACAACTGGCTCAGCACAATGGTGTACACCTGAAAGTGAAGATAGTTATATTTATATTAAAAAACTAAATCATACCTAATCGTTGAATGTAGAAACTTTCCACTTTTCGAAGTCGGCCAAAGTTATCAAACAAATATATTCATATAACTTGAGATGATTCTTCAGATGTATATATAACTAGGACCTTTAACTTCATTCGTTGTGACCTCTTTTGCTGTTGAAGGGTGAGGGCAAAAGACTTGCTAGGATTATGTGTGATCATTGCCTATGGTCATTTACAACACAAGTGTGATTGCAATTGCTTTGCTTACCGCGGCAGATCATTCATCTTAACAGGCCGCCGGCCATTTTGCTTAAGGGACGATATTTAAAGCAAAACAATCTCACTATGTACTCGTGTTTTGAGAGGTCTATGCACATTGTAGCGATAGCCGATTCGTGTCTCTGTATCAGTGGAAGTAATAGAAAAGAAATAGAAGAAGAAAATACCTTTCTAATGAAACTGTGCCTTAGCGTCGTGTCACTGAAGTCCAAGTTCTCCACGAGAATTTCTGTATCCGTGTTTTCGACCCACTCGGGAAGTGATAAGATGGTACTCTGGAAAAGAATTTACAGTAAAAACCTTTTGATGATTTATGTACTCAAGTTCTTCAGTCGAAATAATTTTGGTGTGCTATTATATCTTCATTTCGGCAGACACAGCCCGTGCCAGAACTTATCAATTATAAGTTCTGTGGGTCGTGGATTCAATTCCCATCCAGTACAAGCATTTACATGACTAACAGACCTGGGTACACGTCCTGTTTACAGTTTGTATAATGCTTCGAGAAAACATGATTAGATACATTATTACAATAGAGCTAAATGTTTTAAAAAAAGGAAAGCAGGTGAAGGAAATTGTATCAAAAACTTGGTGGTAAACAATTATTTTTAAATTATTAAAAATTATCGAAATGGATGATTTAAAAGTGATTTTTCTTTCGTTTCTTTCCACTGCGCCGCGGAGCGAAGCCATCGAACTCTGCACTGCTTGTAAGCGTTTAATGTGCGATGTAAAATTGTTTGTTAGAACAATGGACTATACTCATAGTACCTCGTACTAAACAGCTTGAAACAGTTCTGTACTGTATCCACATGTTTCAACTTTACTTTCAGCTAATAGTTTCGTGATGCAAACGTTCAATTGACATGATAATCATGATATTAACCTTTCTTACGAGTTGACATTTGGCGTTTTCAACCCTTCGCGACATCCAGAAACTGGCGTTTAATGTCCCGTCAACTCGTGTGGCTTAGACTGAAATTAGTTGATAATATCCGAATTACGCTTGAGGTGATAATTATAGAACACTTTGAGCAGTGTTCGGAGTTCATATCGTTGATAGCAACATTAAGTGTTGATTTACCGCTTTTAGCAAGTATAAGGTTAAAAAACAACAATATTAGCTACTACGCTAGCTGCAGATGTAACAATATAATATCAGATATGTGACAAATCTGCATTGGTGTTACGCTAAGACCTGATGCCTTTGTAAGTATGTGCAGATCATTTGCCTTTAATAGGAGAATAGAAGAAAAGAGATATTTTAATTGATTAAAATTAATGTTTGTAGAAAAATGTGCGAAAAGATATTCACCGCTGTGGGAATCGAACCCAAGTCTTGGAATTCGCGCGCCCTCATGCTTTAGCCACCAAGCCTAACGGCTGAATGCCGCACCGACGAAAATCTTAATCTTTTATCTACATTGTTTTTTAGCATTTGAAGCGGTGCTTGGCGCATCCATTGTTATATTTTTAGCATACAAACAATTTCGAATATCGTCTTACAACGATAATTCGTACGGGAGATGTCACCATTGATTTTAACAAATTTAAATTGTTATAGTGCTAATCTCTGCACTTAAGATTAACCATTAAAATTTGTAGAAAAAGTACGAAAAGTTTTCGCTGTGGGAATTTTTAATTGAATCAAATGAGCCTATCCAATATAAGGGTGTGAAGATGAATACCCACACTCACAAACTTTCTCATTTATGAGGTTGGACGGTCTGAATTTTAAGGCGCGTGTTTATTAGTTGGTTATTCCACATAACAATTCTCTGTGCTATAAACCGGTATCCGTTTTCCTGTTAAAGCCGAACCTCGCATACGCCGAAATTTTTCAACGCGAATCGTTCACGACCTGATCACAAACTCGTTATCGTATATACTCACATATTTCTATGTGCACATAAACGAAATTTGGTAAAGAATAAGCGTATTACCGCTACGTATTTTCGACCATGTTTATGTTTCATAACAACTTCTAGATTTATCATAAGATTGAATACATTTATGAGTAACAGTGCCTAGTAAACAACTTTTTCTAAAGCTGCCAGACGTAACCTATTTAAGTTACCGATTACTACGGAGCCGTGATAGCTCAGTGTCCGCTCTCGCTTTTGATTAAAAACACTCGAGCAACCTGAGTTCAAATCCCAGTACGGCACCAATGAAATTGTTAATTTAAACAGCTAATTTCTCAAGTGCTCAGCGGCGTGAAGTGGAAGTGTACTTCTGCGTCGTGTCTGGTGTGTGAGGTAGCGCACTTTACTATAAGATGTTTTTTTTTACGTGGGAAACATCCTTTATGGATCCCCTGCCACCGATCGGAGTAGTGGCAGGAGTATGTGGGTGCCCCGATACGGGTACCCACTAAAAACCCCCTTTGCACCTGTCTCTGTCGCACTGGTTGGTGACACGGAAACGCATCGCAATCATCCGCGACCCTCTGGCCACCTCATCTCTGCTGCTATGGAACCCAGGCCGGTTAACCGTGCCGTGCCAGTGCAACTAGCACAGCACCCTCGCGAGCCACAAGCAGACAAACGCATCCGCAACCCTACGGGCGTTGCAAATTTCAATGGGCAGCGGTTATCACTTAATATTAGGTGAGCCGCCAGCTCGTTTGCCACCTTCACTACATGGTGTATAACAAGAAAAGTCGTCCCGCTGTCTGTCCGTCCCTATGTATGCTTAGACCTTTAAAACTACGCAACGGATGTTGATGCGGTTCTTTTTTTTACTAGATAGAGTGATTCAAGAGGAAGGTTTATATGTTTAATGTATGCGACATGCATGATATAGTAGAGAAACACAGATAAATTTAGAGGTTTCTAATGCGATGTCAAAAAAAAACATTCAGCATTGCACCCGTGCGAAGCCGGGACGGGTCGCTGGTGTCACATAAAAAAGTGCAGTGTAACTGTTGAACATATACATTGATTATGCATTTGTCAAGTAAAAATCAAAGATTTTGTATTATATTGACCATCGGTATGGTTAGCAACGGCAAGCTAACCATATAGGGAATTGCAATATTATATTCGATTTCTTTGTCTCATTTCGTTCACCTGACCAGGGTTCGCTGCCTGAATTGCATCAAAGGGGATAGCCTGAGGATCTGTTGGATGAGTGTGGTCATGTTTCTCGCCAGGGTCTGGCACCAGCGGCATCGGGGCCGCCAGTTCTTTGAACGCTTCGGTGTCTTGACACGATGAATCTTTCCGCTTCGTGTCTTCGGCATCTGTACTCCCTAAGTTATCCATTTTTTGTTTGCAACTGTGGAAATAAGAAACATTTTTAATTGAATATTACCTGTGCAGAATGTATGCGAAGTCTTTGTAATATAAGTTTAAATTAAACGCTATGAAATCATTTAAAACAGTTTCATTTAAGACTTTGTATTGTTTAAACTTCATCACATGATAGCTAATAAATATTTATTATTCCTTGACTTTAGCCTATTTCAGTAACAAAGAAGATTAATACCTAATAAATACTATAATCTTTAAATAACATTTTTTTTATTTATTTGCCCGCATTAAGGTTGGCAATCGAAATTAATAGAATAAATTAAGTAATAATGCAATGTAAATTTAAACTGTATGCAATATGTTTACCTTTAAGATTTTCAAACAACGTAATAACGTTACTTTTTACTTTATGTTTTATTGAAAAAATTCAGCGGCGCCCAGCGGTATTTTCAAAAATGTGCCCAAAAATATTCTTAGAAAATATTTATCGACCTCTGATTTAGTTTGTGGTTTTGGATCAGTTGGTAAAAATATAAAAAAAATATTCTTTTGCTACTGATCATTGCGTGTGTATTGGCCGTTAAAAGGTGTTGTTTTTGTTACAAGTAGATATTTATAATATATATATATATATATATATATATATATATATATATATAAAAACTTGCAGACGGGATTCGAACCCAGCATCCGCAATGTCGTGACTCTTTCGGGAAAGTTAGCTCCTCCTAATATTTTGATGAAGGTTTTTGGATTATAATCGTTATAAAATCGCATCCACTTCTACCTTGATTCAATTTAACCGAGTATTAGTGATGTCAACCTACTTCGTCGAACTCCTACACATATTTAAAAGGCATCGTAATTAACCTTCTAAGCGGTTTTTACACCTAAACTAAAGAAGAACGATTAATTGTGTGTTTTTATTTCATGTCATATTTATAATCAAAAATCTACAAAAGAATTTAGCTAACTTTCACTTGGCTTAATAAAATCATAGTAATTATATATACTACTATACTATACTATACTACTATACTATACATTACTAAAAACGATTTTGTGCCACAAATCTGTGGAAATAATTTCGACTCCATAGTCGAAATTATTTCCACTTCTTCCTTATCCTCCATAGGATAAGGAGTAACAATCTCATCTTTCTTTTAAACTGAAGAAGTGTCTACAGAAATGTATATAATACGTGTTCAATAAATGACCAGATTGGCGCTTGTAGCATAAGAGAAAGACCCAAATTTAACGGTAGTACACGAAGTGAAGAAGGTCAATCAACTGAGTAGAATACTCCTTGGAGTATAACCTATGTGTTTTATTTTCGCAGGCAGAAAATAAACGTAATGCCATAGTTAAAGTTCAAAATTTAGTAGAAATGCTATTATCTTTATAACTAAATTTAGTTTAAAAAAAAAATATTATTTTTTCTTTGTAAAGCTTGAAAAGCCTTTACAGAGCAAAAATCTATCAGCTTCCGTTTATTTTTGTTCTGTTCTAAAAAAATTTGGCGCTATATTTGAAATAGAAGCATGTAGAGTTCAGTAATACCGTCTTATAATTTGTACTCTAGTTTATGGACACTTTCTGTACATTGAGATAATACTCCTGATGTCTAAAATCCGTCTAATTGATCTAATATTACCTATTGACATAGTAATAGACATAATTTTATTTGATTTCAAACGTTCGTTGTTGCTGTATCGTGACGGCACAAACGGGTTTCATCTAAAAAAGAACCTACTTCACAATGTTGCTATATATAAAGTAATTAAGTTCGGTTTTTCCCGAGAGCAATTTAGTGTAACAAAAACTACATCTTATACAAGTGGTAGTTTACTCCCTTATGGTATTTATAAATGTCTAACATATTAGAAATAAAATAAGTAATAAAAAAAATAAGTTATTTCGTCGAAAAATTTTACATTGTTGCACTTCTTAGATAATATAAGTTGTACCCAATTCTAGACGTGCTTTTGAGAGCAAAAGATTTATCTTTTTTTATTCTTACTGCGTTACTATAACATTAATGAGCGCTTTTCATTATTATTAATAAATATATATTGCTATTCACTACGTATGCTCGGGGGTTAAATATTTTGACCATACATTATAAAAATTATACCATGCATGCAAAAACGGTAAGTTCTGTTACGATTTTTGACACTTAATCTTCAATGGGGTTAAAGTTTGAAATTCCACCATTTCCGAAGTAAAACCCCCCTAATTTTGGTTAAAAATAAGGTTTCCAATTGTTTACATCATTAAGGAACACTCCACCTCGAAGAAAGTACGAACTAAATGTTGACGTATTAGTTTCGTTCCGACACAATCGAATACAAAGTCAAGGACAGGGCCCAATGGGAAATTAAAAAATAAACGTCACACACATTATTGCACTAGAGACAACTGTAGGTTATGTTGAGGAATTCATGTAAAATTGCCCCGTCTTATTTTTCTATACTATAGTATTGGGCATATTTTAAATTCGCTTCTATAGGTACTTACGGTGGTATTTGTTGACTGAAGATTCACTGTATATAAAATTCTTGTATCACAAATATAAACAGTTAAAAAAAGTTATGACAATAAAGCACACAACAAAAAATACAAATACTACTAGACATACATATATGGTGACCAGCTCTACGTTACGTCTTGTTTAGTGTGAGACTTATTCACAACTAAAACTTAAGTTGAGGGGTTTATACTTTAACAGGTTTCCACGCGATGTTTTACTCGTCTCAGGACTATCATAATTGATTACATACTTATTTCGAGTACTTAGAAATACTGACAAGTAGGACTATCGGACCACATACTTCCATCTCATTTCATACTCATACAAGCCTTGTCACATGCTCCGCGGTGAAGGAAAACATCGTGAGGAAACCTGCATATTTTCGAAATAATAACAAAAAAAATTATTTCGAAGATATGTCAAGTCCGCCAATCCGTAGCGGGGCAGCGTGGTGGACTACGCCCTAGGGTATCAACCCTCTGTATAGAGGAGGCCTTCGCCCAGCAGTGGGACATGTATAGGCTATTACTTTACTTTACTTTTTACAAGCCTTGCAAGACTAAAACCAACTCATGTAACCAACTATCCATTGGCCAATGTGGTGATGAGATTATACTTAACTAGAGCTGCTGATGTGTCCAAATTATTTTAATTGGGCTGTGACGGATCCAACGATTTGTTTGTAACTTTAAACCCACGTTGCGTAGAAAAAACTAGATAATTTATTTTTATTGCCTTTCCTTAAAAACGTTCGATCTATCGGTACATTTTGCATCTAAGTCATTATTTGGCTAAAAGCCGGTCGATGGGAAATGCAATGAAATTGTGAAATCTTAATTCTTCGATGTTCACTTAACATTTTTTAATTATTATTTTATTTTTGAAACTTACGTTTGAGAATTCCGACTTTTGATATTACAGTCCCATATTGTTATATCAGTTTAAAATTAAGATATATATAGGTACATCTGAGAAGTTTCGATAAAATGCACTGGATATGCTTTCCAACGTACGTATCTCATGTTGTATATTTTCTGTATATGTACAAAACTACAAATATACCAAAATGAATGCGGGCTCCTACCCTGTCAGTTGACTCATGGCATATTACTTTATATGCAAAATTTCTGAGTTCAAAATGAGTTTCTACGTATAATCGAAGTGTAGTTAGAAAGGTGATTTTGATAATTTTTGATGCAAACCGGAGGTTAAATCGAATGTGGCAAAGTATTTGGATTTACCCAAAGGGTAGAGGATGCATGGCAGTGATTTTTGGGATAGATTATAGATATGTAAGACAATATATTAGACGATCCATATTGGTGAGGACCACGAGGATATAGGTTGTATGCATAGGTTGTATGTGGACCTATAGTTTATGGCTTTCAGGAAGTGGATTTCGTTTTGGTGGACATCAGTGAAGGTATGTTGGTCGTGAGGTAATAACGCACATTCTTCGGTGTTAAGATGTGCGTTACCATGGGTACACCGAAGATCAAGAGTAATAAGATAGAATAAAAGAGGAGAGAGAATGCCGCCTCGTCAAAGCCAGCCAGTTAAGCCAGTTTGATGACAATTCACCGACATTAATTGACTGTTGGCGTCCTCGAAGATAGGCTTTGAACCATTTCAGCACTTTATCTGAAACCATAATGTGAGAGAGGATGGCTAAAAAAATGTCGTGATTGACGGTATTGAAGGCGTTTGAAAAGTCAATTAAGACCATGACTGTGGCATTTTGGTATTATCCATGGCTGCCCTAATATCGCCAGTCACTTTTAGGAGAGCAGTAGTAGTACTATGTCCAGGCCTAAATCCAGATTGCAGTGGACTTATAAGGTTATTACTAAAAACAAAATGAGAAAGTTGTTTAAGGACACAGGATTCTAGTACCTTGGACAGGACTGGCAGGATACAAATAGGTCTATAATGGGCGGGAAGTGAAGGATTTGGGCACTTTGGGAGTGGACGGACAAGAGCTTTGCGCTATTGGGAAGGAAAAGATCAAGGAGGAAATATCCAGGGAGAAATTAACGATATGGGTAATCACAGGAAGAAGGTAGTCAAGGATGGGAATAATCATACGACGGCTGATTTTATCACATCCAACTGCATTGGACTTAATAGCAAGGACCGTTTTTTGGTTTCATCCGAAGACGCTGGAGAGAGGTGAAACAAATTAATACTAGAGCGCGTCAAACCATTTAAATAGGAAATAGTGTCATTAATCGTCAGATGATCCATTGAAGAAGTGGCGATAAAATGTTTGTTTAATCATCTAAATGAAATGGTACTAGGCAGGTTTGAGATTCGCGACCTGCCAATACCGAGAGTCCCTAGGAATTTCCAGGTATCAGCAGAAGACGAAGAAATATTATCGAGAATATGACGGCGTTTAGCATTGCGTACCATCTGATTACACCGATTCCTAGCCAATTGGAAGGATTATAGGACGTTATTATTGGACAAGCGTTTGAATTCTACCGTGAATAAGTAAGGTGTTTTTATTACGTTCGTAGACCGATGCTTACCTTACAAAGTGAAAATAAGAAGCCGTCAGGAGCTGGTCTATGCTACATCCAACAGATGTGATCCCAGAACCTATTAACACGTTACATACCGCGAGGAGTCGTAAATGGGTAAGTGGCCACAATGCTAAGTACTCGTAGTTATAGTAATTTTAGATACATTTGCAAAATTAATCCTGACCTTTATCGGGCTTGTACCCTGATCTATTTGTGCTCTTCAATTTATCGTAAAGACCCAAGCGTCTGACGTTTGGGTTGACATCGTTGTATCTATTCTAACGTTTTTATATAACCACGTGACTTTTTGTTTGAACGCACTTCGTTCTTATACCAGCTCTTTTTTTTTTTTTTTTTCAATTGAACGCTATTGTTTTTTTAACACGCTTTCATTAGCTTTGTGCGTTGTATCTGACAAAATCGTAATTTCTAATTAAACTGAAACTTTGCACACTTATCAAGTTTGTAAGTTTAGCCCATTATCCTGGATAGGATCTTCATGATTTGGGGATTTAAAAAAAGCCTCATCGTCCTTTATTTCAAAATTTATCAACGTCATTACAGTAAAAAAAAAACACGCTTTTGTAGAGTTTTGTTGTGTTTTCTGGTCTATTAGCGTAGCAACCGCAATATCCTCAGGAAGAGGTTCATCACGTCGAGGTAGAGAACGAGCGCCGCGAACACGTACTCCTCGGGGGAGATGCTGTAGCGGTGGGAGCCGCCGACGATCATCTGGGTGTCGCAGACGATGTATACGGAGATGACGAGCACGCCGATGGTCGTGTAAACTAGCCTCAGCCGGTCGTAAGAGGTCGCCAGCATCGCCGTGCCTGGAACGGAAAATGTTTATTTTATTTTTATTTATTTACTTCACCAACAAGATACACATCAAAACAAGCTTAAAACATAAATAAGTACATATTAGCTTAACACCCTCAGCGACAGACCCTAAGTGAGGATTTAAAAAAAAAAATTTTTTTTTGTTGGAATGTGTTTAAAACTACATAATATATCATATATTGTTTTTCACCCCCATTTTTCCCCTTTTTTATTCGTGTGACATTTAGATACACGTGGCTTGGGAAATAGTTCATTTGAAATTCATACCTCCCAGGCCATGCGTATCTGAAAAGATACACAGGTAAAAACTTTTTTTTTGTTTTAGTACTCAAGAACGCGTTTTGGAAGAAATTATAAGAAAAGACATGAATTCTGATGCATGCTTTTTCTTATATTTTTTATCTCTTGTTACAGTATAAGTGTTGAAACGTTCAAATAAGTGATTTGTTATGGAGTATTCAAGTGATGATTCCGTTGAGGACCCCAATTTTATGCCCGATGAAGACTTTAGTGACACAAGTACAAGTGACGACAATGACAGTCAGATTTGGAACCCTCCTAGGATTTCAAGGCGTTTGTCAACATTTTCGGATAGTGATATACCCCATTGCCTGAAATAGAACGGCGTCGGTCATCAAGGACAGCTCCTGTCGATTTAGAACTCCAGCCACCAAACGTGCCAAGTACTTCTGGTAATACTCATGCTCAAATTTCTGAACAAGAGTGGATGGAAGAAAAACTGTCCAACATAAAATGGGAAATGCCAAGTCATGATGATCCTCCTGCCATAGATTATACTGTACCAAGTTCTGGTATGAAGGATAATTATGTCGGATTATTAGCTAATGCGAATCCAATAGACTACTATGACTTGTTTCTAACCCCTAACATTCTAGAGTATATCACAGAACAAACCAACTTATACGCAACACAGTGTCTCTTATCTTCAGATTCTTCTGCTGGATCAAGAAACCACCTATGGACTCCAGTAACCAGAGACGATATGTTGAAATTTTTGGCTTCAGGATGGGCTTGGTGAAATTACCAAGTATCAAAGATTACTGGAGAAACCACAAACTCTATGGTATACCCCTAGCTCGTACTGTTATGCCTCGGAATAGATTCGAGCTGATTCTAAAATTTGTTCATTTCGCCAACAACCAAACTGCTGATACTGATGACAGACTGTATAAAATAAAAGACGTACTCAATATGTTCATAAAAAACTATAAAAATTACACACCAGGAGAAAAAGTTTGTGTCGATGAGTCATTGGTCGCTTGGCGCGGCAGACTTATTTTTCGCCAATATATTCCAAATAAAAGAGCCAAATATGGAATAAAAGTGTTCAAACTGTGTACTGAGAAGGGATATACATGGAACTTGATTGTGTATTGTGGTAAATCGAAGGAACCTAACACAGAAGTCCCAGTAAAAGTAGTACCATCTTTAGCAGAGGGTCTTTTCAACGAGTGTTCCTCTTGCACTGCGAATGCGTAAAGAAAGACACATTTAGTAGGGACATTGAGAAATAACAGAAAATACTTGCCAAGGGAAGTTACCAACACAAAACTAAAAAAAGGAGAAATAGCAGCTCAGCAATCAAGTGAAGTCAAAGCTACGAAGCTACAATGGTATCGGAAACTTATGTTTGAGATTATATGGGGCACGAGCTTGGTGAACGCTCATTTCTTGTATAACCAGTATACCTATAAAAAGAAATTAACAATCACAGAGTTTCGTGAACAAGTTATCACTGGTATGCTTGAAAGATCATCACACATCCGTGACTGCTACCCTTTGTTCAGTCAGTGCTAAACATTACCTGGTTCCGAATATAAAAGATGGGGTGAAAAAGAAAACTCGTTGTTCTGAATGTTATAAGAAATACGGTCGACAAGGAAAAACCATCGACGAAAAGCTACGAAAAGCTTCCCAAGCTGTAACAAAATGTTCTGTTTGTGAAGTGACCTTGTTTGTTGTTGTTTCAATGATTGTCACTAATTTTCTGTTTCATGTTCAGTTGCTTATATATTTTTTTACTATTTAGTCTTTTCCACTTCCATAATATAGTTAATAAAATATACAAAAAAATATAAATGATTATTGATTACTTGCCGCCTAACCAAAAAAATTTATCTAAAATTAAAAAGTACATAAAACTTTTGTAAAAACGCCGATTCCCAGACCATTTACATCGGAAAAATGCGACAGGCCAGGGCTTTCATTTTATAATAAATGTATAATAAATGTATAGAAAACGTGTTCCTAAAGGATACAGGGCGCGTTTACATGATTAGGCTGGAAAGATCTCGTCTGATGAAGACCACACTCGGACCATCTCGTGCCCATATCCAGAACTCCGAAAACTTTCAGCTCGAGCTACGTAATCGCTTCGAATTCCTAGAAAACTGCAGCACGGTGGACGATCTTAATACAAAGCTCGTGGAAACTGTCTATGCCGTAGAGCTTAAATTTTATAAGGTCCGCCGCACAATAGAACCCAAAAACTCTCCGGTCACACTCTCAACCTCTTGGGTAAAAGACGTGAGTTGCGACTGCAGTCTTTAACTGACATGTCGGAGTACAGGCAGCTTAATAGGCAGATCTCAAAATACATGCGGCGAGACTTAAGCAATTTCAATACAGCTCGTATTTAGGGAGCTATAGAGCGGAACCTGGGCTCAAAAGTCTTCGCCAGAGATCTGTCTATCGGACAAAGCCAACTGACTAAGTTGAAGACTGACAGCGGAGCTATCCTCTCAGAGATATTGATATAGAGAGATATCTAGACCAGAGGTTTTGAGTGAGATTGAGAGGTTCTATGGACAGCTGTACACATCGTCGTTGGAGCCACACACATGTGTAAGTAACGACCAAAGAGCAAAGCTTATCCTACACTATTCCGAAAACATCCCAGACGTCAGTCTGAGCGAGATTAGAATGGCTCTTGACCATCTTAAGAATGGCAAAGCATCAGGAAAGGACGGAATTACAGCAGAGCTTCTGAAAGTGGGTGGAGAACCGGTACTTGTGGTCCTTCAGAGGATCTTTAATTCTGTCCTTCAGAGTGGTGCTACACCAGAGGCGTGGAGCAGAAGTTTGGTGGTGCTGCTCTTCAAGAAAGGCAATAACGCTCTCTTGCAGTACTATAGACCGATATCCCTTCTGATAAGCGTCTATGTGCTGTTTTCAAGAGTCATCTTGAATCGTCTCTCTTCCAGATTCGACGACTTGCAGCCTCCTGAGCAAGCCGGATTGCGTAAAGACTTCAGTACCATAGACCACATACACACCTTGCGGCACATTATACAGAAGACCGCATAATCTGCCTTTATGCCTAGCGTAAGTGGACTATGAGAAACCGTGGACCTTCGATTCTGTTAGAGTTTGGGCGGTACTCCAGGCCCTTCAGCGGTGCCAAATTGGCTGTCGGTATATCGAGGTGCTGAGGTGTTTGTATAACAAGGGTGGGCCTTAAGATGAACATGAACAAGACGAAGATCATGTCTAATGTCCATGTCACGCTTGTACCTGTTGTTGTTGGGAGCACTGAGCTCGAAGTTGTTGACGAATACGTTTACCTAGGACAGTTAGTCCGTTTAGGCAGGTCCAACTTCGACGCAGAGGTCAATCGGCAAATCCAACTCGGATGGGCAGTGTTCGGGAAACTTCGGCATATCTTCTCGTCTAATATCCCTTAATGTTTGAAGACAAAAGTCTTCAATCAATGTGTGTTGCTAGTGATGATCTAGGTAACCGAGACATGGTCCTTCACTGCTGGCATTATGAGGAAGCTCAAAGTCGCTCAGCGAGTAATGGAGCGGGCTATGCTCGGGATTTCTCTGTGTGATAGAGTTCGTAACGAAAACATCCGCAGTAGAACGAAGGTAACCGACATAGCTCAGAGGATTGGCAAGCTGAAGTGGCGATGGGCCGGCCATATAGCTGGTAGAAGCGATAACCGTTGGGAAAGAAAGGTTCTCGACTGGCAGCCTCGTACTGGCCATCGCAGTGTAGGACTACGTGTGCAAATGTGCAGAAAATCGATGGATGCAGGTAGCTCAGTATCGTACTTCGTGGCAGTCTATAGGGGAGGCCTATGTTCAGCAGTGGACTCAAACAGGCTGAAATGATGATGATGATGACATAAAAGCTTGTCGCGAATTATTTCGCTAATATTCAGGCTTTCCTTCACCGCTGAGCACGTGACAATTCAGCACTTAAAATTGACAATTGCATTGGTGCTGGCACCGGGGATTGAACTCAGGTTAGCTCGAGTTTTTTGAATTAAAAGCGAGGGCCTTGACACCGAACTAGATTCATTTGAACATTATTAGATTGATGTGGGGTCGACTGCACATACAATGGGGGTAGACTGTTCTAGCGCTCTAGCTTGTAACGTGTTAGTTTGCACTTGCTACGTACCAAACAACAGCAAAATAAGTAGAATGCAGAGACCGCATCCGTTCAGGATCGTGAAGTCAAACCTGGTTTGGCAGGCGAACAGCGTCAGCGCCAAGAATATGACGAAAGTGATCCCGGCGGCGATTAAAATCTGATGATAAAATGATAGTTAAAGGAGCGATGTCACTGAGAATTAAAAAAAGGTAACATGACCGCAGAGTTACTTGCAGGTTCTTCTCTGGACAGGTCTAGTTTAGGGAACCGTTTATAGTTTTTTTGCTATCAATAAGCTTAAAAGAAGCCTACATTGAATAAAGAAATCTTGACTTTGAGGTTAGTGCATCGAAGGTACCTCAGATGGCCTAAGTGGATTGCACAATCCAGTATAATAATATGAAAGATTCAGGTAGCCTTCAGGAAGAATAATACCTCAATTGAACTTAAGGACTTTCACTGTGAGGGCGATTGAAGTAAATATTTTAGGTCTTAAAATGTCAATATTAGAGATAATGATACGTTTTTAATTATATACAATGTATCTTGCCTCCTTAACCTATGACTTATTCTTACTAGATTCGTATGTTCTTAGAAATTTTCTTTGTTCATGGAAAATACCATGACCGTGGATGAGATGATGATTGATGTGTGTGAAACAGGTTTTGCCCACAATATGCAGTGGTTCGCGGCAATACAAGAAATCATTAACACAACAGCCACGGAGTGATGGAAGAGGTCATGGAATGAATGCAAAAATGGGAGAGATGTAAAGTTACCTCTTCATAACGGAACCTGGTGGCAGTAATCCCCACCATAACGGCCAGCGAGGCGGTGAATAAGAGGAGGAAGATGTAGTTGCAGGGCACACGTCTTCTCGGACCCTCGCAACAGAGGATACAAAAGAACGTCGTGAAGTACACGATCAATGGTGCAGCGCTGGAAAAAAATCACTTCTTTTTTTATGGGAAAGTCGAGCTGGCGGTTAACGTGATGTCAACAAACACAAGACTTACAACACAGTCCAGAAATGTTCCCTCGCGTAATCACCGACGCTCGGCGCTTGAATGAAACCGAATATAATAAGACCGGTAAATAACAACTGGGCCATCACAATCGTGTACACCTGAAAGTGGAGATATTTTTATTTTTATTTACAATAATAAGCTGTAAGTATTTGAATGTTTAGTATATTCAAACGGCTTCAATTCCCTATTTCGAAGTAACATCCATATTTAGAACTATAATTAATGCAAATCAACATCTCAATGCGTTATTTAAATCGTTAAAAGCTTGTTGGATATTACATATGTTACGGTCTCGTTATCGTCTAATACATCGTTAATCTTCAAGTGGGAAAAGAATTCACGTTTTGCAATCGTTAAAACCATTCGATTATTAACGCCCGGTTTCTGAAACACTGATCATCGTCATAGTTAACTAATCAGCTGTCAAATGGCTTTTCAAATGTATTTTGAGTTGCCAAAAGGATGGTTAAACTATTTGAATTGATGATTCTGATCAATGAAGAGAATTTAACCACCCTTTTGGCAACTCAAATAACATTTGTCATATAACAAATCCATTTGACAGCTGATTAGTTAACATCTACGATGATCAGTGTTTCCGAAACCCGCCTGGTTTCGGCGTAGCATTAACAATGATGTTATAGAAGAGAATTTAACATATTCTATAGATTGCAGGTGGGAAATGTTTTTGATATAATAGTCATGTGTATGATTAAACACCTATACACCTATTTATTACTTTTTAAAGTGAATATTATACATGGGGATATATTATAACAATGAAATTATTTTACAAGTTTTATCGCGTTTTTGAACTCCAGCGTTCACGGTCACGGGACTAACTGAGTTGTTTCATGTCCTAATGTCAGGGTTAACCCGGGCTGCGGTAAATTTTTTTATCATTTATACGGTATTAGCCCTCAGTAAAATAGTTTAATTTAACCAATCATACACCTGTTAATGTAAATTTATGCGTTCAAAGCCCCCTTATAACATAAGAAATGTAAATTTATGTGTACAAAGCATCCTTATAACATAGGATAATGCTATATATATAACATAGGATACTACACTAAGGGGAAACGTTTCCGAAGAGAAGACTACAACAGATGTTTCTTAGTCGCAGTGGTTGTTGGGACTTACTATCGATCCCCATCCATACAAAATACAAATACACATAAAGTAACAGCCTATACATGTCCCACTTCTGGGCAAAGGCCTCCTCTATACAGAGGGTATCAGGGCATAGTCCACCATGCGGCCCCACTGCGGATTGGCGGACTTCACATATTTTCGAAATACATTTTTTTTGTTATTATTCCGAAAATATACAGGTTTCCTCACGATGGTTTCCTTCACCGCGGAGCACGTGATAATTCAACACTTAAAGTTAAAAACTTCATTGGTGCCGGCACCGGGGATCGAACTCAGGTTGCTCGAGTATACATTGAATTAAGGCGAGCGCCCGGTGCCACTCGCTGCAGAGTCCATAGGAGTGGAAGATTTGAAATACCTTTCTAATAAAGCCGTGCCTTATCGTCTTGTTAGCGAACTGCATGTTCTTCATGCGAGTCGCTGTGTCCGAATTTTCGTTTATCTCGGGAAATGATATGAAAGTACTCTGGAAAATAATGTAGAGAAAGAATTAATTGATGATTGATAAAGTCTAAATAAATTTTGTTGTATAATGTTGTATAAATTCTGTTGGAAAAGTTAAAGGTTTCTTTGAAAAGTGAACGATATAGTACATAGCTATTGTATATTCATGTTATAATAATGTTTTCTACCCGCAGTTTCAGCCGTGAAGCAGTTTCTATAAACATTATCGCCTTAATGGTACACCAGGGACCACAACTAGGGAGTTATTGTTGGCTGGAGTTACTCAGAAATCTTGTTTATTACGTGGTATTGTGTACCACAAGTGGTATTGTGTGGTACACAATACCACGTGATAAAAGTTTCAGAAAGCCTTTTTGCAACCCGATTGGCGTTGGGAGTAGTGAATCTGCTTCTTGCGCCAGAGGGTTGGGTTCGATCTCCACTACTGGAAAATACTGTGCGATGAACGTGGTGTTTTTCCAGTGTCTGGGTGTTTATATAAGTATAGTATGTATTTATCTACAAAATAAAAGTATTTTTAAGTGCGTTCATCAATTACCTAGCAGCTAAAGTACGACGGTTGCTCGAAATCGGTTCACCCACTTGGAAGTTATGAGGTAACAAACATAAAAAAAATACAGTCGAATTGAGATCCTCCTACTTTTGAAGTCGATAAAAAAACCTGGATCTCTTCTTGTTCACCTGATTAATGTTGGCTGCCTGATTTCCTTGAACGGGGCGTGACGGGTGATGATTTTGTCCGCTAAGACCTGGCGGCGGCGGCAACGGAATGGCTGGTTTAATGGACAATTCGTTTTCGCGTCTCGATAAATCATTTCGCTTCATGTCGTCGTCATCTGTATTCCGATAACCTTTCATTCTCTACCTGCAGCTGTGAATAATAAGAAACATTTTCGTTGAATTATTAATTGAAACTTTGCACGATTTAATTTGAAGCTATGCAATGGGAAATCTTGGGAGCAGTAGTTTAAATTAAACGTAAAGTTTTAGTATAAAATCACTTAAGACACTTTTATAAATATAGCACGTTATTATTTATGAGCAATCTATAACATCGGAGCCCAGAATACACTCGGAGATCTTTTTAAAGAGATTGACATAGTAACTGTTGCGTGTCAAATTCAAATGCATACTAATATTATAAATGCGAAAGTAACTCTGTCTGTCTCGCTTGCACACCAAAACTACTGAACCGATTTAAATGAAATTTGGTACACAGATAGTAGAGCCTGAGAAAGGACATAGGCTATTTTTAATTGGATTTTTTTTAAAGAAAGACTTTTACTTAAGGGCTTCAACGCGAGCGAAGCCGCCGTCGAAAAGCTAGTTCAAAATATCTTTATTCACATAGGCGCTTGGGCGTTCTTATGAAACGTCGAAATTTTACATAAAAATTTATACGTTGGTAAGTTACCACCGGTTCGGAAAATAGTTTGTGTTGAGAAGAACCGGCAAGAAACTCAACAGTTGTTCTTTTTTTTAAAGTTTAGTTAACAGTAAAGTAAAGTAAAGTAACAGTCTATACATGTCCCACTGCTGGTCAAAGGCCTCCTCTATATAGAGGGTATCAGGGCATAGTCCACCACGCGGCCCCACTGCGGATTGGCGGACTTCACATGTCTTCGAAATATTTTTTTTTGTTATTATTTCGAAAATATGCAGGTTTCCTCACGATGTTTTCCTTCATCGCGGAGCACGTGATAAGACAGCACTTAAAGTTAAAAACTTCATTGACGACCCGATTGGCTTCAATTTAGATAGAACGAGAGAATCGACTAGGCGTACCCGAAGTTCTTCACTTAGATATTGTCGAACCTTATGGACTTTTAATCTGTAAAAACAGTTGCAAACTACCTTTGATATATGGGTCTCGTATCGCAAATTTGAGTCCAACTCTAAGCTGAGGTTGCGAGCCTCAAAGACACGTTCTAAAACCTCAGCACCTAACTTCACCTCACAATCAAGGGGAACATTATTTATATGAAATTTCGATCCGAATACTATATATTTTGTTTTAGTAGGATTAAGAATTAAACAATTATTTGTTGACCATTCTAATATTCTACCAAGGTCCTCGTTAAGCGACTGCACTGCCTAGCGCCATTCGATAGATTTAAAAGAGATATATATTTGTAAATTGTCCGCGTACAAGTGATATTTGCAAGATTTTTTACAGTTTACGATATCTGTTGTGTAGAGTATAAATAATAGAGGAGATCAGATTGTTCCCTGCGGAGTTCCTCTTGTTAAGGGGCTATACGTTGAACCAAGCGGTCGACCGTCAACTTGAGTGATTTCTACATATTAACCACGACCAGTAAGGTAGCTATGAAACCAACTGACCGTATCGGGATCAAAACCATAATATGACATGTTAGCTAACAGTAATTGAGTATTCATGCAATCAAAGGCCCTTGACAAATCTAGAAGTACTAGTAAGGTACACATATCCGCATCCTGTGCATTAATAATATTGTCTGTAACATCTAGAAGAGCTGTGGTTGTGCTTTGGTTTTTTTTTTAATCCAGATTGAAATTCAGAAAGTATTTTGTTACTTTCAAGATATTCCCTAAGTTGCATCGCAACAGCTTTCTCAACAATTTTTGACAAACAGGGTAATATGCTAATAGGTCGTTGTTCCTTAGGTTCCTGTGGGTTTGAGTTTTTAGGCAGTGGTCTAACGATGGCCGTCTTCCAGACATCTGGAAAGGTTACTATTGAACAATTAACGATAGATGTGATAGCGCCTAGTGACTGTGGCAAGGTTCTAAGTAGCATTCCGAAAGATATCCCATCTATGCCCTCTGTTTTCGATTTAAGGTTTATTATAATTTTCAAAATAACGTCTTGTTCAACATAATGAAGGCAAAATTTTATATCTCCTATAAAACGGTTTCTATTGAAAAACAATAAAACTGAAGGCGAAACAGAGGAGGTCCCGGGTATATCAAGAAAATGTTTATTAATTATGTTGGGATCTGTCAGGTGAGCAGGTAAATGAGAATTTTGTTTAGGAGGCAAAACAGATGATTTTAAGTTGCGGCAAAGCATTTTTGGTTTATTTTAATTATTATTTATATACTGATTTAAGTATGCTTTCTTTTCATAATTGAAATTTGATATTTCATAATTGAGAATTGATTGTACAACTAAGCTTTTAAGATTTTTATAAAACGTCCTATGTGACTCCATTTTTGATTTCAAATATCGCGAGTGAGCATTATATTGTCTGTTATCCATGGATGAGGTTGCTCCTTAAGTACAATTCTTTTTATGGGAGCTTTTTATGGGAGACGTATTCACTATTTGGTTAACAAAACACATTTGTTCCAATGAATTCCAGCTAATAGAGTCTAAACAAGAATTAAGTATATCAACCGGTACGTCATTAAGAGGTCTGTATATAAGAATTCTCGGAAATGTTTTTTCTCTTTTACAGCATACTTCACAAGTTAACATTACATGATGGCTGAGGGGCGCTACTGTTTCCATCGTAACATGTCGAGTATTTGTACATATTATATCTATGATGGATTCGCTGTGGTCCGTGTAATGTGTAGGAGACATAACTATTTGCTGCAAATCTACACTGTTTAACAATATTTTAAATTTATGAATCATAATATCATTTAAACGAAGAATATTTATGTTAAAATCGCCGAGCAAAATAAAATAATCACATGAAGCTAACGAACTTATAGTAATTGCATCGAAAAATAAGTCAACGTCGAGCCAAGGAGGGCGATATGCTGTTCCGATTGCAAGTTTTCCTGTCCCAGTGTTAAGAGTTAACCACATCTGTTCCACAGACGTGTGCAAAGGGTCCACCGGATGGTGATAAGAGTGCACATTTACGCCATGCCTTATGTAGAAGCCAGCGCCACCGCCGCGGCTACTGCGCACGCTCAGCGGCCGCGGCGTGTGGCGCAGGCTGTAGCCGGCCAAACGAGGCGCGCAGCCCTCTTCTCCGATACGCAGCCGTGTCTCATTCAGCGCCATTATGTCCACCGAGTGACGTTCAATCGCTGCGATAAATTCCTCGTGTTTCGTATTTAACGAGCAGACGTTGAGAAAACCAAATCTATAGTATAATTTAAGGCCCATGAACAAAACAATTGCAATAAAAATTTGGAATATTTACATGTAACCAAAAAAAAAAACAAAAAAAAAAGAACTACAACGTTTATTAGAGTAAATAAAAAACGCTTCGATGGTGTGCGCGTGATCAATTTAAATATTTGTATCTGAAAAGACCTAATAATTAAAGAACGCCTAAATATACTGCCACCCATATATTCTGCTACTAATAATTGTATTATGCGAAAATGAATAAATCGAGCTTTATCGTAAGTAAAAACTAGGCAATCAGCATTGCAACGCAACACAAAACATATTCGATTAAAATAATTATAAAGTAAAAAAAATTATAAACGGAAAAGTTATACTACAAGGAGAATATTTAGTAAGAACTCGGACAATCAGCATTGCAACGCAACACAAAACATATTCGATTAAAATTATAAAGTAAAAAAATGTTATAAACGGTAAAGACGTACGTCTTTACCGTACAAAGAAATATTCTGCGATTACAAATACAATAAAGATACAAGTATGGACCAAATATTTTTTTTGTGAAAAAGTAACATTGTTGTGGCATATTGAATAAAGCAATATTCAACTGAATGACATACTGAATACAATCAACTGAATCAACTTTATACAAGATAATAGAAAAAAATTGGAAAAAGTACATAGACCAACAAATCAAGATACAAAAATTTTCTTTATGTCATTTTCATTTTTAATTCGCTCGACTACCTTACAGTCATCCTTTCTAGCAAAAATGTTACCATTTCTCGTCCGAACATATTTCCGCTGGGCGCGTGATGCCGCTTCCCGCGCCATGCCGAACAGCTGGCGGTTCAGCCGCGTGAGGCGCTCGTTGACGAAGAGCCTTCGCAGCTCCCCCGGCATGCTGATGTCGGCTGAGACAGGGCTCGACACGCCAGCCCGACGCCGATGGTGCGAGAGAAGCCCACCCGCTCCGCGAATGCAACGTCCCGGTCCTCCAACTTTATGCCTAGCTTTACAGCTATAAGCCCGGATACATGCAAGACGTTTTCATTTTTCTCTTCGGGCAGGCCGGAGATTTCCAGATCGTTATGCAGAGATTCTTGTTCGCGCTCGTTCAATTGTCGCTTCAAATCGGTAATTGTGTTTTCGAGCTTCTCCACATTGCCGGGAGATTTTACATTTTTTTTTTATGTGAAAAGTTGCCAAACGAGCAGACGGTTCACCTGATGTTAAGTGAATACCGCAGCCCATAGACATCTGCTACACCCAAGGGTTTGCAGATGCATTGACAATCTTTTTGGAAATTGGGCTCCGGCTACCTCACTCACCAGAAGAAACGCGAAAGTATTTGTCATACTTCCACTTTACTCCGGTCTTCTGTGAGGTCGTGGTACTTACCCGGACGAGCCTGCCCATTCGTGCAACAGCCGAGGCTGCTGCGACCACGCAGCAGCCTCGGCTGTTGCATGCTTTGAAGACAATATGACAAATACTTTCGCGTTTCTTCTGGTGAGTGAGGTAGCCGGAGCCCAATTTCCAAAAAGATTGTCAATGCATCTGCAAACCCTTGGGTGTAGCAGATGTCTATGGGCTGCGGTATTCACTTAACATCAGGTGATTCTCGACTTCAAAGCATTGCATGCTTTGAAGTCGAGAATCTGCCTCCTGCAGACCGCAATCTCAGTTCTTGTTTTGCTCAGCTCACTGCGCAGATCTCTTATCTCCTGCATTAACTCCCGTAGCATGTGGTTGTTCGATGTGGGTGTAGTCTCACTTAGATCTGATTGAGGAGTTGACTCTTCTGACGACATATCACCACATAACGTTTTTGGTGCCCTCGAGGATGACGTCGGGTCTGTTTTGGTCTTGACTTTGCAGCCTTGGCACGCCCATCCTTGAGGTGTTGGCCCCGTCGGTACAGAACAGCAAGTACGATGAAAATTATTTGCGCATTTAGAGCACCTCACACAGTCCGCGTTGGATAAAAATTTACTACAGTACCCGCACTTAGGCATTTTCTTATTTATTATAAGTGCAGTGGTGTTAGTATCACTGTTCGTGTAAAGATGGCGTTGTTCTTAGTTCCGTTAATAAATTTATCCACGATTTTACATGTATTGATTTGTGGCGAACAAAATGCACTGAATTGATCCAATTAGAGCTCTCAGCAATAATTAGATGTTTTTTCTAATTGTTTGTACATAATATTTTGTTTTAACTCTGAGGGTATATCAGCAGTTGCAGTTCACAGTCTGCCTAGGATAATTTGTTAATTTCTTTTTAATTTTAGCACATATTCACTGGAAAACACTTTCACACATTAATTATACGGCACAGTTAACTTAGAGATGGAATTTACTATAAAACACCGATGTTAAATATTTTTAAAACTAAGATAATTGACTCGGCCATAAACGTCACAGACCGACGCGTCCTATTCAAACGCAAAATTTAAAGTAAACATATTGCTAAAGCACATTATACCATTGCGGAATATCTTGACGACACCAATGTTAATACTGTTGATACTCACGTAGGCTAAATTAAGACTATTATACCTGTATCATGTTACTGTAAACTGATATATTTTAAAAGAGCAACTGTTGAGTTTCTTGCCGGTTACTTCTTAACAGAAATTGCTTTCCGAACCGGTGGTAACTTACTTCGGAACTTGTGTATTAATTGTTGTGTAAAATTCTACGTTTCATAAGAACGCGCAAGCATCTATTTGAATAAAAACATTAGCAAAAAATAAATATAGAGTCGAAAATAACTCTACATGCCATATAAATACTATTTTGTAAGTTTAGCCTATTTCATTATAACCGAAGATAAATATAATTCTGCTTTTTAAAGTCAAGTAATTCTGCTTTATAAACAAACTTTATGCTCGAAAGTTTTCGTTTTCGGTCTGGTAATAAAAATATAAAATAAATATTCTTTAATTACGGATCAATGCTTTATACAGGATGTCGTTACCATCGCGACAATAAATGAACACACATATAGGGGATAACTTTTTAAAGTTGTATTAAACATTTAAATTCTTTAAACATCAATATTTACAGAGTTATTAAATTTTCCAAAACAAAGAATTTTAGAACACCCTCACCTATAAAAGCGTAACGTAAAATTCATTTGTAAAGGTCACAAAGCATATGAATGGGTTGAATGAATTTAAAAGAGATAAAACATACTGTTAGAAGGAGAGGCTTGTAATACGACGCTGTGTCGCGATTTGTATAGAATGTTGCAAAATTTGTTTCTTTTTTATTTAATTAGTTTGTTTGAAAAATATTTTTTTTTAATTATGGATTTTGTTTAACGTTAATATTTTTTTATGATTATTGGCAAGTAGCGTTAGACGCGTGTTCATTTATTGTCGCGATGGTAACGACACGCTGTATAAGTAGCTTTTTTAGCTGCTAAATTTACTTATTGCCAGGATGTGGCCCAGTTTCCGGGATGCGCCTAATATTTTGCCAACAGATTTTTGAATTATAAAATCGATCTAAAACTAAAATCGATACGATCCTTATAAAATTGGATTTTTTCCACATCCTCCTTGACTCCGTTAAACCAAGTCTTTACGACGTTATTAACCTTCTAAGCGGTCTTTATACATAAACTAAAGAAGAACGAACAAACGTGAATTTATTTAAACTTTATTATTTTTAAAATTAATATTTATTTTATAAGTCATTTTTAAAGTACAAAAGAGTTGGACTAATTTTCACTTGGCTTGAATATTTTATTATTAGTCTGACCTTTTTAGTACATATTATTAAGGCGTGCTTTTATTGACTATGTTATGCTTAGTGTTTAAATAAAGTATTTGAGCATTATAAATAAACATATATATATTATATATGTATACCATACTTCTATATTTTAAAAAAGGTAAGTTTCCCATGACTTTTTAATAAATTTGAAATAAAGGTACTATCGAAGTAAAAACATTGACTTTTGTTTACAAATTAGGATTTACAAGTGTTTACATGATTTTTTATAAAAAAAAACTCCTCCGCGAAGTATAGTAATATTCGAACAATATTTCGTAGAACATAATTTGGTGTACCCAAATTATGTTTTTTTTTTATGTGAAAACTTGCCAAGCGAGCAGGTGGTTCACTTAATGTTAAGTGAACCACCGCCCATGGAAATCTGATACACCCGAGAGTTTGCAGATGCGTTGGCAACCTTTTGAAAATTGGCAAATTGGGCTCCGGCTACCTCACTCACCAGACGAAACGCGAAAGTATTACACTTCCAATTTACGCCGGTCTTCTGTGAGGTCGTGGTACTTACCCGAACGAGCCTGCCCATTCGTGCAACAGCCGAGGCTACTGCGTGGCCCTACCACGCATAAAATGTTGGATGAAATTATCACTAGCATATTTTAGAGAATCTCGGTTCGATACTCACGATAGTACTTATTGATTCCTGTAGATCCATTACCAAATACATAAATTACAACCAAGAGGTTAAAAAAAATGATGAGAACAAAGCATACCATAAAAATTACAAATACGAGTAGATATCTATGCTTACCGGCACTGCGTGGCGTCTGGTTCAATTCAATATAAGACCCTAATCAAGAAAAACAAGATCAGAACAGATAACGCCAATACTAATACTCTGACCTCACGAGCTTCACGAGGGAACAGTGAACAACGCAGGGAGGGAGCTTCGGAAGTTCACAAATTCGAAATGCGTAACGTAAACGTTTGACAGTGCACAAGTGCACACCAACGCTCTAGTGATTGCCACCGAAACCAAAGAGAATGTAATCACTACGTTTTTTTTGACCGAAACTAGCCCGTAACGCAGTGTTACCAACCCTTGAAAATATTTATCCCTAAATTTTAAGTCAAAAACCCCTAAAACCCCTTGTAAAATAATATTGTTAAAAAAAAAATAAGTAACGCAAACATTTTTGCTACAATTTCCACGTGAATGGAATAATACAGTGAAGGATATTGCAACGTAAATCGTCGTTGATCTTATTAAAAGTATTCAAACAAAAATTGTCTCTTATGATTTCTTTAGACGACCAATATTTTTACAGGAATTCCAATAAATGATAAAAATGAATGAAATGATTCATAATGAATGATAAAAAAGCTTTAAGCCCCGATTTACATTGGTCTAGGACAGTCGGAAGTAGCGAATAACTTTTTGCAGTACAGCAAGTACATTGGCATTTCACGGTCGAAATGGGCGAGCAATATGGGCTTGCTGTACTAATTGTCACTTGACATAGTTTAACTATTACACTAGTTACACTATGGCCAGTGACGAGTCAAGTGCCCTGCGATTGTTAAGCGGAAGCGCGAGGAGGGCACTTGCACCAAAAATGAAAGCCATTCTATTTGGGTCTAGTTGCAAGGCAACTTACAAGCCAACTTCACTTGCCACTGTCTGACGGTTTACATTAAGAATAATGTACTTACTCACCGTATTTGTCTACTTAACATAACACTTGACCTATTGAATGCTTTTCACGGACACTTAAATATAAAATTTACTCTCCATACCATAGTTCAACTTCGCATTCTTAGTAATGCAAAACCGTACTAAATGTCACCAGGGCAATAATTGCGTTACTCCTGGTCTTTTATTTTTATACTTTTATTTTTTAAACAAAGAAAATAACAAGAATAATAGGAAAAAATATAAGAAGCCAAAAAATCCCTAAAAATACTACCGATTTCAGAGGTTTAGTTTATAATTATTTAGTGTATAAGAAAATTAAGATGACCTGCCATTTATTTAACATAATATTTTAAAATATTTTCATGTTTTTTCTTATTGGCTACGTCAAATTTTAGTTCATATTTAGTAAAATACCTAAATAGAGCTTCTTCCGGAATGGCAACAGTTCCATCTAACTTTCTCGCTCTTTTGTAGAGCATTATCTCTTTTTTACCAATCGTGCCTGTATTGGCATTTATTGACTTTAAAGCTGTACCGGGCCTCCCCCTGATCACAACTAACGTAGGCCGATGTAGGGATGTCGAAAGTGAAGAATTATATCGATATTTATCAAATATCAATATCGGCCTCGATAAATCGAAGAGAAAATAATATCGACACATCAGATATAGTATAGGTCCTAGAAAGCACTTGGTCCAAAAAAGAATTATTGTGATGTCAAGTATTGAATATCTGACACTTACGGACTCTGTGCCGGATTCGAATTTGAAACAATGTAGATTTTTCTACGATTTTCGATATAGAATAGTTGTATATTACATGAGACCCGCGCGGAATGCAACGCCCCGCCCGCTCCACGTTCCGATTTGGCGGACGACGTTGGCGATTTATTGAACAGCGAGCGACAAAAACTTGTCCGAAATTCCGAAGACCTATGTTGTTTACTGTACATGGCGGCACGCCGCTATAACGTTATCGGACACAGATCTCAAGTTATAGTGCACGTGTAGTACAAAACAAAGAATACATTATTAATACAATGGTACAAAACATTAAACAAATCGATAAAACTGATTCCCTAACTGGTTAATTGAACAACTTTCTTCAAATTATTACTTCTTCAAATATTATCTAGATGCGTAGAAAAAAAACTAGATAATTTATTTTAATAGCTTGTTTCCATAAAAACGTTCAATCATTCGGTACGTACATTTTGCACTTAATCCGTCGCTTGACTTAAAGTTGGCTGGTGGGATATTCAACAGCGAATAAAAATGTATTTTTTTATTTTTACGTCATTTTAACTTTTGATACTTTACTCCTGCTGTTGTTTTTTTTTTTTACTTTTTTTATTGTTCTTATATGAGAAGGTGGCAAACGAGCTAGCGGTTCACCCGATGCTAAGTGACAACCTCGCCCATTGACATGTGCAACACCCGTAGGATTGCAGATGCGTTGCCACCTTCAAATAAAGTGGGCCACGGCTACCTCACTCACCAAAAGAAAACAGGAGTATAACACACACTTCCACTTCACCCGGATGGACTGCCTGATGGATGAAAGGTTTTTAAAGGGTTATAATGTAAGTGTAAATGGTAAGGAATAAAAAGCATAAGTATGTATGTCAATTTTCGTCTTTTATCACAGGTGTTTCAAGTATATGTAAATTCGACTTATTCTAAGAACATTGGATAGTTTTAAGTTTTTTAATATTCAAGATGCCCTATTGTAATCCGTTACCGTTACACTCTATTCACAAGGAACCAACCAAGGTCTTTTGTGATGACGTAATAATTAGTCATTTTCTTATTCTTCTGTAAATACAGCTATATTTTAAAGCTTATACTAGAATAAAAGATTACTAAAAAAAAAAAAACAATCCACATTTCATGAATACAGCAGGATTATTGTAATCGTCATATTTTATCCATATTAGCTTTTATTGGGCGTCATTTAACACTAATATTTTAATTTAAATTAGCATTGACGACGTAAACACTTTATTTTTATTTTAGGATAGAAATATTTATTTCAGTATTTTTACCTTCAACATAAAAGGCTGAGCTTAGGGTAAGGGACATTGAAACACTTGACTTAGCCGTTGCTTACTGCTTTAGACCTTTCAGCGCGTATTTACACCGATATGACGATTTCAATGTAACACAGACAAACGTTCTTTCTAAATGTAATAAACCAAAAAAGCCCGGGAATTGCGTCAACAGTCGTAGAAACGGACAAACTTAATTCATGCGTTGTCATAGGAGCATCGCGAAGTTACTTCGATGCACCGATGATTGTGAGGATGAAGAGGAAGATGTTGATGATGTCCAGATAGAGGTTCAGGGCCGCGAATATGTACTCCTCGGGCGATATGCTGTACTTGTGCTTGCCGCCCATCATCAGCTGCGTATCGTACACTAAGTACAGCGAGAACAGCAAAGCGCCAAAGGCCGCGTACACCAAAGTGACGATGTTGTTCCGCGGTATGAATATCGCTATTAGTCCTGAAAATCACAATCAATCAAAGATACATAAAGTGTCAGTAAATTAGTCGCTCAATAACAATTTCCTTTGTAATAAAGTCATCATGGTCATGCTGTTCTCTAAATTATTTCTCTTTTGCTTGCTATGCTTTAGTTTGTGATATGTTACTAAACCTTAAACCTTTTAAAATCAAATGACATAAACAAATTTACTGTATCCTCGAAGGAACCTCAATACACCATAAAAGTAAGGGGTAATTGGGTTTTAAAAATATTCCAATATAATTTCGCACCCAGCTCAAAACATTGTCTGGAATGAGAGAATTTAAAATTAAAAAAAAAAACGCATTCGGATTTTTTTTGGGTTATCTATCGTTATAAGCATAATTATACTATGTCTAATATTTGACCCATTATTCGCCACTTGGAGCTTGTATTTGGCTTAAGGGCAGTAAGTCCTAACTACCAATGCGACCCTTCGAATTAACATTGCCCCTTGCCGTAGGACAACATTATACTGCGTTGTAAGGATGTTTTACATACATAAATTCCACGCGAACAAACACCCGGAATGGAAAAAATTATCTGTGGGTCACACGAATACTTGTGTTAGCGGGAATCGAACCACGACCTTAGGCGCCGGCACCAGTGCCTTGGCAAATACGCCACGGAGTCATCACCACTTGGAGCTTACCGAATAGCAGAAGCACCATGGTGGCGGCGACTAGCGCCCCACCCATCATGGTGAAGTCCCATTTCGTCTGGAAGGCGAAGAGTGTGAGAGCCAGGCTGACACCCGCCGTTATGCCCACGGCCATCATCACCTGCACGAATGTCACGTCAGTTTTACTAAGTGTGTACGGCAGACGAAGTCGTTCATTCGCTGCAGAATGTCACGTCAAGTGAGTTTTGGTCAAAGAGTGTACGACAGGCGAAGTCGTTCATTCGCTGCAGAATGTCACGTCAAGTGAATTTTGGTCAAAGAGTGTACGACAGGCGAAGGCGTTCATTCGCTGCAGAATGTCACGTCAAGTGAGTTTTGGTCAAAGAGTGTACGACAGACGAAGTCGTTCATTCACTGCAATGAATCATGTTTTTTAAAATTGTGGGGCAGGCGACGATTTACTCGATAGGAATCAGGTTTATATGTAAACAGTGTAAAGCAAGCAGGCGGTTCAAATTGATAACCATCAGCACATACACGAATGTCATTTTTATTCAAATAGTGCGGGGCAGACGAGGTGGTTCGTTCGCTCTAAGGAATCGCTCACGGACATCCGCGACACCTGAGGAGTTGTAAATGCGTTGACAAACTTTCAAAAAAGTGGGTCCCGGTTACCTCACTCACCGGACGTAACGTGAAAGCATAGGTAATACTTCGGACTTCAAGCCTGTCTTATATGAAGCCGTGTCACTTCTTTGGGATTAGCCTTTTCGCATAATATGTCATTTATTAAGTGTCACGTTTAATACTAATCGGTTAGTTTTTTGATGGGCTTAGAACTGGTCTTGTGGACTTTGAGTGTTCTAACACTGGATGCACTTTCATTTACTCTTTTGATTACGTTACAGGATCAGCGCTCACCTCAGACACGTCGTAGACGCTGGTGGCGACGCCGAGCAGGAAGCTCTGGGCTAGTGTGAAGATGAACAGGAATATGAAGTTAGTGGGCGCGGTGCGGCGGACGTCCGGGCAGCAGGCCATAGCGATCAGGCAAACAATCAACAGAACCAGCGCAATCCAGCTGTTGGGTTATTTTTTATGTGAGAAGGTGACAAACGAGCCTTTTTTATGTGAAAAGTTGCAAAACGAGCAGACGGCTCACCTGATGTTAAGTGAATACCGCCGCCCATGGACATTTGCTGCACCCGAGGGTTGCAGATGCGTTGGCAACCTTTTGAAAATTGGGCTCCGGCCACCTCACTCACCAGACGAAACGTGAAAGTGTTATACATCCACTTTACGCCGGTCTTCTGTGAGGTCGCGGAATTTACCCGGACGGATCTGCCCATTCGTGTAACAGCGGACACTGTTGCGTGGCCCTACCACCTTGATAATTAATTTCCCACCTTTTACAATTCTTTTAGACGTGAATAAATAACGGCTTGTAATAAAAAAGATACTCCGATGTTTATTACACAAATGAGCAGAACCAAATCATTGGAGATACTGCACCTATAACGGATAGGTTTGTTAGTTTCGTTTTTGTTGTTTTAGCTTGTTGAAATATCTCCTGGTCTAGGAAACAATCCCTTTCCCCTTTCCTGCCCTTTCTTATGTATTTCAAAAGCATAAAAATCGAGACCAAGTAAACCTTCCATATGCGTTCTTTATTTCAACATTGCGTAGACATTTGTGAGCAAAGACTAACAGTATACCTACATATTGGACATTGTTTCTTATTAATGAAACTAATTTTGTGTATTTATCGCGTTAATTTTTAATTTTAACTCCGGCCGTTTCGACTCCTTTACAGCGTTCATGGTCACGGGCAGACTCTGTCCCGTTAGAGAGAGAGACACTGTCCCGTGAGAGAGAGGGTCTGATAAATACGTAAAATTAGTTTCATTTATAATGTGTAATCGCGTAAATACAAGAAAAAATTGTTCCTTATTGTTATACTATAATTATTCGTAGGATGTGTCGGATCCCAGCGGTCAGAGGTCCGTTTCTACGAATGCTACTCACAACAAATACGAATTCTGCGCCACCCAACGCTTCGTCGGTTCGTGGAAAAGGAAGAGGGCGATGAAGCCCATTGTTATCAGCAGCTGACACATGAGGATTGCGTAAACCTGAAACCAAAGTGTTTACGTTTAACCAGACTAAGCCCCCGATTTCGCTCGAGTTTTATTTACGGTAATGTATTTACAACTTATTTACAATGTATTTACAACATATTTACATCGTATTGACAATGTATTTGCAATTTACAACTGGCGTAAGTCTAAAAAACAGACAAACACATACAGAGAAGATAACAAATCTGTGTTCTTGGTAACAGTTCGTTTCTAGACATTAATTGCAGATAAATTAAAAGGTCGTAAATCAAAGTGAAATGTACAAATTGTTCGATATAAAAAAAATCTTATTTTAAATCCTATATAAATTTTGAAATTATGTAACTACACATTTTTATCAGTAAGCGACAGCTTATTCTAATGCTTTATCAGCTTCTTACACTTCTAATTATTTCCATTTTTTCTTTATCAATACGCAGTAGGATATTTAAGGAAAATTATACATTGCGTTGCGACTTCTAGTTTTAATTAAATTCAAAACACGTAAGGATAAATCATACAAAGTCTGACGAAGCCTGAAGTGTGGGTTCGATCTTTGTTTTAATCTTCGGTTTAAGTATGTTTATCAGTTATATAGTACAAGCGGTGCTAAGTTTGGGACTAGAGAACGTTGTGTAAAAATGTGTCCTAACAAAGGATATTCATTTATGACCCAATTGAATCATCTGATGCTGTGGTCATATTTTTTATTATGAAGGTCAGTTAGCACCGCTTTCATGGTCGCAACAAGCATCGATCTTCATGTATTTACCCAAAACAAATGATATAGATATAACCAGGCTTGTTCAATCGTATACGCTTGCAAGCCCCTCTCTGCCACAGTTTAAATTTCTTACCTTCCGTATGAAACCCCTCCGAATGCTCTGCTCGGTGAAATCGAAAGCGTGTGTGTGCCCATCTTCTCCGAAGCTCTGCGGTCCCTGATATCCCGCTGGCTGGAAATAATCTCAGTTTTGAACTGGGAATTCTGGAAAACAGATCAAACAAACGCGAAAGTATTTGTCATACTTCCACTTTACGCCGGTCTTCTGTGAGGTCGTGGTACTAACCCGGACGGAGCTGCCCATTCGTGCAACAGCGAACACTGATGCCGGTTGCGTACTGTATACCGAATTAGCCGAGATTAAGAGCCGTAATAGCTAAGTGTCCAGGCGCTCGATTTTAATTAGATATACTTTAACCGTGGTAGAGCAACGCAGCAGCCTCGGCTGTTGCATGAATGGGCACGCTCGTCCGGGTAATTACCACGGCCTCACAGAAGACCGGCGTAAAGTGGAAGTATGACAAATACTTTCGCGTTTCGTCTGGGGAGTGAGGTAGCCGGAGCCCAATTTTCGAAAGGTTGTCAACGCATCTAGAACCCTAGGGTGTAGCAGATGTCCATGCGCGGCGGTATTCACTTAACATCAGTGAACCGCCTGCCAGCTTGTCAACTTTTCACATAAAATAAAAACAAAGAGGCCATCGTGTTAAAAATATTTTTCAACGTAACAGGAACTTATATAGTAGTGGTATTATAATGGGAAAGCAGCACTCGCTGCAAATGTTACTCGTAATGTGTCGGAAAAACCGCCATTACTACGCATAAAACGTCTACCTTATGTACATATTGATATATAATATCTCACGAATACAGGATAACTTAGGAAAATAAATCACAATAATCATATATCTACTGGACGAACATGTATCAATTAATGATACCTAATGTATGATTATGACCTATGTTTGTCCGACGCTATATCGCATGATCATTAAGGAATTTCAAGGACACGAATCTGTTTCCTATATTACAAAGTGTATAAATCAAATTCCCCTAACTTTAAGGGTATGTTCAAACGCTATATAGGTAGAAAAATGTCTATGGAACATGGGTCAAGACAACGCGGATATTCATTTAATTATTATATGCAAAAACTCCACAGTATGATAAATATTCTTACTTGTCGACGTTAGCCATCTGTCATTCATTTATTTACGGTAGAAAGTTAACAGACATTTTTTAAAATGTTTTTTTCAAGCAAATTGAACATACGACGTTGTCAAATTTCAAATAAAGGGTTTATATACGAAAATTATTACTTACTTTTTTGTATGTAAAATGAAAATGAAAAAAAAAAAACAGTAATCAACAAATTTTTTATGAAAAGGAAAAAACACAGTATTCAACAAATTTGTTATTGGGCTCATATATTAGACCTTAAAGTTATGAAAATTCAATTGAAAACACGTATTGTCGATAAACATAACATAATGTAATTTTAATAATCGAGTAACTTACATATACTTATAATCTACAGATTGTTCCAGAATAGTTCAAATAAAAAAACTTATTATTATTTTAGAGAATGAAGTTGAAAAAATTTCAACAACATTAACAACAACAAGGGAAGGCTAAACCTTCTCCGATTCCCTCGCCCTCTTGCAGGAACACGAGACCACTTCGTGCTACTGCCAATTTGTGCCCCATCTTAGTCGCCTTTTACGACGGGCAGGGGACCCCTTGGCCCTATTCTATGGGCCTGGGACTACAGGGCTGTGCGCTAAGGGCCTCTAGGTGAGGATTGGGATGCAAGTAGCGGCGCGATGCCGACTGCATAAATTGAGCGATGGTGTGTAGCTAAATATACGTGTAATCTACTAATTAGCTCCGCGCAAAAATCGGATTTTGGATCACCCATAATGGTGGTACAGGAGCCCTCAGCGCCCGATGTATCTGTAAAGGCCTCCCCAAGACCAACAGAGGACGATCTAGCAAAATAAAAAGCAGATAAATATCAAGATTTTCGCATGGACTCTTCAAGCCCAACAGTGGACGATCCAGCCAAAAAAAAAAAAAAAACAATCAATAGATGTCAAGATTTTCGCGCCATGAGGTTATCGGCCGTTTAGCTTAGTTGGTAAAGTGTCTGGGCGCAAAACCATAAGACACAGGTTCGAATACCGCAGCGTCGAGAGTTTTTGTTCATTTATGTACAAAAATATTATGTTATATTGTTTATATTACAATTTAAAATTGTTAATTATGATAGGATTTAATTAACACTTGGAATATTATAAATATTACAAATAGTACTTCAAGACGTCTTCCGGAAAGACTGATTTCTATGAAATTAAATTATTTTTGCTTTTAAGAATTGTGAGAAACAGGATTCAATAACCTTGGTTCAGTCAATATGCCTCGAGAACGTTTTAAATAAATTTTCCAGTGATTGTAATACTTGTAAATCACCATTTATTTATAAATTTAAATTGTTATGCACCTTTTTCAAATTTGATAGGCTGCCTGATGTATGCGATAGTTTGTTAATGACAATAAGCATTTTAAGTGTATACCAAAGTAAAAATAATGCGAAACTATAGAAATTTTTAAAACACCTTATCACACAAATTGAAGGAACTTAGGAAAAAACAATCCCAAAAATTATTAAAAAATCGAAACACGCAGATGCGTTTGCCACGCATTATTACGAGACGAGAACGCTTAGGCAGTAGTTAGGTTTTATGTGGACAAACAGACGTACATGGGGATAGTGATACGTTTAACAAAATATAAGCAAGAAAAGATATTAATTTTTCATGTACTCAATAAAAGAAAAAAATAGTTTTCTTATCAGTCACAACTTGAATTAATGTCAAAGAAAAAACTGAAATTAATATCAAAGAAAACAATATACTGCATAAATAAAAAATAAATAAATAATTATTATATAATTGCATAAGTTGATAAAAAAATGCTATGCAGTAGCTTTACCACGGCAGTCCTCGAGTGTCACAGTTATCTACTTCTGCCAAAGAGACCGTCGTCTAAACATATTTTTTATCTTGTTTACGGTTCATCGAATCGATAGTTGGTATGAAACATTCACGAATCCGCCTCCAAGTTTAAATGTTATATAGAGCCCGTTAGTCTGTTAATATTTGAAAGTTCACATTGTGGAATAAATCAAAAATAAAGCACACCACAGCTATTTTATTTTATGTATGTTTTATATTGCATTGTATTATTGTATAATTTTATATTGCACCACCTACGTAGTAAACGTTCCTTTACGCCATTGGTTGCCTGGAAGACATCGCTACGGCCGCCAAATTGTCCATTCTATTAATTTGTTTGTCTATTGTTAATTTTGTGTATTCTTTTATGTGTGGTGGACAATAAAGTATTCATTCATTCAAACATTATTTTTTATTAAATAATCATAATATTATTATTTATCGTAGTTGACTTTAAAGCATAGTTATGAAGATGTGGTACTGTACAAAGATGCAATGCCATGCAAGTCGTGATGGCTTAGCGCTTAGGCGCTTGCTTTCATAGTCAAGTAACCCGTTATAATCAGCTCTGTAACCTGTGCAACCCGTGTTTATCTTGATAAATTTGGTAAAGTGCCACCGGAAATTGTTTGTCGCGGGTTAAATTTTGTTAATGATGAAATTAGATGTTTCTAATGTGGACTAAACAATGTAAATACATTTCGCAAACCGATATTCGACATACCGTCATTTCCTGTGAGCATTCTCTTGCCAACCGTTATTTAGACACGGAGGCCATTTTCTTAGTTGAAGTTAGTTTTAAAAACGTTCCAAATTATATTGTGTTCAGTGTTGTTTAAGCTGCAAACTGTTATTAGGCATGCCGGCCCGGAGTCAAACAGTATAAAATCGAAGAGACTAGAAGCGAGAACAATATCAAATCAAATAATTAGATAAAGATGGATATACCGGTCTACCCTTTCAACGATTAGATAAATGTGTGCCGAATTTTTTGTATGGACGTCTGAACTGAGAGTCACAATGCACGTGGTTTGATAAACCGATATTATTTATACCCTGTATTCATAGGAACGCAGCCGGCTTCCTTCCCTGGTGATGTCCCGTAAATTGTAAAAGTAATTTTCAATTCATTGCACCTTATATACCCCATGCCACTGAAACGGTTCCATCTTACGCAACACGATGGGCAACAAAATAGAAAAGAAACTTGGTTCCTCTTTTGATTTATATTTACCTGAGACATGATGCGTTGCACTATCTCGGGTACGTTATCACTGATACGCGGCCGCTCGTACACTGACTTATGCCGATAACGTTGCGTGGAACCAAATAAAACGTATAGCTCGTGGGGTCGATAAGAAGATCCTTTACCGATACAATGAGCAATCGATGTTATTAGTGATATTGGTAATCACCAAATTCGTTAAACGTAATAACAGGTCGACCGACGGTCTCATCTTAAAAAACGATTAGACCATAGATTTACAACTGTAGCGTTGATTTGTTCTTAACGTCTTTATATATATTTATTTTACAATATTTTCATAAGTTGTCTAATCATTTTATAATACATGTGTTAGACACATAAGGTTTATTAAAACAAGTAATATATTTTGGTATACATTAGTGCTCTATTGACGAATATTTAAAGGTGGGAAAATAACATATAATGCCAAACGTATCACTATAAACCTTAGTTATCCAACATTTACAACATTAAATCTATGTAAAATTAAATATTATCTAATAAACCTAAGCCTCGCTGAATAGCTTATAACCTTTGCGCGAGAAAAGAACCAGCACTCTTGTCAGGCGCGGCGTTAAGCCTAGGACGTAAACCTTTCAAAAATTTGTATGTACGGGGGCCCCACGGACCCAAAATTTCAACAGCAAATGGCACAAATACATAATCTAAACATAGAGACCCAGATTTGTTAAAATAGCCTCTATTATGAAAAGACAATAACAGGATATATGTGCGTTTATTTAACGTCGTCTTCATCTTTAATAATTATCTTTCATTAAATAAGTATCTTTATGTGAATGATTACAGAAATTTAAAGACACCTTAGAATGTTACTTTTTTATGTAATATAGCTGTGCCCGCGACTTTGTCCGCGTGGAATTTGAAATGAAAACAATTTCTAAAACAAAAGTAGCCTATGTTACTCGTTATTACATAAGCTATATGCCAGTGAAAATCCCGTCAAAACCCGTCCAGCCTTTTCAGAGATTACTCGGAATAAACAGACAGATATACAGATAAACAGACAGATATACAGACAAAAATTGTACCATGTGCATTTAGTAAAAAAAAGCGGTTATTTTAATATTACAAACAGACGCTCCAATTTTACCGATGATTGCGCATCACAGAAAAGCTACCGGATAGATTTCAATAATTTCTTTTACGTTTCTCTTACACACTTGACGTTTATTTTAAAAAAAATATTGAGATAGCCTTAATGAAACTGCCATTTTAATAAGCACTGCATGGTCCAGTAGTTATCTAGTTGTGGAGGATAAAAATCATTTGTTTATATAATAAGCAACGCAGACGAGGTCGCGGTTTTCAGCTAGTTAAAATTATAAGTAGAAGTACGTGACAGTCTGTAAAGGCAACAAAATACTAACAGTCTTATATTTCTGCCAATTTGGTGTACTAGGCAAGCTGATAATTTGGTTCTCAGCAAGTTCAATATAAATCGATATCGATGAATAATTTGCTTACGTACTAATTCCTGTTTTCACCATCAATCCCTTACTTTCAGAGACACCTAAAAAATCTAAGTGCTTCTTTCATTTTCACCACCGCTTAAGTGTCGCCTAGTCTTAAGGATGACATTTAAGATGTGGTGAAAATGTTGGGACCAACAAAACAAAGCCACAATACTAAAACCAAAATAAAATAGTATTTTATGGAAACTTTGCTAATATTGTGGAAATGGAGGATTGTGTTATGAATAATGAACTAAATAATGAATTTTTTAATGAATGAAACAACATTTAGATGGCCATCTATCACAGAATTTATTCAAGAGAAAAAACACATTGTAACCCAACGGGGCTTTAGTTAATAATGCATAATATATTATAAATACAACTCCTTAAATAGTACTAACCTAACATTTTAATAACATTAGACACGCTACACTACATATATAATTAGTTATAGTAATTTAGAATGCATTATTGTTCAGTTCGGAAACGGTTGTACATGGTTGAACATGGGCGAGCTTACAAACATAAAGTGATGTTCATATGTAAAACAATTTCGAATAAGGCAGAAGATGTAATATTTGAGAGATCTCCGCTTACGGAATGTGGCAAAAAGGCTTGGACGTTGCCTTTGTTGCTTTGTATAAAAACTACAAAAATTACTGCATCGAGTTCTAAAATTATATAGCTTATTTATTCCACAGGCAAAATGTGAATATGAAAATATATATTTAACCGTGATGAATTTAGGAGCATGTAGTATTCTATTAAGTTTAGCCTAAACACACAAAAGTATAATTAGAAATAAAAATAAAGTAGGACAATAATACAGCTATATATGCATATGCCCGCTTTTATAAAGTGCGTGGGCAGAGGTCTGCCTACAATTGGCCATGCCTAAACTACGGAGCTCAATATATAAACTTTGCATAGATGGGATAACAATGTAATGAGGTTTTATTCATTGGTTAAAATTAATACAACAACAAATAAGTATAAGATTCTTAGTAATATTCGCAAGTGTTACGTTTTGATTAAATTAATTAACTCGTACTTCCATTGAAACGGTTACAATCATATGGTTTAAATACAAACCGATAATGTCAAAGGTCGGTCTGCGTTTACAATAGAGGCGATTGAATAAAAACAACAAACAAGAGTTGGAGAAATGCTCTTGGAAAATCTCCGATGAAAGCAGCCACCGCGTCGCCTCTTTTGGTAGCAGATGGTCTGAAATGAACAGAAAGTTTTCATTTATATTGTAAATTAGCCCTAACAAAGTTTGGCATGATTTATATATTTTTTTTTAATTAATGTTATAAACAAGAATTAAAATAATTTGAATTTAAATTAAGATATTCATTCATTTAAAATAATTAATCCCGTTTTTCCCTAGTGTAAAAATGGACGAAATGTTTTTCGCCGCAGCAACAATATACCGATATATACCGCAGCAAATAAACCGATGTCCTCCGGGATATCTTCCCGACGATTTAGCCACTGAGTTAAAGGTCTTATTCTATATATTCACACAGACAAAAATCTCAACATATTTATGTACTTTGCATTTTAAGCAATGTTGGGTAGTTCAGTCCCAATGAAAGATCTATTGGTCTTCTCTTCAAAAATATTATAAAATCCATTGCTGTAGGATATTCTGCATTGGATGGACATTTTACATACATAAGTTTAAAGTGAACAAACACCCAGATCCGAAACAGTTATCCGTTGATCACACAAACAGATAACAGACTGTACCTGTCATGAACAAACTTAAATAACATTTCCTGTTCCACACAAATTGCTCCTAAACATGCTGTCACAAGCTTTTCTTTATTCATGCTAACACCTTGAACTAAAACTGCTACACCTTGACACAGTTGTTACTGAACACTGTCACTGTTACAAGCTCTATCTTTTTCTTGCATCAGTCTTATAGCTTTGTTAGAAAGAGAAGTAAGGATATGTTACTATGGTAACCGTTACACAAATCGTCACAACATAGTATAAAATAACAGGCTGTTATTTTGTAACAGGTATGTTACTTTTAAGGAACAGGTGCTCGATTGAGCCTAGTACAGCTCACCAATAGTCCACATACCTAAAGGCGTCTCTAGTCCCGGGTGGCACCAATGATGGTGAGGATGTAGATGAAGATGTTGATGACGTCCAGGTAGAGGTTCAAGGCGGCGAAGACGTACTCCTCGGGCGATATGCTGTACTTGTGCTTGCCGCCCATCATCAGCTGCGTATCGTACACTAAGTACAGCGAGAACAGCAAAGCGCCGAGGGAGGCGTACACAAGAGTCACCACTTTGTTGCCGGGAATGAACATCGCAATGAGACCTGCAAAGCAAATAGTGAACATGTGTTAGACATGTATGCATTGAACACATACACAGCGTGTCTTTACAATCGCGACAATAAATGAACACACATATAGAGGATAACTTTTTAAAATTGTATAAAACATTTACATTATTTAAACATCAATAATTACAGAGTTATTAAATTTTCCAAAAAAAAACAATTTTAAAACATCCTTACATATAAAACTGTAACGTAAAGAACATTTGAAAAGGTCACAAAGCATATGAATGGGTTGAATGAATTTAAAAGAGACAAAACATACTGGTAGAAGGAGGGGCTTGTAATGCGACGCTGTGGCAACGAATGAAAAAGTATCTGAATGTATGAATCAGTCAGTTGTAGTTGTATAGGATGTTACAAATTTTGTTTCTTCTTTACTTAATTAGTTTGATTTATAGATTTTTTTAACGTTAATATTTTTTTATGATTATTGGCAAGTAGCGTTAGACGTGTGTTCATTTATTGTCGCCGTGGTAACGACAGGCTGTATATACATTATGTACATGTAGCGTACATGCAAATAAAGTTTGTCACGGTCATGCTTTGGTCTAAAAAAAATATGGCCATATAAATAATATTTATCATATTGTTCGAAATTGTCCAAATTAGATTTGTATATAAATTAAAATAGTGGTAATGTTTATTTAATAGTTAATAATTAAGTCGAAAAAAGCAAAGGGCATCCCACATGTGTCCCACAGCTGGGCAGAGGTCTCTTCAGAACAGGGTGTGTGGTCACACATTGGCAGATATAACAAATATCTTGGAAATGTTTTTTATTATTAAATAAAATGGCAGGTTTCCTCACAAGGTTTTCCTCACTGGTTACGGTACTAGCGTTGCCTAGTTTGGGACTAGAGAATGCGGTGTAGAGATGCGTCAAAAGAAAAAGAAAAAGGATTTGATTTTATGTCCTCACCAAAGAGTAGCAGAACGACCGTTGCGCAGAGCAGAGCGCCCCCCATCCCCGTGAAGTCGTACTTGGTCTGCATCGCGAACAGCGTCAGAGTGAGGCAGATCGCAGCCGTGATGCCCACCGCCATCATCACCTGCCGAACCCAGAGCATCACGTGAAACAATATATTCAATGACAGCTCATATAGCAACATATACAGGGTATACATTATTAACACAATACATAAACATTATTTCATGGATATGAATAATGCAAATGGGAATATTTAGCTTACCAAGCATAAGCAAGGTTGGCAGTTTATATATTAATTCTATAACTGCAACAAATATGAGTAAATTGGCAATCCACCTTGGCGTCCCTTTAGGTGCAATATAATTATTGCAGTACCAATTGTTTTTGTATTTTGTGTGAAAGTGATTGGATAGTAAGTCTCAATGACCACTGCAATCTGAAAGCCTAGTCTTCCCTTCGATAACATTGTCCACTTACCACAGGATAACATCATCCTGTGTTGTAAAGATGTTACACAAATATACTTGGACAAACACCCAGATCAGAAACAACAATTTGTAGGTCACAAAAACAGTGTGTCCTAAAGATAGTTCCCGTGCGGGAATCCAACCCATGATACCAGGCGCCGAAGCCGACATCTTGGCAACTGCAGCACGCGCATGTAGGCAATAGGTACAGCTAGCAAAAGCAACAGCAGTTAAAGGCACCCACCGCTGAGCTATCGTAGACGCTGCTGGTGACGCCAAGCAGGAAGCTCTCGGCCAAGGTGAAGATGCCGAGGAAGATGAAGTTCATGGGCGCCTGGCGACGCACGTTGCCGCAGCAGGCCATCACCACCAGGCACACCAGCACCGTCACGAATGCGATCCAGCTGTCGGACAGCAGAGAGTACATTAATTACATCAGCACAGAAAGGGAGTTGTCCTAGATTATGATTTGTGTGGAAGAGGTTGCAAAGTAAGTTCTAAAACTGCTAATACCTAAAAGATCTATTGTAGTCTTTCGATTCAAAGCTAGATAGCCTCCACCAAAACAACAACACTAATGAAGATGATGGTGAGTGGCTAATAATGACTCAACCCAACTCCTAATATTGACAAGGACATCTCATTCACAAATTATGTGAGGCGGTAAGGAGAGTTGTCCCTACGCATAACACTTATTGTATATCTACACTTATGTGACAAACAATTAGGCAGATCACCTGTGTACTTAGAGCAACAACATCCATCACTAAACATGAGCAGATCATTCAATCTTTTATTAAACAGCGTATAACACAAAGAATATTGGTCCAGATTTGTGTTACACACAGGGTAAAATTCTCGTAAAATAATGGTATTGTTAAAAATAAAAGATAAAGAAAAAGGAGACAATTTAAGTCAACTTATCAAACTTGAAATTCTTTTTCTATCCGGGAAACATATAAAGAAATAAAAGAAACTACTTTTATACCGCTAGATTATGTAAAAATATACATACATTCTGATTGTGCTAAATAGTGAAGTATACATGGATTAACATCCTTAATATTAACATACATATATCTAAAAATTATACTAAGAAGAGTTGAAGTGTTAGTAGAAGAAGTACATTGTTACTTACAACATGTAAGGATTCTTCTGCACCCATATTTGCATGGGCCGGTGGTAAGCGAACAGAGTTATGAAGGCCATAGTCACCAACAGCTGACACATAAGGATGGCGTAAACCTGGAAACGAGTAGAAATAAAAAGATTAATATGATACAAACTATTTGTGGACATAATTTTTTAAGAATAATTTATTTTATTACTTTTAGTGCTAGTCTCCGCACTAGAGATGAAACTTATCATTATGAAATTGAAATATACAGCGTGACGTTACAAACGTGACAATAAATGAACACACTTATAACGCTACTTGCCAATAATCATAAAAAATAGCATATAGCGTAACTTAAAGGCAACTATGGCTAGTCAGTGATTTCTGAACCCATTACCGGAAACAATTCAGTAGTTCGGGAGATTACTATTACACACAAAATTATAAACATACAACCCAACATATATATTTATCTAATATTCGCTGTCCTCTTGCTATAATGAGTCAGCATTCGGACGGAGCATTATGAACCTCATCTACATAGTGTTAGAGCATCAAATCGGGTAACCGTAAAGCATTTACCTTTCGTACGAACGCCTTCCGTATGCTCTGCTCGTTGAAATCGAAGCCCTTGACGTCCGCATCCTCGCCGAGGCTGCCCTGGCCTGGTGCCGGATATCCAGCTGGCTGGAAACGTAAGGAAGTTGAAGTAAAGTAACACCCTATATGTGCCCCACTGCCGGGAAAAAGTCTCCTCTACACAGAGGGCATAGTCCATCACGCGAACCCACTGCGGATTGGCGGACTTGGCGCATCATTCGAATTTTCTCCGGTTTGTTATTATTTCGATAACGTGATGGTGGCAGCACGATGTTTTCCTTCACCGCTGATCACGTGATAAGTAAGAATTAAAATTCTTATATAAAAAATTGTATGAAGTACTTCAGAAACAATTCTTTACAAATAACGTAAAGGTTAACCGTAAAAATTTAAAAATGAATAAAGTAAATTCTTTAACATTTATCCCCTAAGTAAAGTACGAATTTACCATCCCTTGTGTTGGTTATTTTCACGTTATTTAAGGGTTAACACCCTTAAATAACGTGAAAATAACCATTCGTACCCACCTCACCATATCCGGCGACTCCGTACCCCGCCTGAGGCGGTGGGTAGCCGCCCGGTGGATAACCGCCCTGGGGGAAGCCACCCTGAGGATAACCCCCTGGCGGGTAAGCGCCCGGGGGGTAACCACCCTGAGGGTAACCGCCCTGAGGGTAACCGCCCTGTGGGTAGCCACCCGGAGGGTAGCCGCCTTGCGCCGCTTGATCTGTGTAAAATTCAACATAAAGACCCGAACGAAAGTAGGTTAGGCGACAACTATGTCAGACAGCGTGTAATGCCGGGTGCACAATATACGAACGATATTCGCGCAGTGCATGTGAAACTATCTCCCGCACTCACGGGTATTGGTTCAATCAGATTAATGGAAAAATCTGTGATGAACGCATCAAGTGTCTAGGTGTTTATTTACAAAAGGAACGATCTTTAAATATCTTTGACCTTCCTTTCTTTAAAAATAATAACATAGAAAGTTGTAACCATCTTTATTAGTTAACTAGTAACCATAGTACAAGTTTTCCTTATTTGCGGACTACATAACGTTGTCAAAAAAAATGTGTCTTTAAGCAGTTAATAGTATAATAGTATAATAGTATAATAGTATAATAGTATAATAGTATAATAGTCAAAAAGGTCCTACGTTTGTCTACACTGTGCGGGCTACTACGTTCGCTGGTTGTGTACCCGGCTTAACATGTAACGTTGCGCGCCCAGGAAACGTTAAGAAAACAGTCCACAGTCGGACGAAGCTTGGACACTCCACGCGGCTGAATATAAACTGCTGAACACAATACGACACGGATAAGCGTGATTTAAAAATAATATTTTTCAATTCCATTGGTCAGCTTTGACCCTGTATTCCTGGACCACAGCGTTGGACTGCTCACAGAAGCAAATTGAATTGGTGAACAACAAAAAGATAACGGATATACAAACAGGTAGAATTAGCAGTGCGGAAAGTGAGGACAATGTTCTGAATGTAATATAATAGTAACATACATTTGTACATAATACGTTACAATCATGTTTTCAACATTAAATACTCCTTTGAGATTTAGGCCGATGTTTCTGGCATTCTGGTAGGTCAGGGACAAAGTAGGGATCATCTGCGCAGTTTACATATATTATTTTAAATATAGAATAAGAGGCATACATACACTTAAACCCAAAGGATATAGATGGATATTCATGATAAAATAATTAAAAAAAAAATGTTTATTAGATTCAAGTTTTTTCTATAAATTTAATTATTAGAACAAATAATAAGGAAATCACTAGAAAAGTTGCAACCACAATAAAAAGGTACTACCGAAGAAGGCTATTCAGCCAGACGTCAAGTATGTTAGGGTGGGGCCCTCGCTGACTTGTTAATAATCTTTTTCAATTATTAAGGCCGTAGGAATAACAGACAATATAAGAGACAAAGCCAAAATAAATTTTTCACGTTGCAATACGGTAGAAACGTTGGCATAAATATTATTTATTTCACACTAATGTCAAAACGTCAAGAATGCTGGCCATTTTTCCTGATCATTTCTGGTAATCCACATCCAGAGCTCAAGAAGTAAAAACGATTATGAAAAGTAGAGATGGGTCGTATCGCTTTTTCTGAGTACCGTATCTGAATCAGATTTCGATTTCAAATATCAGATTTCGAAACTATGTATTTTAATATCTAGATATTTTACGGTCACGTATCCATCTTGAATTCTAAAAAAAAAAAAAAAAAGATAAAAATGTTTTCAACGATATTTTATACTCATTCGGAATATAAATTGTGCAGGCGTATTTAAAAGTTGATTCATTGCATATACATAATGTTCGTGATATTTGAAACTTAGTACCAGTGATACCAACTGTTCCAAAAGAATACTTCTAAATAAATTCGAAAACCCACTAAAATTGACTAAATTTTAAATCACGATTTTTTTATACTATCAAGGTAAAATTCAAGGCTAAACAAAATTTAAAGACATCGTTAATATCGTAATTCGTATTTAAATGCAACTAAAAATTTTTTTTTCCATGCGGTTAAGATTCAAAATTACTTAACTGCGCGCTTTGTCGCCCGTTACGGCTCAAGGCTAAACAAAACAATAAAAATATAATAATATCGTTGTAGTATTTAATTATCTTATCTGCATCATTTTAAGATTCAAAATTACTTATTCATAATATCTGTTTAAAAATCTGATATTGTGCCTTGCTTGCCGTACTGCTCTAACTAGTGTAATATTTGTATCTCACGCGCTTTGTCGCTCAAAATCTGTTTAAAAATCTGATATCGTGCATTGCTTGCCGTCCCGCTCTAACTAGTGAGTATTTATATCTCACGCGCTTTGTCGCTCGATATCTGATATCGTTCATTACTTGCCGTCCCGCTCTAACTAGTGAGTATTTGTATCTCACGCGCTTTGTCTCTCGAAATCTGTTTAAAAATCAGATATTGTGGCAAACCGTATGATATCGCGATTCGTGTCGGTATAGTGAGCGAGCGAGTATTCGGTATATCAGATTTCGGAAATATCAGATATTGTAAAATACATAGATATTGAACGAGCCAGTAAGCGATATTCGGATATTGTACTAATATCTAGATTTCATATCTGATACGATTTGTATCGCCCACTACTAATGAAAAGCATCACTATACCTTTAGGGTCTGTCATTTCTGGAAAGCTCCAATAAAACCAGCGAAGATTTAGCGAACTATATTACAAGAATTACTTCTAGAAACATCCAAGCGTAGTAAAAGTTCTTATAGTTATGAGAATAAAAATTTATTACGCAGTTAAGGCGAAAGAAATTAACCCACTTATTATTTCACTATACTGAAATGTTACATTGTTATGATAATTTGAATTATCAGAATTTAACACCAATCTCTAACTCGCCAATTTTTCAGGATGCTTAATCAAAAGATGTCCCAAGACAAAACAGTTAATTTACCAGTAACTACAACAAGAAAAAAAAATCAACTATTATTCCGAATATTACTTCCGTAAAAATGGCCAGTGATTATTTGAGTTATTTTACATATATTAAGTCAGTATGTAAAAGGGAATTGCACAGACTATTAATACGCCACAACTTCGCAACACCGCACACAACGCACAAACTGCGTAAATTACAATGAAACACCAGACAGACCAAGTAAACAGGGATGCGTCAATGAAATGCAATTTTTATGATATTGCGCATGGCATTTTATTTGGTATTATTATAGCACTAGAGTCGATAATTCCGTGAAAACACACAACCTTGCCAGACATGCGCAAAGTATACCTTCATCGCTCAAAAATAATTTTACGTTTACACCCAAATGCTAAATGATATTGAGTTTTATCTCTTGCGTAGTAAGATAATAATCGTTTGAACAGTATAATAAAATAACATTTATACACTAATGTGTAAATTAAATTATACGTGTAATGCCTAGCGTGTATGTTCGTTAGAAACATACAAACAATAAAATCAATTTCATAGCACCAGATTTCTATAAGAAGGCCATAATTTAAAAAGTATACTTTATATACATAATTAATTTTTATTTTTAGGGATCTGTACCCTAAGGGTAAGACGGGACCCTATTATTAAGACTCGGCTGTCTTTCTGTCTGTCTCTCACTAGGCTACATCTCATGAACCGTGATAGTTAAACAGTTGAAATTTTATATAAAACAATAAAAAAATATTTAAGTACGTGCTTTTTTATAGACAATGGTATTGAACCCTTCGTGCGCCAGTGCGATTCGGTTTGCCGGATGCCGGTTTTTGTAACCAGTTTATTCAAGGAACTAAATCGAATAGTGGGAATCGATTTCGATTTTCATCCTTTTGAATAAAAAAAAATGGTGGTAGGTAATCACCATTCATAGACGCCCGTAACACCCGAGGAGTAAAGTTCCTAAGCACAGTTGGAACATGCAGAGTTCTACAATCGTAACGTAAGAAAAAAACGTTATGCCCGCCCCATTCCACTTTCTAACATAAGTTAGCCTTAAGCCAACTGAACAAAGTGAGGCAAGATTTTAAAGCCACCGCGCGGTGCATATTACCTAATAAATAAATATTAATTAATTACGAATTTATTGACATTTCTTCATGTTTACTTAATGTTTTTCAAGGGCTGTTAATTTTTTTCATTGCGGCCGTTATATAACACAAAAATACAGTGAAAGGAATTACCTACGTTAATTTTTAAGGGAATGGCAATTAATATGCATTTAACCTGGTGGCAAGACCCCACCACTCGTGGGCAATGAAACAACATTAGAGGTTACACCCATGTAGCTGAGTCGAGCTGTTACATAAGCTGTTCTCGCTATATCATAATTCGCTCGGTAGTCGGTACACAGACATACCGTCGCCGGCTACCAGTTATCGATTCTAACTCCGGTACATTTAAGAGCAATTGTTTAGTTTAAAACACTCACATAATGTGTTTTTAATTGATCGACTGTGGTTTCATAGTGAACGGTAAGGTCTAATTTTACATGATAAATTCGATACCGTCAGTGTTGAGGCAATACTGAGAGAAGACAGTGAATGACTCTAAAACGTTGAGGATAGACAGCGAAAGATCAAGACTGTATTTATTGTTATTTTTACACATTTTGATAAATTACATACAGCCTTACTTTTTAAAAGACAAATCTACACAAAGATGTGCCTAGCACTATGTATTGAGCTACATTTTTTTATCTACAATAAATAGAAGTTATTGGTAAACTTTCGAGGCATATTTCAATATGTTTCATATACAACTTATACATATAAATGGAACAATTTTCTCTTTTTGTTGTATGTGTAAGCCAGTTTGTTTGAAAATGCCTTTCTTCGACATGAATACAACCTACGCAAAATCGATATGTCAAATTGGAGGATGACGTCATACTGACACAACGTCCTCGGAAGGACATTAGACGTAGATTCTAAAGCAGACACAATGATCGATCGACTATCGCCCGCGTTTGATCGGACAAGTTCGTTATTAATATAGTTTGTTTTATTTTAATGGTTTTCCGTCGAGTACTGGCTGCAAAGACATCGGGTTAAACTATCTTTTGGCCGATGCATTTGCAGATAGTGAGTCTTTGGCCAATTGATAGAACAACAATGAGGCAGTCTTCGGTCTAGTGTAGGAAATGATATTCGATCATTAGGTTTCAAGTTTTATACAGAGACAACAATGACCAAAACTCATGGA